TAGCTTATAGAGTATCAACATTCCGGTGACATCCTTGCATGAATCCATGAAGCTCAAAGCTATCATAACCATTTCGTCCTTGCTCAGGACGTTGGAGAGCTCAGGTAACCACGTATGGAAATGTTGAACCACTAGTGTTTTGCTGCCGACCAAAGCCGGCGAGGAGTTCTTCATCAGCGTCTCCATAGACTTGAAAATGGTATGCATGTCTCTGTTGAAGGTGGATTGCACTGTCGTAATGCCAATACCTTCCTCCTTGGCTTTTTGCTGCTCGCGGGCTTTGATGATGAACTTCAACAGATGGCGTCCCACCTTGAAGGCAGCGCGAAGACTTCGAGATTGCGTACCGTCTGTCCCTGCGTTCAAGAGGCGCAGGTAGCTTCGAATAAGGCACGGAGTGACGAATGGGAAGCTGAACTGCTCATCGGTGTAGCGGTCGACCAGCGGGCCGAGGTTGTATCGTCGATCATGAACAATCCCCAGAACAGTGACCAGGTCATTGAAGATCAAGTTTTCGTATTCTTCGTTGCCGGCATTCTCGACCAGGATTCCGAAGAGCGCATCGAAGACACCACTGAGTTGTTTGACAATCTCGATCTCGGGAACAAAAAGTAAACGCTTTAGGGTATCCAAAACCTCGTCCACCGGCCGCTCTTTCCAGTTCAGAAGACCCAGAATGACTTGATCCTGGGAATACTCTGTGCTGCAAAGATGGGTTTCAAGGTGCAAAGTGGCCAATGGGCCCGTCACGGCCTCATCTTTGGCGGACTCATTCTTGCCGAGCGCGCTCCATGGGAGGTTCAGATAAGCACCCTTTCCGTTCTCAATGCTAGATGTCTGCTTGTCATAAGCATGCAACAGCAAAGAATGACGCCCATCTCTAATGAAAGCCTGCTGGTCCCAGAGGGGCATCCAGGCAAGAGCAAAGGGAAATTCTGGTGCATCGGCAACACTCATCACCATGTGCGCGCCAGGGATTTTTTCTGTGGGGATTTTCAGGCGAATTGTCTGGTTCCAGGGCGTGCACCGCTGGGCGATTGTAGTGCGCCATGCGGTGTTCGAAGTATTGGATGACGAAGGGAAGACACACTTGTCTATCCGAGCTCCCTTAGCATCACGCACTTCGAGAGTAAGTTGAAGATTGTGGAGTCCGGTGGTCGTTTGCAGAGGAATTTGACCAGCCTGCGGGTGAGACAGGAGAGCATCTACGGGGAACACGGCCTGAGAGAGTGTCACGTAGATATCCGATCTTGGCTTCGTAGGAGCCTTAGAGAACCCAATGCGCTGTGTCTGTACGACATCGTGCAATATAGTGGGGTTCTGACGGATCAGGAACTCGGCATCGCAACTGGTAAAGGGGCGCAGATGGAGGTGCAAACGGGCCGCAGGGTCGGCACGCACATACCGGCCGGTGGGACTAGGAAGCAAGGCGCGGATCAACTTGTCAAAGCCATCCGTCAGCCCTTCGCCGTCTTCGCCGTCTCGACGGGGCGACCAAATATTGATCACCTGTTCAACGTCCTTATCCTGTCGAAGAATCGGCGAGATCTCCAATATCCCAACGCCAACAGTGCGGATCGCCGTGACCTCTTTCGTTGGGGCGGATTGAGAGGTTGCTTCTTTGACGCTGGACGTACTGCTTGATGATCGTGGAAGCCCTTGAGTAGTGGACTTAGATGGCTGATCCAAGCTCGGTCCCCGTTGCTTGGGCGTCCACATCATGCTGCGCCGCGTTCTCAAACTTCCCTTGGCCGAGGGTTGGACGCCCCCGTTTGCCGTGGCCTTGGTCGGGGTTGAACTCTCCCGCGAGACTGATGGCCTCGACGTAGGAGTGGTATCAGCTGTGGATCGCGACTCTGGAGCACGGACCCAAGCAACTAGATAGAGCTGCCGCCCATTCGCGGACCCATCTCCGATGTCTGTTGCGGCCAATTCGGTGAACAGCGTCTTCAGTCTACTGCTTTGGCTCATGTTGACGAACTTATCAGGAGACGGAATATCTAAGCTAAAGGTCTCAGACAATGGACTGAGCGAACCAGCGTCTGATCGGGAAAACAGCTGAATTCCAATGGTCACTTGCCCCGGTGCATTCCCTGATACGGCGTTGATTTCCAGCAGCAAATGATGAAGTGCGGTGGCATCGGATGTCTGGGTGGGACGGGACTCAAGCATACTCATCTCGGACTGCAGCTTTGCCAATTGGATGGCAGAATCGTCACCCGTTAGCAAACGGCCTCTCCCCTCCGGATCGCGGACAATGACGTCCCCGCTAAGCATTTTGTTTGCCTTGACAAGTTTCCAGACAGTCTCGTCCCGCAATGCTTCCTTCTCCTTTCCAGTCAGAACATTGTGTAGTAATTGTCGTCTCGCAAAGTCCAGCTCTTGTACAATGGATGACATTTCCTCCAACACATCATACCGGCGTTCCAACAGCAGTTCATGCAAATTAGTCGAATGCCATTCGCGCAGACACGATGCGATCTCATCGACTAGTGGCTCTGTGAGAGAAGTCGGGGTTTCATCACCGATCTTAAGCATCGGGACGGGAGCAGCAGGCTTGGGCGCATCAGGGTCGCGAGGAGCGAGGGAGACAGGCGTATGCGGAATCGAGCCCGTTCGCCATCGCGGACTTGCCTGGTCTGACCCATCGGTCTTGTGAATAATAATCTGGGAAGGCTTCCCCTTTTTCGCAAAGACAACATCAGACACCTCGCCAACAGCCTGGAAGTCATTGACGGAATAAGCCAGACTATTCCGGGACAGGTATTCTCCATCCCAGCCGGACAAGGTCAGTCGATCAATGCTTTTCCGGTCAGCATTTAGTAGTGCTTTGTATCCGTCGCCGTCGCCCAGCACCTCTCTAATCTCAACGCAGTTCCGCGGGAAGATACCAGAGAACACACGAGCTTCAAGAGTCTGGCCTTTGGCACTTGTCAATCCGGCCAGCAACGAAGGCGGCGCGACCAGATAGCCTCGGCACCATTCGCCGTCCCTCCCTCCTTGTTCAATTATGTAGAGTTCATCGCCCAGCTCCAATGGTAGATCTGCGGGGAAGATGGGTTGAAAGGGTATATGGCCACGGCAAAGGCGATGCGAGGCAGCGGCCGCCAGGGCATGGCTGTGTTGTGAATTGCCCGACGCGATTGGAGGTCGAGACACCAGATCTAAGGCGTGCCAGTCCCCGCAAATGGATCTCCGATCGCAAGGTCCACGGGAAGGATTTTAGGGGTGCCGATCAGTTCGAGGAATGTTCGTTTCAATCGAAGGCCACATGCAGTGGGAGATCCGAGTCAGGTCCCGGGTTGAATTAACGAGAGGAATGTGGGAATTCGAGGAATGCGACAAGTAACGATCTAAAGAGACATGATTAGGCGCAAGTGGGACCAAAGGATTCGTCCTGTCGGAAAGCGAGAAAAGAAAAACAGCACAGAGACACCTGGACAGTTCTCTATGTTGTACACAAAAGACACGAACGAGGTCTGGAGTTGCAATTGAAAGTATCCGTGCCCCCCTTGGACATGTGCCCAGGTGGAGACCATTTGGAGGCGTGGGGAAGAGACTCACCGTATTAAAAAAAAAAAGAGAAAGACACACAAGTCAGGAAAAAAAGGGAAAAAAAAGGAAAAAGAAAGGGAAATGGAAATATCGAGACCTTGAAAGGAGAAAAAGAAGATTAAAATCGAAGATCGAAGATCCCCCCCCACACATAGCCAAATGGTAAATGGGTCGGATAACTGCCTTTACCTTGCTTCTGCCGTTAATAGGGACATATTTAAGATTACAATACTCCTAACATGCAGTCGACATATGTTGTATATGCTGGTAAAACAATAATTGACATACTCAAAACATTGAATTCATTCCTATTCGCCTGAAATAATCCGTGTCTGCCTGAGTACAGTACAAAATGTGATAGATCCTCCATACTTAACTACGGAGTACCTACTCCGTATAAAAAACAGTATATCCAAAACCTCAAACCCCTGAAACTCCCATGAAGCGAACGGTGGGTCGAAATGGCCAATGAAAAGAACTCAATCTCATAGCCCTGGTTTTATATGGGAAAGTGCTTAAATACCTTCCCTACTAATAGGGAGAATAGGGAGACTAGTCTGCGGGTACCCGTCTCCATATAAGAACAGTTCCCTTGACACATTTCACATTTCGTTTCACATCAGACAGTGAAACCATGCAAATCGAATGACCTTATCAGATCTTCAAACAGAACTGGTACGAAACATTGACCTTTTTGGGCGAAAAGGATGTTTCAGTGTTCGCTCAGCTGAGTCGCCTTTTTAATATCAAAATCGAACTACCTCTACGCAATGCAAAGAGATCCAATGCATCCGCCTTTCTCTGGGCAGCAAAAAAAAACAGCTAGTTAACTGTCCGAGCCCTCACCAATGGAGCTAACCCTTTAACAACCAACTACGATAGCGACACCTCTCTCCACATAGCCACAACCGTAGGAATCTAAGTATAAGTTCGGTTCCTACTAAGTACCAGACTAGATATCAATCAAACAAACACTTGGAGACCCAGCTTATAGCACCGGCTAGAGAGGGTAACACAGACCTTGTCAAGTTGCTTCTTAAGCAACACGGGATCGACCCTGATATGCCGAACGGTATCCAATTTCGCCCCCTAAAGCTCTTTAGGCAAACTCTATTATCCTATACTACTATAAATAGCTATATCAATTCGGAGGATAGACGTGCCTAGACGCCACTATTGTACGCGGCAGCGTATGGTTAGGCTAAAGTGGTAGGAGTATTAACTAAGGTGCTAGGATCAAGCTTGAATCTAACTCAAACCGGGGAATAACACTAGAAAATGGGCCTCGACAAATGGCGGCGAGGATGTGTTAGGATTCTCATCGAATAGGAATCTGTCAATGGCGATACTAAAGGCGACGACGGGTCTACAGCTCTTTCGCTTGCAGTTGAGCATGGTAAACCTAACATTGGCAAGATGTCCGCATATAAAGGATGCGATCCTTATCACAACTGCCGCATGAGTACACCGCTGTGGCTAGCTATCCACCGTGGACAGGAGGATGTTGTGAAATGGATGCGGTAGTAAGAGCACCGGCGGGGGCTGCGGTTAATACAGCCCTGACCCAAGCAAGCAGTGTTTCTGCCATCGGTGGCTGTGGCCCGGCCTGGAGCGGCAGCAGCAATGCCTGCGACGAATGGGCGGGCCAAGTGATCCCTTGTGGCAGCAAGGCCGAGTTCACGCGGTAGAATCCCACCAACAAGATGATCTTCCATATCTACAATGGCTGCGATTGGCAGTATACTGTCAATCCGAGAGTGAATCTCAAGAGCTTATCAATGATTGTGAGTGGACGTGGGATACGCACAAGGGTGGATGTTGGAATATGCCTTGTGCGTCGATTGGGTTGATGGGTTGATGTCAATGCCCGGTGAGAGGGCATGGCTTGCCGGGCATGGCTTGGAAGTTATAGAAGAGAATACATAAGAAAAAAATGCATAAACGAAACGAAGGGGAATAGGATTATCTTTCAATATGAAGTACATCTCATTTCCGGAACATGCTAAGGGTCTCTTCCTTGCGCCAATCCAGCTCCAATTGACCCTCGTAGACATCTTCAATAATCTTCCGGGTGCGGTCATACGTATTCTCATAACGGTTCTCGCACTCCGAAGCACCTTGACAACAAGGCTGCGGCTAAGACCAGGGTCGTCGGCGTCACCAAAGTGCTTCTCGACACGCTTCTTGAGCATTTCGATGCCACGGCGGATTTCCTTGTTGTCATAGGAGGCGAGGACCTTCTTCGCCACCATGCGGGAGTGGCTGGCGCGGGCTGCAATATCGGTCGGGTTACCGCCCGCAGCAAGAAGGTTGTCAATCGACTGCACGAAATCAATCAACTTGCCCAATGGGCGGTGAATGACCGCGTCGAGGTAGAGCTTCATGTGCTCTTGGAAGACTTGGTGGGCCCGATCGGCCCAGCGTTCAAGTGCAGGGATGTTGTGCACATCTACTTCTTCGATGTAGTGGTTCATGTTCTCAATGAGGAGGATGTGGTAGTTAAGAATCTCCTTGTCTTCCGGATCACCCGCACCCGCAGTGACACCCGGAGGTTGGCCGGGTGCTTCCTTGGCAATGAATTTGAGTGACTCCCACATCGCACGGTTGATACGGTCGTACGCGTCATTGACGCTAACACGAATGTCACAGAAGGCGCCGGACGGGGATGACAGCATGCTTTCCACCGCATTGGAGAAGTTGGGGAACACCCGCATGAAGGAAATTACTCCCTTCCGCTTGTTCACCTTGACTTTGGTGTCCTCAATGCCTCGGATTTGTTCATCTACAAATCGGTTGAACAGTCCCATCAGGCGGGAATGAATTTTCTGGAGTGCATGAAGAATGAACTCTTGGTTCGTGTCGTCAAACTCATTCATGGCAGTCTCCAACGCATAGAGAATGCCGATTCCTTGAAGAGGATCAGCTTGCATGGCCCAGTCCACCATGCTCTGCATGTCATTCGGCCAGAATGAGTAGATCTCATCCATAATCTGTTCGACTCTCTTTGCCATCCCCCGATCAGGATCATGCGGCTGGTTGGCAGAGAAATCGGGACAAGAGCGATTTTCTGGAATAGTAGCAGACACTAAGTCGGAAAAATCGGCGCTGGCAAGAGAATCGAGATGGAAGAATTGAACAATGAAGTTTTGCTCCTGAGCCATCATATTCAGTGTCTCCCGCAGCGTCCCAGAGAACGCCTCAGACGGCTCAGACTTTCCTTCCTTCTTCCCGCTGCCTGAAGCCAGTCGAAGTCCAGCGGCAGCCCGTACCGTCTTGCCTCGTCGCACGGTCAGTTTTCGTGCAGCCATGGTGAGACCCTCGGCTTCTTTCTCTTTCTCTTGGTGTGTGAAGAGGAGTTCTTGCTCATCTCCCGTTGGTTTGCGCGCAGTCTTCTTCCAAGCCAGATTATTGTCGCGGAAGTCGCCCTGGTACGAAGGCTTGGACTGCTGCTCATAGAGACCGACAAGGCTATGCCATTCTGCCATGCTAACTTCCTTAGCGAATAGCATCAGGGCATTATACCGCCAGACCTCTTGACGGAAGTGCCCTCGTGCGGCACTATCTAATTTCATGGGATCCTTAGCACCCCCGTTGGTCCAATCAACGCGTTTTTGTTCTGCCATTTTGAAGGCAAGGGCCATGAACTGCTGCAGTCGGTTGAGGAACATGGTTGCAGTAGAGCGATACTCTTCCTTCTTTTGCTTGATCGCACGCATCTGGCCGATCTCTGTATCAGCATACACACCGACACTAGCATCGACTTGGCGTTTCTTGTTTTGTCCAATGTCAGAGTCGATAGTGAGCATGGCCTTGTACAACGTCGCCAAAGCGCTTTCAGTATCCTTCAACCCATCGGGGTTGCTCAAGGAGGCCTCTTTGAGGGGCCCCAGTTCGGATGAAGATATTGAAAGTGTCTTCAAAAGGGTTTGCAGTTCGCTTTGCAGGAGCTTCTGATTCGCTGTTTGTACCTGCAAACCTTGACCTTGAGCCTCAATATAGGCGACATCCTCGTGAAGAGTCTGTAATGTAGTCTCGTTAGCCGACGGGAGATCAATCCTGATTCCGTGATCTTGAAACTTACGTTCAGTTCATGAGAATAAAGGGTCAAAAGACCATCCAGCTCGTCGCACTCTTCGATCGTTCTGTCAATCAAGCTCGCAAGTTGTTCCACCTTTCCTTCCTGTTGTTCAAGGTTGCCAAGCCAGCTGGTGGCCTCGACACGGCCAATTTCACGGCGAACATCTGCTTCCAAATCCTCAATCTTCTGTTCATCGGCCAACCGTCCGTTCCAGCCTAGATCTGTGAGGATGTCATCAAACTCAATACCACGTCCGTCGAGAACGCTGGGATCGATCCCAAGGGCCTGGCAATATTTCATAGTGTGGTCTTCACGGCGTCTACGACGACGTCCTTGAGTTGCCGGAGATGGCGATCTTGAACGATCTTCAACCTTTATCACAACATCAGAGAGGTTCTCCCGTGAGACCTCAGGAGTTTGGACAGGGGCCACCGCGATCTCCTCCGGTGCTGGCTCTGTAACCTCGACGGTTGGTGTCTCCGGCCCTGCAGCGGGCGCAGGGAGTTGGAGATCTTGTTCCGACTTTGTTGCCACTGGACTCTGAGGGGGATCAGTTGCCGACCGGGTAAGGGACGGCGCCGGAACAACGCTGGTGATTCCATCAGGGCCCGTGACATCGACCTGTGACTTCTTCGCGGCTGCCAGCAGTCGCTCACCAGCCCCACCAGCTCTGGGCTTGAAACCAGCATAAGCATTTGCAGCCTTTTTCCAGGCGCCAGCAATATCTTTGCCGTCCTTTTTCTTGATCATAGGACCGAGCCCCGGGCGATGCGGCTCGAATTCGCCGGTTTCTTCAACTTGCTCTGGGGAAGCTTGAGATGGCGAGTCCGCAGCAGGAACAGTTTCGACAGGCGTATTGGACTTTTCATTGGAAGGCTCAATAGGCTCTGCGGAGGGCAGATTCGCAGACATAATAGCAGCAGGTTCTGCAGCCAGTCCCTCAATTGCCGGTGACGAAGACGGTTCCCGGGGCTGTGCAGGAGCTCCAGGTGACAAGCTATCTGTACTTTTCTCTTGAGGCAGAGAGGTCTGATTGAACGAGAATGCCTTCTCCCCACTAGCACGCTGGGGCGACTTTGGCCCAAAGCTGGGCGTGGGACGTGGGGCCGTGTCCTTACTCTCATTATTGGAAGAGCCAGAGGTTGTAGGACGGAGTGCGTCATTGCTGCGCATGAAGTCCGGTGTCTTGTTTGGGGCTGGCTGGGTAGCAAGAGGCGGGGGTCTGGTCCCGCGATCTTGGCTGCGAGCAGAAGATGGGCGGAGTGACTCTGGAATATCAGCATAGCTGCTGGATTGGGCTGCAGGAGTCAAATTATCTGTTCCCCTCGGCTCTGATTGTGAACTCTGCGGTTTCGCATTTGCTGCGCTACGCTCGGTTGCGCGTGGCGGCGGTTGCTGGTCCAGGGGTGGCCCAGAAAGAAGCGACTGAGGTTGAGATTTATGTAGATCAAAGGGAGATGGTGCTGGTCTGCCTTGTCCTGTAGATGGCCGAGAACCGGTGGATGGCCGAGACATCTGCTCACGGCTCTTTTGAGTACGAAGTGCTGGGTCTTCGGAGGGCTTTCTTTTGACTTCCCGGGGCCCATCGCGACTGGGATCACGGCCTCTGTAGGACGATTGTAGCGAGGGAGGCACCGGGCTGTCCGATGTTGAAGGCTTCGGACCGGGTCCCCTTGACGGTGGTCCATTTGAAGGGCCACCTGGTTGTGATGGTTGTGCTGGCTGCCCTTGTTGTCCCGATTGTCCATGTCTTGCCAGCATTTGTCGCTCCTTGTCGTCAAAACCAATGAGGTTGGGGACTTTTCCATTGGTGTATTTCTTGTAAATCTTGACCAAGCTCCCGATGAAGAACTCCTTTTCCTTAGAAGTCCTGGCATGCCAGTAGTATGGTTTTCCGATTGTGACCGTGAATCCTACATTGCCCGCCCATTCTTTTTGTTGCTGCTCTCCTGGTGTTCTCGGCACAATGGAACCAAATGATTGAATTGCGCTTAAATCGTCGAGCATCCAAGTTTTTCCAATGGAGAAGGTTCCTTCATTGTTCTCTCGAGCTTTGTGTATGCGGACTCTGCCTGACTTCCGAACCGCTATGATAATGATACGGGGTTTCTTGTTCTCCGGTGGCCCATTTGGCGGGGAGGGGCTAGAGGGGTGCGCTGCATCCTCGGTGATGCGGACATGCGTTATATAAGACTCGAGCACTGGAAACAAAAGAGGGGGTTAGCAGAGATCACGGGCAAAATATTGGAACGAAGCAAGATCCCATCTAGGCCATGTACGTCACTTTCGCAATGTGTTGCCAACCCCACCACTATTGCCTGAAATCGGGGGGAGGGAAAATCTGAGGAAATATGTTGACCATGTACGTACAGAGACCTTCTTCATCCTTTTTTGCGAAACAACTATGAATGATCCGCTTCTTCTCATCCTCAAAAGCGGCCCCTCTTGTCATGGTGCTTGGGCTAGAGCCCGAATCAGACTGCATATCTCCACGATTTGGTAGCGGCCCTGGCAAAGGCCCACGGGGACGGTCCCTGCCATTCATCATGGTATCGAGGGACACAGAGCTCAAGTGTGGGTAGCCGCGAGATCAAGGGGACATGGTCGGGATGGTCGGGATCGGGCGACGCCACTACGCACCACGCGCGGAAGAAATTGAAATCCGTTGAGGGACAATGCGTTTGCGAGCCGGCGAATACGACGAGGTATAAAGCAGTACACGTTGTGGCCCAAAGTAATGCAAGTGGCCAGCGCTGAAGTTCGAATTAGCTCATCAATGTGTCTCGCGGGTGGAACCTTGGGAAGGCGGAGAGCTTGGAGCGGAGTATTGAATTGATCCGGGGTTGCCCAGCTGTAAACAAACGTGTGGAATGTCAGAGATTAGCATTGAATTGAGAGCAGATTTTCTACGGCAGCTACTCACTGGAGTCTTACTTTCTTGCTTGATTTTAGGTGTACAGACATACTCGCCCTGTGTTCTCGCAGTGCATACCATCCATGACTTTGATCCTATTGGCTTTTAATTGCCAGCAAAATGTTAGTCATCCATCCCATGGCCCCATGGTCCTTCAGGTCCAGGCTCCAATCTTGGCGCCTAGATGCATGTGGGATGGAAATTGTTAATGCGCCATATATCCAAATTTCTACATTATAGCGCTCGAATTCTCTAGTCAATCATGTCCCCCACTATCCTAGGTAGCTGTGATCACCGTGAGGATGAATAACCTTGGAAGCTTCAGGCGAGGGCGGTGAGAAGGAATAGCCAATCAGACAATTGGAGGCTAAGGAAGCCAAAACAGCTGCGCGCTAACCACCGCCTATCCCCACTAATCAACGCTCACCAATCTTCGCCAATCACCGTGAACCTGACGGCTTACCGCCTTTTATATACTTTTTTTTTTCTCTTTCTCTTCTGGTTCCTGGCAGATTATTTCTAAATAGCCTCTTCTTGCCCCGGGTTCTCTTCCTTTCGCTACCGTCGAAACGAACCGTCCAGTCGCTATGGCAAAGGTTTCTAGCAAGAAGACTTCGGTCAAGAAGGTACGCTTCATTTACTTTCGATTGATATGTCGATTGGCATGATCTACAAACAGACCAGCGTGACGATGAGACTGACAATGCCCTAATTTCACAGACCGAGTCTTCCAAGACCACCAAGGCCATCCCCCCTCAGCTGATCGCCTCAGTCGCGGCTTTCTTGTCGGACAACTTCCCCGAGACTAGCACCGCCTTCACCAAGGAAGTTGCAAAGTCGGGCAAGAAGAGCGATGCGAAAAATGTCCCATCTCTCTTGGGACTCTTCCAAGCATCCGAGCAGGGATCCAGCGTGAAGAAGTCTGCTAGCCCCAGTTCTTCTTCCAGCTCAAGCAGCAGCTCCGGTAGCGACTCGGATGTTGAGATGGGCGAGGCCACTCGCTCGTCCTCCCCCTCTTCGTCTTCTTCTTCCAGCTCTGACAGCGATGCGGATGATGAGGATGATGATAAGTCTCCTGCGGCTCCCACCCCTGCCTCGGCCAAGAAGTCTGCCGGTGTGAAGCGCAAGGCCGAGTCTAGCAGCGAGTCTAGCAGCTCCTCCGACTCTGACTCGTCCTCTTCGTCCGAAGACGACAGCCCTAAGGCTAAGAAAGCCAAGACCTCCGCCACCCCCAAGGAGGCATCTTCCTCTTCGTCCTCATCCGAGTCTTCGTCCTCGTCTTCGGATTCTTCTAGCTCTGACTCCGATTCCTCGTCGAGCTCCTCTTCGTCTTCCTCTTCGAGCTCTTCTTCGTCTGATTCGTCCTCCGATTCCTCCTCTGACTCTTCTTCCGACTCCTCTTCCGACTCCTCCTCTTCCTCCGACTCTTCTTCCGAGTCCGAGTCCGAGTCTGAGAAGGAATCCAAGAAGGCCCTGAAGACGGCAAAGAAGACTCCTCTCCCCGAGTCCTCCGATTCCTCTTCTGATTCGGAGTCTTCTTCCTCATCCGGGAGCAAAACCCTCGCCAATTCTCCCGAGACCGAGACCAAGCCGGCCAACAAGGCGGTGGAAGCTGTGCAGACCACCTCCTCGAGCGCCAGCCCCGCTCCTGGCAACGGACCTGCCAAGAAGAAGCACGTCGGAGCTCGCCCTACCCCTCTCGCTCTCCTGAGCGAGCTGCCTCATGACCACCCCTCGAACGACTACATGTCGTACGCCTACGCAGAGCGCGCCTGGAAGGACCTGTCTGTGACTCGCGGCAAGGGATTCACCAAGGAAAAGAACAAGAAGAAGCGCGGCTCCTACCGCGGCGGTCCCATCGACATTGGCCCCGCCACGACCTCTTTCAAGTTCGAGGACTAAACGACGACTCTTGCTTTCGCGACACAAACGTATTCGCTAGTCCATAATATCAGGCTATCGTCAGCATCTAATAAAAAAAAGTTGCCACCAAACCCGGGCTTTTTGTCTTGGATGTCGCTTTGCCGAAGGGAAGAATCGCTATCTTTGTGTTGCTGCAACTTCCAAGGTTTGCAGTACGACTTAGGTTCGCTGCAATAGATGAATTCGGAGAGATAGGGGCTCTCATATCCCGCATCATACTTTACCAATTTCACTCAGCAAGGCGTACACGGAGCTATGGACAAGGTCGTTGGACCCCTGATTTGCCATAGAATTTTTTTTTTTGCTCATTAGCTTACATCAATCAAAAGTTTGGGATCTGTCTCAACAAACTCCCCAGTATTTGCAATCATCCATGCAGTAAGAAAGAGGTCAAGGACGTAGCATACCCACGCAGACCCCTTCTAGCCCGATCAATCTCTATTAAGAATAGTAATGTACAAAACAGAGAAGTCAAAATCCGGACCTACCAATCTCGCCTCCTCCAAGCCCCAGGCTCCTCCAAGCTCTCCCACCTACAATCCCAACCCGTATGCGTATCACGAGCCGCATCCGCAGGCTCAATATCCGCAAACGCGCGCTGATTCCTCAGCTTAGAAGTAGTGGCGAAGTCATCCTCATCTGGACGCTCATACCCAGCCAGATTGAAGGCCTCAGAGTTCCAGCGCGGTAAAACCCCCGAACCCGTATTCACGCCCAGGTCCAGATTATATTCGTACCACTCTTTCTGCGGACCGGTTAGGTCATCCGTAGACGCAAAGTCGAGCTGGACGACACCGTCCACGATGCCGGTGTATACGGTTGGAGAGGAGGGCGAGGGCGAGGACATAGTGTAGATGGGGCCTCGGTAGGGACCTCTTTGGCGGTTGCGGGCTGGGACGGGGGTTTGTTGGGGGAATGTAGGGGGTGGTCTGTGGGAGAGGAATATCGAAAAGCCCTTTTTAGAACGGGACTTTGCTTCCGTCTTGGGTCTGGTGTCTGCGTTGGTATTTGCTGTCGATTGTGTGCTCTGCGATTGTGAGGCGGGTACCTGTGCGTCGAGGTAACTGTACGTGTTGCACATGCGCAGGTCGAAGATCTTGACCACGGCTTCGCCGCCGGCTCCGGCTAGGAAGCGCTCATGGCCGAAGGAGTGGAGGCTGTAGATGGGGTTCAGGTCTGTGGCGTCTCTGTAGGAGACTTCGTAGGGTCTTGGGGAGCGCAGGTCGTGGAGTCTGACGGTGTAGTCGTCCCAGGCGGTTAGAAAGACTTCGCCCGGGGAGGTTGCCAGGTTGTGGTTATTGAGGGGTTCAATTGCGCCGATATTAACCTGCGATTTGAGGCTTGCAGGGTCGGTGTCTAAAGAACCGATTCCGATTTTTCGGTATGCAGAGATACCGTCTGCTGTGATTTTCGAGATAGACAAGGAATTTTCCACGTCCCCAGTCCCTACTGCCACTAGTGATGAGGATAGCAATTTCGAGTAGTTGGTTCGTGACGAGCTTTCCGGTAGAAGCCATGTGAATGGCTCGATTTCTTCTTCGTCGGTCTGGGTATGGTAGAAAGCGATGGATCCATTTTCAAAATGAGCAGCCAAAGTAGAGTCTGTGTCACTGCTCAAATCTGTTTTATCGAGTTTGAGTCCATACGCCAAGAACTTCTGCTTGTACTCAAATTTTGCTTCATTAGGAGAGATCGCAAGGTGAGCGATATCACCTCGAACTCGACCAAAGATCAGATGCTCCACGCTGGTATCGTTGACGTATTGGTTTCCAGAGGACAAAAGATGCAGAGAACAAATGTCATCATAGCTGCTAATATGATCAATATCATTGAACACAAGCCAGTCTTCTTGTGAGCGAGCACCGGTTTGCTTGATCCTCATCACAAGCTGGTTGGCAGCGCCCCAGGCAAGCACCTCCTTCCTATCAGCCCAACGCTGGCCATTCCAGATCTCGTAAGAATCAATTGAAGGCCTGTACCCGAGAGTCGGGTTGTCTCGACGAGTCACCTCGTGAGAACCGATTTTAGTTATAGTTTCAGGCGGTACGATAAATCGTCCGATGATGGCTTTTCTGTCCAAGGCCCGGGACCGGGATGTCAACGCTTGTGCTGCATCTTTCCAGAATGGCGGTGTTTCGATAGATGGAAATCTGCTTCTAACAAACGCTCGGAAGATGCGGGAATTTTCAGCCGTGATAATGTTGTGTAATCGGCGACATGTCTGGGCCAAGTGGGCTAATGCATTGGCAGTTGGGAGAAATGTCGCGATTTGATATATGATCTCCGATGGAAGCTCGTAAAGCATCTTGAAAGCAAAAGCCTGATTTGACAGGGATGTGAAAAGAACAATCGTTTCGGGCTTTCAGACTATCGCCATCATTCTTTGTTTTCCGCCACTTTCATGTGTGTTTTGATGCTGTTCACTGAGCTGGAAAGGGAAATCCTACAGAAAGAGCCCCATATGTTCAACAACAAGCAGATTAGCGGTCCAACCTATATACTATTCTGCAGTTGTCGATTGTGCTATGTTCATTTGTTCACACAATATGTTCCAAGGCAGCAATTTCGTACACAAATCGCCCCATGTGGGCGCCAGTTGCCTTATGACGTAAGCACATGGGCTCGCTAGGACTCCAGAGGGCTCTTTTCTCACGCTAAAAAAGCAGTTAAGCAGACCCTTTCCAATATAGAGTAACAAGACTATAATAGAATGAATATCAATTTCCAACTCCGAAAAGAGAAAAGAGGGATATGAAGGTTGGGGGAATGGCGAAGGGGGATTCGGGGAGCTTAAACCAGAGAGTACCCTGCCCTGGTGAGTCCAAGTCCAAGTGATTTCACGAGTAGCACTCACAACGCGGACGATATGAGTATCCAAAAGAGAAATGTTTAATGCCAGCAGCACGAAGAAATGAGACCTCAAATCTGGTTGTGCAACAGCCACCTGCGCACTCCCGCCTTATTTCCGGGCTATCTGCCTGGAGGCTCCCGAGGTCATCCATGGATGCCCTCTCCACCCCGCTCCCGCTCACTTCTAAACCCTGGCATTCATTCCAATAAACCTGCGCTCCTCCGCAATTTCGTCCAAGTCCTTCATATATACATGTGTTTCACTATCTCTTAGACCCGATTTACTCAGTTTCTCGACTATAGTAAGGATACGCTACAGTACGTCCCGTAACTGATGTCACCACCTAGACTCTTCGATTAGTTCTCGAACCCTAATTGCCAGGGCGCGCTAGTCTATATTAATAGATTTTTCCGGGCATCATGGCCATCGATTTCCAATCAGTCGTCCCGATCCTCCGCATCTTTGACATCACCAAGGCGGACGAGTTCTATCTCGAATATCTCGGCTTCAGGGTCGACTGGGATCATCGGTTCGATGAAAACGCGCCTCTATATCGGCAGATTTCTAGGGGAAACCTGATCCTTCACCTAAGTGAGCATCACGGGGATGGCAGCCCCGGTGTGCAGGTCCGGATAATGATGAGGGGAATCGTGGAGTATCATCGCGAGCTAAGTGCCAAAGGATATCGATACATGAGGCCAGGAATTGAAGAGGGTCCGGCGGCGGGATCGCAGGAAATGGGCGTCATCGACCCGTTTGGAAACCAGATAAAGTTCTGTCAGGACGATGATGAGAAAACACAAATCTAGACATGAACACTATGCAGAACAGTGTCGATGGAGGCCAGCTCGAGGTCGGGATCGTGGTCCAAGACCATAGCGTCGGGCAAATAGTCTGACCTAGCGATCCATTTCCTTACCACTCGCAGCGGATCTCAGGTCTTGATAGCTCGGTGGTCCAGCCCGCGGGGACGGTAAACTACCTAATCTTAGTGACTTGAATTAAACAAGGAAGTAGGTATACTCAGTGGTGGTAGGGCACCGCTGTTCGCCTGTAGCCTGAGGGGCGAGGCATGCTTAGGAGATTGCGCGGTGTGAGGTTGTATCAGTGATATGATTAGCTCCAATGATAACATATGCATACTCACAGGCGACGGGGTTGGACTTTCGGTGGGAGGCATGTTCGAGTAGATCAATTGTTGGGGGAGGTGATGAATACAGGATGACGAGAGAGTGAAGGACTGATAAGGTTCGTCCTATTCTAGGCATCGAGGCTATTCCTACTATACAAATCTCCATATTAGGAAAACCTAACTATTCCAACTGTAAAAATATATGCATTTGATGATATTGAAGCTACTTTCTACCATACATATTCCTAGATCGACAAAGGGGGTTTGGATGGTGGGAATAGCTTTAATTCCAGGATTTGTGCAAAAAGAATGCTTCAAAACCGGGAGATTTAGACGGTGAGAATGCCATCGGCGCCTGGATTCATAGTGGGAAGAGCTTCAAAATATAGATGGCTTCGTCTAAAGCCAGGCAAGTTTCCAGCAACGCCTGAAAAACCAGGCATTTAGCTCTTATCGCCTTATCGCATTCGCGGGGAAGTAATGTCGGGGCGGTGTCCCGAGTTGGAGAAGTTTCCCTATCAAACCTGCATGTAGCTATGCACATGTAGCTCGTATTGACCATCTGGAGACGATCTTTGGGGTAATTCCATTACCTAACTGTTCGCCGTCGGCAAAGGTAAAACGAATCAGAGTGAGTGGAATTCAACGGTATGGGGCCTATAGGTTAATCTTGCAATTAGGGACCACACTCGGCACCACCTGCAATACACGGATGGGTGCTGGCTGGTCTAGCAGCTAGTGGCATAGCGGTGTCGGCAATCTCCATTGTATACTCCGTACAGCCCCGAGGTCCAGAGGGGCTCACAAGCCGCTTTCCTTATATCTGCGAAGCATCTAGGTTGTCCCAGTTATCCACCTTAGTGGACGGCAAACACAACCATCTCGGAGTTCACAATGGCGTATTCGATCACTGCCCTGGCGGTAGCACTTTTTGCTGGTCTTATCTTCTACAGGGTGTTAATTTATCCAGCGTTTCTCTCCCCGCTGTCGAAGATCCCCAACGCACACTGGAGTGCTCCCGTCTCCCCGATATGGATGCTATGGAGGCGATTCACGAGCCGAAATAACAGGACCATCCAGGCCGCGCACGAGAGACTCGGTCCTATCGTTAGGTTAGGACCGTCGGAGATCTCGATCAACTGTGTCGAGGGAGGAATTAAGTCAGTTTATGCCGGCGGATTTGAGAAGCATGACTGGTATCCCCGAGTCTTCGCTTCATTTGGGTTAGTATGGACACTGATTCACAGTAGTCCAACGTACGTAGCTCACCGTGAGAAACAGGACAGTGAGCATGTTCACCATGACAGGAAGCAAGACACATTCAACCCGGAAAAGGATGTTGTCCAACATATACTCGAAATCGACTCTGCAGACATCCCCTCATATGCGGGTAGTCTCAAATACCGTCATCTTTGACCGACTGCTGCCGATTCTTCAGGAAGCGGCAATGTCTGGCAAATCCCTCGATGTGCATGATCTAAATCAGGGACTGACAATGGACTTCGTCTCCTCCTATCTATTCGGTTTGCAGAATGGCACTAATTACCTGCAAGACAATTCGGTCCGCAAGCACTGGCTTCACCTTTACATGTGCCGGAAGCCGTTCGAGTTTTATGCCCAGGAGGTTCCATATTTGGATGGATGGCTGAGACGGATCGGTCTTCGTGTAGTACCTAAATACTGCGACGAGGCCAATGCAATGCTTGATTCTTGGGCTCTGGACCTATGCGATAGGGCAGAGCAGATACTATCATCGACCCAGCCAGGCGTCGAGCCAACTGTTTACAAGCAGTTGAAACAGTCTCTGGATAAGCATTCCGCGAAGAACGGAGAATCAGAGCCAGACAAGGCCCAGCAGCGACTCGATATTGCTTGCGAAATGTACGACCAGCTGACTGCCGGCTTTGAAACCAGTGCTGTTGGCCTCACATATCTGTTCTGGCAACTATCCCGACACCCAGAAGTGCAGAACAAGCTCCGAGAGGAGCTACTCACTCTGGATCCCCCGATTTCGTACCCAAAGACAGCCGATCTACCACCGGCCAAGTCAATTGATAACCTGCCGCTGTTGGAAGCGATCGTGACGGAGACCTTGAGACTTCATGCTCCAATCCCTGGCATTCAGCCTCGCGTAACGCCATCTCCGTCGTGCACTCTGGCTGGGTATGCAGATATCCCACCTAACACAAGGGTGAATGCGCAAGCATATTCACTGCACCGTAACCCGGAGGTATTCCCGGAGCCAGAAACCTGGCAGCCGAAGCGTTGGCTGGAAGCTGAGAATTCGCCGGCTAATCTGGAAGAGAAACGCCGGTGGTTCTGGGCGTTTGGGAGTGGAGGACGTATGTGTGTGGGAAGCAATCTGGCACTGCAAGGTATGAATTGAAGAATCGCAATCATTGAGTCATGCTGATTACCGTTTGACAGAGATGAAATTGGCCGTGGCTGCGATTTACACTAATTTCCGCACCACCATTGTCAACGATGACAACATCGAGGCTATCGATGCTTACACTGTGAAACCGACAGGCGATAAACTGATACTCAAGTTTGAGTCTGTCTGAGATGTCATGGGAGGGGAATTTGCATGCGCAGCTATTGCTACAGTATGAACTCAGAGTAGAATTAATTTGATCACCAAAAGTGTCAGTATTGCCGCTGAAAGGATAAGCGAAAAGAACGAGACACTAGCTTCCCGCTCGCTCATACAGTATCCATGAGGATAGTCGCCGAGAAGGATATCCTGCCAGGTGGCTCATCTATGCATGTGTAATGAAATAAGAGTTAATCAATTGTTCTGACAGGTGATTCCACATCCCACATAGTTGTATACTGTACATATGAAAAGCCAACTCCCATAGCCTCTGATGCAAAATAAGCGGACCGAATCAGCAGGTGATAAGGGCCAGAGAATTCGCGTAAATATTGTATCAAAAAGAAATCCAAAACTCCAGGTGGACAACTCGCTTCTGCTGCCAAGTCCGGATAGAAAATAACAATCCAGTGCAAAGAACATTTTAACCGAGAACACCATCCTTCTTCCGCGGGCCAACAACCTTGGGGTACATTCTCATGAGGTGGTAGTTGACGGTGTTCTTCTTCTGCTCCTTGGATTTCTATATGTGGGAGTGACTGGTTAGAAATGTCGACAATATGAAAAGAACGGCGGTGGATTATAACGTACCGGTGCATCCATGCACTTCCGCAATTGAGCCTCGAGAGCAGCGCAGCCCTCTGCGCCGTATCCGGCGGAAGCCCAGCAGTCTGTTTGCAACGCAATATTGTCAGTAACCCACTCACGATTTCGAGGTTCAAGGTATTCGACATCCGGAATGCGAAGCCAGGACGAGAGGTTGACAGCGACAAGCTCGCTGCCGACGAGGAGCAAACATACTAAGCATAGACGACATCACTACCACGCAGGGGTTCTGCTCGTTCTGATTCGGCCGGCGAACACGGAGGTGGTTGATGGTGTTAAGACGCATCGGGTTGAGCCGGGTGGAGAGGGAGCCTTTGGGTGCCATGGTGGGCAATTATTAGGGTCGTGAAACTGGCAACAGAGGTATCAATTGAGCGAGAACAGGCAAAATGCCTTGAAGCGACCGTGTGCGGGATTAACGATGAGAGACTGGCGCCGGCGACGGACCGACGACGAACAAAATCCGAAGTTTCGACTCCGCGGAGGTGGATGACTAATCTCTGTCGCGCCCCGGGGCCCATGATCTTTGTCTACCTCGAGGGCTTGCCACCCTATTGACGAGTCCTGTACACTCTTTTTGATATCGCAAGTTCATTAAATTGAAAGTGAATTTACTGAGCATGTCCGCGAGATACAGTTTGTCTACACAACTTCGTGGTGTTTCTTCAACATGCACCTTTAGAGCTCCGATAGCTCCCGCAGCTAGGCGGTTCTCCGCAGCATGCCACCTGAAACAAACATCGTCCTCGTCTACGGCCAAAACGGAGGATAAAGATGTTAAAGATGATTCGAAAGAAGAAGAAAAAGATAGTCCGATGGGACGCCGTCTGGCTCAGATGACTGAAGATGCGATGCTAGAAGGTGGACGATCTGCGCAGCGCAACATCGAGCAAGCAGGGTTCTCAGAAGAACTAAAAAATGAGCTCGCAGAGCGCATTGCTGCTTCTTCATTCAGGAGCGAGTATGCTGCTGCTCATTCTATAGTCGAAATGCCCGTATGTGATCCTTATCGTGTCCTACTGTCCGACAATCACTAACCCACATTCCCTTGTCGTAGGCTGGCGCAGGTCAGGGCACACGAGAGAACGCCGCCGCACCTAAATGGACAGGAACAGAGCGCGTCGAGGATACAACTCTGCGCATGCTAGATGACGCTAGCAAACCGATCCGAATGCCTTACAAGATCCCCGATCCCGTGAACCTCAGAATCCCCCCCGAAGCCCAAAAAGTCCCGCGGAGAACGACTTGCCGAAGCGAAAGAACGTACTTCTACCTACACACTAAGTCGGGCTCCTGGATTTTCCGAAGAAGAGCGTGAGGATATGCGCCGTGAGATGAGGGAGCAGTTAACACCCGGGGCGCATTCCATGCCAATCTCGATTTCGGGTCTTTCGTCACTGGCAAATGAGCGAATCGAAGATGCGATTGCGCGTGGACAATTCAAGAAGATACGCCGTGGGAAAGGTGTGAACACCAAGACAGATCACAATGCAAGCAACGCCTTCATTGATACAACCGAATATTTCATGAATAAGATCATCCAACAGCAGGAAATTGTGCCGCCGTGGATCGAGAAGCAACAGCAGCTTGGTTCGGAACTCAGTCGGTTCCGCGAACGTCTTCGGGCGGATTGGAGGAGACATGCTGCGATGTTGATTGCGAGCAAGGGTGGGTCCTTGGACGTACAAATGAAGCGGGCAAAAGCATATGCTGCAGCTGAGGCCCGGCTGGCAGACAGAGCAAAGTTGGAGGCTTCGTTTGGAGAAGATACATCCAAGTCAGAGACATCACAAGGATCACCTGCTATTAAGAATGACAGCGAGGAAACAGAAGATCTAGCCCATCTTCCACCATTACGGGACCCCGACTACCTCGCAATCGAGCGTTCTTATCACGAACTCGCCGTGAAACAAATCAACACTCTCACGCGCTCATACAACCTCCAAGCCCCACCCTCTGCCCACAAACCATATATCAATCTTGATCGAGAGCTCAACGCATGTTATGCCGCGGTAGCGCCTGAGCTAGCAGAGGAGATTAAACGCCGAGCGACAGAGCGAGCGCGTCCGTCATCAATTGTTCCGCCGGTTTCTTCCGGCAAGTTCGGGTCACTGGGCATGGCGCAGTCCGTACGAGTTCACGAAGAAGATCAGTCAAAGGGATATGGTATGAAAGAGCTGTGGCGCGATTTATTCACTAAATCCTGAAGACAGCAAACGACAAAAAAGAGAACTCCTCCACTCTTCCTTCTCCACTCTTCCTTCTGTTCATCCTGTGTGGCACCACATCGGAGATAATTATACACCAATAATGTGACATAAAACATGACGAGCAATGACACTCGAAATAAGACAAACAAAGACGATTTCTTCAGCACCAACCCCCCTTCTTCAACTTTCCTCTCACGAAACTGGGTTGGGATCTTCAGCTCTCGAACATACGGTCGTCACAGGATGTGGCTTTCTCGTCCACCACAGAAAGAGTAAAGGTATTACGACGACGCTGATGAGAGCACCGAGACCGCCTCCGACCGCACTTGACAGAACGAATGAGGCCGCGTTCATTGTCCTTGCGGCAGCATCGAGAGCAGGCGCGCCCAGCACCAAGCAGAGAATGGAAAGAGCAACCACAGTGAATGCTTTGCCGAGGTCGGTCCAAAGGTTATGCTTAGCCGTGCGCCTGATCGCAGCCGGGTCCGGGTAGAGGTGTGATGCCCCCCGTAGATATTGCCAGTCGAAGAAAGCATTGCTGACCATGCTAAGAAAACACCGGTACATGACGAGAGCGAGGAGAAGGAAAAAGTCCCCGATAAAATATGCAGCAGGTGAGGAGATGCCTGTGTACATGCCCAGGTAACCATGCTCTGGTAGCGGGTCCGGGCAAGTCGCATCAGCCCACGAGGGAAGACTCGCTGTCATATTGCTGGCTTCGTCGCGCTTGTGCATGGGAATGATGAAATGATGCCAGGGGATCTTTGGGAAGTCTCCCGGGGGCCAGCCGGCTTGCTCGAGGTCGGAGTCACCGAACGGCAAACGCGAGATCACTTCAACGTCTCCCACCCAGATCTCGTTAACTGCGTTTCCTTGGTCATAAAAGTGGTCAGACTTGACACCGTGCACGGCCGAGACCTTGTTTCCCATCTAAGTGTTTGTGAGAGTATAGGATGCAGTGTGATACAATGAGATGTGGTAAAATGAATTGAAAAAGCAATGTGGTAGAAAGTAGATGAAGATGGATGGTGAGGATTCACTGGGCATCTTGCCCGGTTGACCTGGGCAGGTGAGCCTGGAGTCACATCGTTTGGAAGAAACGAAAGAGGGAAGGCACACTGGGGTATTCCTTTTTCACAGTGAGAGAGATGAATCTCCTTGACTACATACCTACCTAGGTAGGTACGTATGTAGCTTGCTAATATCAGTGATTTGCACCTATTCTCGGGCTTGAACAAGTATTTGCTCTCTGATTTGAAAATAGGATGAGATGGACGAGGTATTCTATTTTCGACTAAGACATACTCAGCAAAATTATGATATGATGCTGCCACACATATTAAGATTCAGTTCTCAAAAGCTTTCTCTTAGATATGCTCGTCAGTATAGGCGATTCAAATTGATTCTCACTGTGGCGGCACTTGCGTATACTTCGGATACTGGTTGACAAGGAATGCTCTAACTGGGTATTCTCGTATATCCAATTGATAATGTGGCTCGATTTTAGACCAATTACAATGTGTCTGAGAAGACTCCAACTCCTTACCTCAATCTTGAGAGTGCTAAAATTGGTCAAAAGGACTTTGGCGGGGAGTTAGGGTTCTCTGCCCTGTGAGTGGCCGCCGCCAAGTGATGATCGTGCATGAGGGCGCGTATTTGTGACCAACGACAGGCTCATCAGACTGCCTTGGCCTGCACTGACTTTCTCTTCACTTCATCACATCGAATATGCTTGCTTCTTATACGTACCCCCTCCCCCCTGCCGCCCTCATCACCTTTGGAACATGTATCACCCCAAATCCTCGTGTGAGATTCGACGTTTCGGAATGTCGATCAGTGACCACACCTACTTTTAAAATTATTCCTTTTCCTCTTCATCTGTCATATAATCTAGCCGGAAATGACTCCCCCGGCTGTCTTCGTTTTGCCTGTCCTTTTTACTCTCTTGATCGTACATAGTGCCCCGGTACAGGCCCAGAAGGTTCAACGTGCATCGAAACCAGCCGCGCCCCCAACAGTGGACAAACCACTGTTAGCAATCCAAATTGGGAGCATAGTGGGCGCCTATGTGATATTCGTCGCTGTCCTACTAGCTCTACTTATCTTCGTCGGACGACGTCTGCGTCGGACAGTCCAGTCCTCCAACTATACACTGCATATGGAAATTCTGAAGCCTGCCAGACCTCCCGTCAGCATGGATCCCAGCCCAGTCTCTCCCATGTCACACAACCTCCCCAGTCCCAAGTCGAGCGGGTTCAGGTCCTGGGGATCACTGAATAGGAGTGCCAGACCCTCCCAACCATCCACGAACGGCAGCATGGTGACCATCGACGAGTCCATCGTCGCAAACGACCGACAACGGGCCCAGCATGATATGGAAATGCTCTATGCAGCGGTCATGGAACACGACGCCCAAAAAGCTTCCGGAGTTGACCTGGCTGTCCCCGAACGAGACCTCCATGCACAATCACCAGACAGCCAACTCACAAACCCATTCACTGACCGTGGCTCCCACGCCTCAGAGAGCTCACTGGCACCCTTAGCTCCATTGAAATCCCCCAAGGGATTCAACAGCTCCCGCCTATCCAAGCTCTTCAACTCAGGCTCCCGCGCCAATCCAGAACCAAGCAAAGTGCGCTCACCGCGCCTGGCTATCCGCAAAATGCCCATCTCCTCCCCACTGGCCTCACCAGCAATGGCCACACCTCAATCCTATGTACCCGAAAACCCGCCTCTTTCCCCGCGGATTTACAACCCCCGCCCTCCTCCAGTGGCGCCGCGACAGCAGACGACCGAGCCGATCAGACCGGCTCCTGGGCGTGCCCGTCCACCGGCGCCGCTAACCCTGTCTACTCCCTCGCCTTCTTCCTCAATTCCGTCTAACCTACCTTTCCGCGAAGCGTACCCGCCGCAAAGTGCCCCGGCTACCAAGACGACTATCCTAGAACGGCCGTTGAAGAACCGTGCGGCTCCTGTCACGGGTATGGCTACGCCGTATAGTCCGTACATGCCATTCACTCCTGTGACGCCTTTTACACCCGGGCGCACGGTGACAAAGCGACAGCGGAAGCGGGAGGAACGCGGAAATGGATTGCAGGTATTGAACGAAGATGATCTGGTTAAGGATGATGACGATATCTGGGGATGATAATATGGTAGGGGAATGAGATTTCGTATGAAATCACCCGGTCTATTTGGCTTATGTTTAAAGCGCCTTGTATAGGTATGGACCTCATTTATTTCTTGAACAATCGTCTGTCATCATGTAAAGCTCTATCCTGAATGAAATTCCGGTACATTCCTACTCACTCCTGCCCCAGGGCCCTCTAAATCGGTCTATACCATTACCATCCCACGCTCTAGTACCAAATCGAGATTTATATAAATGATCTAGTGTTGATTATAGAGGCTAAGTTCTATACAGCATGTATGTGAGACAAAAATAGTATCATGAAAAGATATGCTAAGGACAGCAATAGTATGATCAGGCTGCATATCGCCAAGGCATCCAAGTTTTCCTATGGCAGGAGCCTGAGTGCATATCCTTCATGCTAGAGATCTGCATTGTAAAACCCCGAATTAGGGTTGGCGTTGTATGATGGAAAAGGCCAGTGTTAATGGGAAATAACTGGGATTTTCAACAGATACCTATATGTACATATTAGGTAGCCACTTTGCCAAGCAACTACGTTATATTTCGATATAGTTATGTGTAGAGACATAAACCCCTAAATATCCTAACACAATTCCTAGTTAATCTGTGATATCTTTTTCTTACAGAGGTAAAACTGATATCTGTGTTTCACTTTCTGTGATTTACAGCACATGTTCTATTAAAATTACAGAAGGAAATTAAGGAATGTTAGCATGGAGAAATGATCCTCGAGGAACATTTTGTGGCCCCCAAAATATGGGGGTTCTTTTGCGAATATTATTGGGGGGGATTTATTGGGGGGATAGAAGATCGACAACCACGCCCGGGCGGAGCATCGTACAGCCTTAGTGTACGTTATTAGAAACAAAAGATTCGCTGTTCCCTCTGCAACCCTTTGACTTCAATGCAGAAATCGGAAATGGAACTACAGCCATTGCCACAGCCGGACGACGAATCGCTTATAGCGGACAAGCTAACCACTTGGTCACAGTCATTGTCAAGGTCGAAGTGTCGATTGCTCGGGAACAAAACGACTGAAGACTGGAAAAAGGCGCTTTATCTAGGGGTCCATCTCTACCTTCGTGGTGCTGGTGTTCAATGTTGGCTTTGTCCTCTGGGCGGTCACGAATCATGGACTGAAGGGTGATCAAGCCGTCCTCTTCACTGGGAACTGCGAGAAATCAAAACAGATCAGCACGGCGTTTCACTTGGTGATTAATATTCTAGGAACTGTTCTGTTAGGTGCGAGTAACTACGGCATGGTCAGTCACTGAATCATCGCTATTCAGGAAGGATAGGGGCTAATAGAATCTACGAAGTACAGCAATGTCTCTGTGCTCCAACCAGGGGGGATATTGATCGTGCCCACTCTAGAGGGAAGTGGCTGGATATTGGCGTGCAAAGCACACGGAATCTCAGCCACATTCCCCGTATAAAGCTCTTTCTTTGGATCTCTCTGGCTTTTTCATCGCTCCCTTTGCATCTCATGTAAGTCTCTGATGTTATTCGCAAGATGCCCAGTGGATGCAATGTCTCATCTTACTTCCCAGGTATAACTCTACCATATTCCAGACCCTGTCAGTCTATAAGTACCAAGTGCTTGTAGGAAACAAGCCCTTTTCTAGTTTCAATGTAAACAATGTGAAACTCCCTGGTCAAAACTCGCCTGATACGACCTTTTCAAGACTGCTGGAGAAGGACATGAACGGGACGCTCGAGTACTTCACCAATAGCGAGTGTATCTCCAAATACGCAAATGGGTTTCAGACAAATTACGCCAACTTGCTCCTTGTTACGGATGATTATAATTCAACTATCCAAGACTTCGCCAACTTCACGGACCATGGACCACCTGAAACTGACCCCTACCGCTGGATATGCGCTGGATTAGGCTCCGCTTTCTCGCACCGAGACTGCCCAAGCCTTGTACCGGAGCTACTCGCAGACCCAGACAACTGGGCGGTACCGGCAACGCTTTCAGACTTTGTGAGTACGAACTTTTCACTCCACTCGACAGATCTCAAAGTCAATTATTGCCTGAGCGAAAGCGTCCCGGAAAGATGTACCGTAGAGTACAGCCTTCCGTTGATTATCGTGGTGATTATTTCGAACATCATCAAAATTGTCATCCTATGTTGGATTACCCTCACCATGGCCGAGACTCCCATTTTGACCACAGGGGATGCCATTTCCTCCTTCGTCGAGATACCCGATGATACCACAAGGGGACAATGTCTACTCTCGCGTGACGTGGTAATCAAGCCGGTCAATAAGAGCCTGAGATTTGATGCAAAACCAAGACGATGGGGATCGCCCGTGTCTGGTCGCCGATGGACGATTTGTCTCTTATCGTATGTGAATCCACCATAAACCCCCTGTTCTTCGACCTAACCCATCACTTTAGATATTCTATTGCCATCCTTGTCTGCGTTTTCTTCCTCATCATAGGGGTGGCCGGAAGTAGCGGGATTTGGGCCGCTGGTCTCGGAGAGCCGAACATCTCGAACTTGATAATCGGCTTGCCTTCCTCCCTGGTAGCAAACACCATCATAGCCAATGCCCCCCAGGTCGTGTTCTCGATATTGTACTTTTCATCCAATGGTATCTACACCATCATGGCGCTCGCCAATGAATGGAGCTACCACGCCCTCAAACGGAAGGGTCTTCGGGTTTCCACGCTTCCCCGGGGCTCTCAGCGAAGTACATACTTCCTGTCCCTTCCTTACCGATACTCACTTCCCCTCCTGACCATTTCGGGCATCTTGCACTGGCTCATATCCCAGAGTCTCTATCTGGTGAGCATTAAGTCGTATGGGATTGGGCTGACTCGGGAGCCTGCGGAAGATACCACCACGTGTGGGTATTCGCCGGCTGTGATTCTGAGTACGCTTTCTGTCGGGGTCGCCATGCTGGTTTGTCTTGTCTTGATATCATTTAAACGGTTAAAGTCCGGTATGCCAGTGGCGGGGAGTTGTAGTTTGGCTATTGCTGCTGCTTGTCATCCTTCCTTCTCGGGTGGGGATGCGATGGAGGAGATAGGTGGAATTGATGGTACACTTCCGTTGAAATGGGGGGTTGAAATGCCTGAACGTGATGGGATAGGGCATTGTGCACTCTCCAGTGGGCAAGTGGAGTTTCCGCTGGATGGAAGCGTGTATGAGTGAATAGTTAATTAGAGAGCTTCTATAATCTATCACTGAGAGATGGATGCGGTGCAAAACCCTCCACTCGGTTATTTGGACCTATATGATTCCCCTAATGTAGTTATCAGTGATGCCATCCACAGCTGACAAGTCTTTCTTATACCTAGGTATTTCTCTAAAACATGGCCCAACAAAATCCGGTCTATTTCTGCCAAACATGCGCCATCTCCGCTCGAACCATTGCCATCAAGACGACCTACCATTAACTATTAGCCACGCCTCTCCCATACCTACCATAGACATTCACATACCAAGCTGAGATCTACCCCTTTAGCCACGCGAACCCTCAAAACCGAGACATCCCGATCCCGCACAAACCGCTTCTTGATATTGTTCGAATGAACCGAGATCTCCGCAATCGTCGCATTACCAACATTAACATAATTCGTTAACCCCATCGCATCGCGCGGTCGCATCTCGAACACCGCGCCAGAACCCAGGATCTTCGCATTAATAGCCGTATGTTGCGACGTGAAGAATTTATTATGGCACAGCTCGGCGATCTTGTTGCCACTAGCGTCTTCTACAAGCCACCCGATCTTACGTCGTAGGTCGAAGACTGGCCGGCCCGAGGCATCCTTCAATGGTCGTCTCAGCGTCATCGAGCTATAGCCCCCCCGGGCCTTCGACGGAGAAGAGTTTCTCGCCGTTATCGCCTGCGATCGTGATATCTTGGAGATGGCGGTCGTGGACCCTTACCCATACCACGCATTCCTGCTCGGTCGTATGGCCTTCGATTAGACAGACTGGTGAAGGTGGGGCTTGGAGCTCTGCGTCCATTGTGGTTGAATAAGATGCCAAGAACAGGAGGATCAGGTGGACGTTTGTTTGGGGTGTAGATAATTGAGAGCAGGACAAGGGTTGGGGCGGACAGATGGCAGGGAAGATACAGAGAATCAGGTGAGGATGGGGTCTCTACGCCCTGACAACAAGAGACTAACTCCACACTCTCGAAATGGTAAATGCGCAGTGGTGGGTCTGTTCAGCCTGCATATACGCGGAAGGAAGCTTGTTGCCCGGTTGAAGGAATGCGGAAATAGTGCTCGTAGAGGTTTCCCACGTTGGGTGGGATGCTTGGGGGCCAGAAATTGAACTAACTAAGAAAGGATTGTGGGTGTTAGTAAATATCGCAACAGCTAAAGGGGAGGTGGGGGGAGGATATTGAAATTATATGAAAGCGGGCCTGGCGGGATAACCCCCTTATGCAAGGCTTCCGGCGTCGGACTACTGCGATTGGCGCCACGGCAGATGCTTAAAGTGGACCAAGCTTTCAGTGGGGGCAAGACGTGAAGAAGATATGAGAGCCAATAGTAAATCGGTCTGATATTCTAGGGAGTATAAGGGGATATTTAGTATCTTAGTATGGCATAATACCTTTTACACTACTTAGGTATTAGAATAGGAAGCCTAGGATTATTCAAGTTGATAACTGTCTAGTTTATTCCCAACAGAAGCATTGATTTCCTGCTTTTCGAACTCTGGCCTTCCTTTGGTTTCATTGCCAGGCTTACTCAAATCCACGTAAGGACATATAGCGCCAGGGCACGTTGGGGCCATCGGCAAAGGATTGTGAGTTTTGCATGATTCAGCCAGAAAGATCACTCATGATCTCATCTCACTCAGCGAGGAAGCGATAATTATCATTAATGCCTCAGTTTGACCCACGCGAAGTATGGGGGCCAATATGTTCTTAGTGCCATACGGATATCGTTCGTACTAACAGAACAGGACGCCTAGTACTTTCATTATAGTATGTGCATAAGACTCCAGTTGAAGCCTGGACTAGATCCCTATTGATGAAGTTGTATACAATATTAAAACAGAGAAAGGCGCAGAGAAGCTTAGGATTCATGGTGGACGGCGAATGCCACGGGGATATCTCCCTCATCTATATGCCTGACGCACCACGTCGCATAGCACGATAGTCTGTAAGACAGTTATGGCCCGTAACACAGGTGGAATCTGGAAGGCCGGAGTGGAGTTGACACTGGAGCCGGGAGGTAACTATAGAGACGAAGGAATTAGATAGCAGTACAAGGCAATGAAAACATAGCCCGCTCGAGGGATATTCATTCCAATTTACTCCATGGAGGAAAAGGATAGTCAAACCCGCGGACCAGAGACGTCAAGGACTAAAGAGGTCACGGACCAGAGACGAGGTATAAAGCAGCCTGTCCTCCCAGCCGACAACTGATCCAAAGCACTATCTTTCTTACTCGCTCAAAGCTCCTCAATTACTTCCGAAACTTCCTTTCTACCTTCAATATGGTTTCCTTCAAGACTCTCCTCGGCGCTGTCGCCATTGCTGCCTCTGTCCAAAGCGGCTCCGCTATTTTGGTCACGATTTCCCTCGACGTTGCCCTTGGAACCATCGGCGGTGTCATTGGCGCCGCCGGTGGTGTGACCGGAGGTGTCTCCGCTGCTGTCGCCAACTCCAAGCGAGAGGTGAACGAGATCGAGGCCGCACCTATCAGCCGTGTTAAGAGACAATCTTACGGCACCAAGTACGACTGGGAGCAATGCCACCAGCAACTCACTACCTCGACCATCGACTTCAATGGCGAGGCACCTGGCAGTAAGTAGCCTCGCTATCTCAACGCTAGAAGGGCCTATTTAGCTAACAGATATATCCAGCCGTGGTTGTCAGCGGTATGCCACCGGCTTGCATGACCCTTGCTACCGTCCTTACTGGCAAGTTCGATCAGGGCAACCCGGTTCCGCTCAGCAACAACGCGGTCCGTTTCACTGGCTTGACCGATGACGATGTCAAGCAGATGGAAGACGCTTTGAATGCCCACGCCTAGATCAAACGGGGTATACTCTCCCGATTGGTGATCATTGTGAACTAGTTATACAAGGGATGCTGGTATGGTCCGTTTGTTTGGCTTTGGAAAAAACAAATCTTGTCTGAGACTAGAATTGATACTGGCTTGTGAAATCTTCTCTATACTGTTATCTTTTATATTGGTCCAAGTAGCCCATTTTTCGCGTACAACATAATTGACCTAAAGTTTGTAAGTCAGGCCGTGGCTTCCCGGTTCACCATATTTCCATAACGCGTGCCCGGGTTATGCTATATACCTAGGTATGATTACGCCACACATAATACCTATCTTCTACGTAGGATATGAGCTGCTCCATTAGCTGGTAATTGTGGTAATGGATAATATACAAGCTTTGTTGCTACTGCAAGGGGCAATAGTCATATGTTCTATGCGTTTTAACCCCCTATTGCTCAACACTTTGAACATCCAACTGACTTCACACAATGTATTGTATTTGAACAAGGGTAAGTACTCGTGTGGAGCTGTTTCTGCACGCATATGGAGTCTGCTTTTGGGGGCCGTCGTCTACACTGCCGTCCACATTTGGGGGCCAGCTGCTCCACATCCCAATATCCTTCCTGCCGAATGGCCCCCCACGTTTAAAATAACATGTCTGGAAATTTCGGCAGGGGGCAAAGTAGGAGACCGCACAAACTATATCAGGTGCGCCGCACCGATTCTGCACCATTTCGCCCTCAAAGGACTGATTTAAAAAACAGTAGGTACTGGGGCACAAAAAAGCCATGGCATTGGAACAAGCTATCCAAGTCTCACAACCAGTGCTCTACCTTGCTCTGTCCGGGATTGCATTCGCCATCTCTTTGCATGCACCAAAGCAGGGACAACGCCTAGCACTACTGCCGTTGATTCTAATCCCCGCTTTCCTCTCCTTGTCTGCGGCACTCCATGTGCCATTTGCCCCTGGTGTCTCACTTGTCTGGGCTCAAGCATTAACAGGATATATCCTGCACACCATATCAACCTTACATCTCGAGGGGATATCACCACCTTGCTCGGGTTCGGCAACGCCTGGATCGAGCACATTCTTCAACTTTGACTTCGGTTACTTCCGCCGAATTTGGCTGAATCCACGTTTGATACGTACGCATCCAAACCAGGCCTCACAGGAGCGGCCGAAGCAGTCTCGTGGGGTATTCCTTGTCTTACAACTCTCCAAGCTGCTCACATACTACATCATCCAAACAAAAATCTCCCCTGCGTTATATGACGAAGTTGTCATTGACATCCTACCCGATGATGTTGCTCCATATCAACAATCTCTCTTGCGACCCTTGAATGGGTTCACGGCGCGAGAGTGCTTGAACGTGACATTCGTCACCTTCTCATCTTTCTGGACGACGTTCGTATATCTCGATGGGACGAATGCCCTGATGGGCGCACTTTTTGTCATGATCGGCCTGGATGATCCAGAGGACTGGCCACCACTTTTTGGACACCTCTCCCAGGCAGTCGGGCTGCGAAATTTCTGGTCAAGGTTCTGGCACACGCTCCCCATGAAGCCTTACAGAAGCATTGGGGAATACGTCAGTCTTCGGATAGTTAGGCGCTCGCCTCGGTCGTTCGCCCACAAGTCGATCATTGCCTTGGTTGCATTTGGGCTTTCGGGCGCCGCCCACGCTTTGATAGACTGGCAACGTGGTAGCCCTGACTGGCATTTGAATATTTATTGGTTTCAGCTCAACTTTATCGGTTGCATGGGCGAGTCCCTCTTTGTCAAGATGCTTCGCCAGTTAGCACGGAGAGCTGGTCGAGAGCATGATCTTCGGACAATGGAGGAAAGCTGGCTTGGCAGTCTTGTTGGGTACGTCTGGGTTTGCGTCTTCTTCTGCTGGACAGTGCCAATGTGGCGTTTTCCCGAAATTCACCGGCAATCTTTGGCGTTTCAAAGTATGAGGCAGCTCCTGTCGAACATGCAAATAGTTCAACATTAGAGGCGCTCATAGTTTACCGCATGTATCCATATGTGGACAAGCAGGTGGAAGGACTTGTCACAGTAGATACTGAGACCGTACAGTCAAGTAGCGGCTTGCAGTATGAAGGTACAAGTCCAAAGGCCATTTTAGTCTTCAAAAGGATCATTTTCAGTGTCAATTCCACAGGTCCTTTACATGGGATGGGTGTGTACAAACACTGGTTGATATGTTCTCTGAATTTAATATCTCCTGTATGACCCTATACGTACGTATCTATCTAGACCTGATTTACATTTTCTCCTTCAAATGAGTATTCCCCCTAACAATTGCCTCCGCAAAATCCGACCTCGTCCCCGCCTTCTCAAGACTCAAAAGCGTCTGGATCGTACACCCCCTCGGCGAAGAAATACTCTCCCTAACAGCCGCCGGATGCTTCCCAGACTCCAAAACAGCCGACAACCCCCTAATCCCCTGCAAAACCAACTCCATCGCATCTCCACGCTTAAACCCCTCCGCAACACACCCATCCAGCAACCCCTCAATCGGCAGCGTCAACGTCGCCATCGTCGCCCCAATAAGTACAGTCGCCAGCCCAATATGGTCAGCTCCTAGGTACTTAACCGCACCGACATGCTTGAAAATCCACTCCGTGATCTCAACCATGGAGGTCGGGATCGTCGGCGCAGGAGTCTCGATGATCGTCATCGATTCGCCAAACTGCGCGCCCATGTTCGGAATGGCTTTCATGAGATGCGGGGGATCTGCGCTGGCGTCTGGGTTGATGAGATTGGTCAGGGTTTCGCATGATTGGCCTGCGAGCATGCTGATGACGAGTTTTCCGGCGAGGGCGTCGCGGACACCTTCTTCGCTGAGCACGGCTTCTGCCATGAAGGGTTTGCAGGCCAGGATTACTATGTCGGCTTCTTGCATTGTTTGGACGGTTTTGTCGGAGACGATTTTGATTAGTTGTTGGTGTTCGGGGGCGATTGTTGTTTGTAGACGGGATGCTGAGCTGGCTGTTTTTGTGCATGCGATGAAGTGGGTGATTGGATTTGGTGTGGTTGTGGTGCTTTTTGAGAATGCGCTGTTTAGGAGGCCGTTTAGTACGGCGCCTCCCATGTTACCTTGGGTTTGTTAGTTGTTGGTTTAGTATGGATGGTTATGTTCACTTACCGCATCCGATGAATCCGAGGGTTTGTCCTGAGGCCATGATGGTATTCTAATATTCTAGATGCTGAGAGAGATGGGAGTTTGATTGTGTCCGGAGTTGGGGGGTTGGCTATCTCTTTGACTCATATGGATGTCGGGTGAGGTGTCCGACATTGACGGCAGCCGATGCCGACCTTTCTCTTGAGATTTTATAACATTTCAAGTGTATGGTGTCTAATAATTGTTCTTTTTACTGAAGTTTTCAAAATGATGCGACAATTGCCCATGAATGATTGTTTATGCTTCGTTCTCATGTCTACATATATGTATGTGGATTACTTCTGAATATCATCTACACCTAGTGGGATATATATAAACGAGTTTCTCTGGTTTCCCTTGCAATATAGAGACTGCTTACAAGATGAATATAATCAATTTATTCCATTCAAAACGAATACGAACACCTAAACAAGATGCAGATGCATGTGTATCTGATCCTTGCCTCAGGCACCCAAATGCGTATAACAGATTTCCGCATTGGGCTTTGGGTTCGCATCGAATGCAGCAGGGATTCTTTCCTATCATCTTCGATCTTTACATTCTCTCTCCTCTTTTGATTAGATCTCCTATATCAGTCAATATCTGAACTCCTATGACTTGAATTGTTTCATCAAATCCAACTCTTCCAACACTTGTTTTATTTGCAGATCGCCCCGCTCTTTCCCCCCCCACCTCCGAAAGCAGCTGTCGTCATCCTCGGAGAAAGCGACTTGGCTCTTCCCCGAATCTATTTCGGGCTGTCTTTTACTCCATTAGGATTGTACAATAATAGGTAATTTGTTTCACTTTTATCTTGGCAGAGGCGTGGTCTGGCCTTGGACTGTCTTTGGCTAACTGGAACTTCGCAGATTTCAGAATTTCTCTTCCCTTTCCTCTACTCGTTTACACCTCTCCTTTTTAGTTTCCCAGTACGAACCGTCTACATGCCTCTCACCATCCTCTCCCGATCCCAGCTCCGCGAGCTGCTACATGCGCTCTCTCGCGACGAGATTCTTAATCTACAACGCAATCTCGCCGACGCCCTACGAGAATACTCCAGTGGATCCCAGGAGAAGGGTTGCTCGGCAGCTTACCAACCCCAGCGAACTGCCATCACTCGTCAGAATGGCTGTACCACCCTCTTTATGCCCGCCAGCACGGGCCAGACAATTGGCATCAAGATGATTTCCCTGCAGGACGGGGGCGCTGCTGGCTGTGCGGTTGAACGGGACACGGTGGATATGCAGGAGAAGGACCATATTTCCTCGCGCAGACGAGGCTCTTTCCGAAACTCAGTGGCTTCCATATCCTCCGACTTGAGCGATTTGTCTGTGGGCTCCCAAGAAGACAAGGAAGACAGTAACTCGATTAGTCCCGTTACCACCACGAACAGCAGTGCAGCAGGATCAAGCACGGATAGTTCCACCCTGCTCACTGGTTGTGTCAATCAGCAGAATGTCACCTCGAACATTTCTAGAACTCTTGGCGCTTGGCCGGGCGCAGGAACTCGTGACACATCGCCGCGCGGCAGTGTGACACTCCTAGATGGCGAAAGTCTGCCATTCGCCCTGATCAACGCTCATGAGCTGACGGCATTCCGCACGGCCTTGGCTTCACTGATGATGTTCAACAGGCGCAAGAAGGTGCGCACTCTTCTCGTATTCGGTGCAGGTACCCAGGCTTACTGGCACATCCGCTTGGCGTTGGTTCTCCGCGGTGAGGACATCCGCCGGGTATATATTGTGAACCGGTCTTTCGATCGCGCAGCCAAGCTTCTGCAAGAAATCTATCAGCCCGAAAACACCGAATGGCGCGGGGACGTAAAGTTTTCTGCCGTTAGCACCGATTTCGGCGAGTACAGTCGCATTCTGAAGGAACATGTACGCAAGGCCGACGCAATCTTCTGTTGTACTCCCTCTCCAGAACCTCTTTTCCCTGCGGAGTACCTCACCTCGGGCGAAGGCCGTCAGAAAGGGCGGTTGATTTGTGCGATTGGATCATACAAGGCACACATGGCCGAGATCCACCCGGATATCCTCCGAGACGAGGTCAATTTACAGGCTGCGCATAGCCATTGGCACAAGCAGATCCACCGTAGTGGTGTGATTCTAGTGGATAGCTCTAGACGCGGCCCTGAAGGAGGCGGGTGAGATCATTCAAGCCGGAATTAAGCCAAAACAGGTTGTCGAGTTGGGCGAACTACTGATGGTGCGTGATGCCACCCGTGAGGCGGCGACTGTGGATGAGGAAAAGAGTCTACGTGAATGGGCACAACGGGGGAATATCATCTACAAATCGGTTGGGCTTGGACTGATGGATCTCGTGACGGGCGGAGATTTGGTGCGCTTGGCACGGGAGCGGAAGTTGGGGACCACAGTGGAGGACTTTTAGGACTTTTTAAGGGCGTTTCAGGGCTTTGACGACTTCCCATTCGATACCTTTTTGCTTATTTTACTTTGCGTCCTATTGGCTGACCGCTGACCTTAAGACTTGTCTCGTTCCAGGGAAATTTCGAAGATCAACAGATCTCCAGGAGCCACAATATCTTTAAAGAGAACTCTGACCTGAACTACCAAATACATGAAATAATATAGCTATGGCCATGTCTTGAGTACTTAATCTAGAGCTGCAAATAATAAAAAGAAACAATATCTTCCATATAAATCAAGCTTGGAGATCAAGTCAAAAGCTTGTAAATATCTACATAAGGGTCGTAGTGGGCTGATGGTCTGCGTCATAGGGTATGTAACCTCCAGGGCTCCCTCTCGGACAATCTTCCCTCACTTTTTTTCTCTGAGCAATCTCCAGCGTCGCATTACCAATCCAACTATTGGTATTGGGTCTTTGCTTTAGCTGCCTTGCCTGGTATTGTTGGCGCATAATCGTCCTCCACCCCGCGCAGTGAGGGGCCAAAGCAGAGATCAAAGCCTTTCCTATAAAAAGGTCTTGTGACTCTCCAAAATACCCCCAAAAGATATCCTCGCCATGCGAAATACCACTTGCTACTTGCCCAATGGCCTCACTTTTAATGTGTCGCCCGTTTTTGGTGGGGTCACCTTCAAATCCGCCGATTTCAACGCACAGAACAACTCCACCTTCCCTCCAGGATGGACAATCATAATCAACACCGAGAAGCCTCGCAAGACAGACCAGAAGGATGAACCAGGTTCAGAGCAACCCCGCGACAATGACGATAATTTCACCCGGTTCACAACCCCCACCTTGACCCGCGACTCCCTCTACATCTCGTATATAGTCAACCCACCAACCAGCGAGTACAAGCCCCCGACCTCACCCACGCGCCAGATCGCCATGATGCTCTGGGCGACTCTATGGTGGTACTTCCACGAGCCAGAACCAGACCTGCACCTAGAGACCGCCGCCTCAAGCATGACCCCGCCCGACGGACGACCAAAAGGCGTATGGCGGGTAAACATCAAGCGCGAAGGAATCTTCAAAGGCCGAAACCTCCTCCAGAAGCTGGAGCGGATGGGCCTGATAGCGACCGAAGACTCCTCCGTCGGTCTCCAACCCATCGAAACCCGCGACTCAAGCAGCTGGTCAACGATGTTCGTCAGCCGACGCAGCTTCTGGCAGCTCGACCCTCGCCTATTCCTCTTCACACTCGCGCCAAGCCGAGGTCGCCCCTCAACACCGCCGTTACGGTCGCGGAACGCGTCGCCCGCACCGGACGGATCACCCAGCGCAACCCCGCAGACACTAGCGCCCATGGAAGCAACCTTCCACACGGCGAATATGGGCCCCTTCACCTCGGTAGGACCGTTCACGTCCGGTAGCCATCTACCAACGTACTACCCGCCCCCGCCACTGCAGTTCACCTCCACGAACGGGGTGCGACACCCCGTGCGACCGAAACCGCCGCACCAGGGCGAGGTCTTCTACGTGCGCTACATCCCCAGTCTGAGCCAGTATCTCTCGTTCCGCGTGGCGTTTGTGCCGATGACGGCGCAGGGTACTGATAGTCGGCCGGGGACGCCTGTTAGCACGGCTGTGACGAGCATCGCGCAGCATCTCACTGAGGATATCTCCTCTGATCTGGACACGCTGCATCGGTGGATGAATGTCCCGCGGGTGGAGGCGATGTGGGCTGAAGGTGGACCGAAGTCTGTGCAGGAGAAGTTCCTGCTGCATACCCTGACTAGCCGACACAGTTTCCCTGTTATCGGGTGCTGGGACGGGAAGCCGTTTGGATATTTCGAGATCTACTGGGTCAAGGAAGATCGGCTGGGACGACTTGTGGACCATGTTGGTAATTACGATCGGGGCATTCATCTGCTCGTTGGGGAGCAGGAGTTCCGGGGTGCGCACCGCGTTAAGGTTTGGTTGAGTGCGTTGGTGCACCACTGCTTTGTGTCGGATATGCGGACTGAATCTGTGTTGTTGGAGCCGCGGGTTGATAACATCAAGTGAGTTCCGGTGTCAAAACGATAGACCGAGGAAAGGGAATGGCCATGCTAACTCTTCGCAGACTCATTAATTACCTCCAAGAAGCGGGATTCTACAAAGAAGGCGAGGTCAGCTTCCCGCACAAGCACTCTGCTATCATGAGGATCAAGCGCGAGTACTGGGAAAGTCCGGCTCTATAAGCTGCCATAGTGGCGATTTGCATTGAGATGATCACGAGTAACGAAACAGCTAGCATTGCCTGGATTTTGATATTTGTTATTTGACTTGCTTGAACATTGTGTTGGCCATTATATGGCGATTAGCCCAATAGAAGGTGTGGTTATTTCTTATTGAACTGCATGACTTTTGATTTGAATATTGTATTTCCTAACTAGGCTCCTTTCCCAAGCTCCCGAGGTGAGGTAGGTACTCTCAACGACCCCCAGCCTGGATCCAGTCATTCATCATCTTCTTCTCCTTCGTCATCTTCATCTTCTACCTTCATCATCTTCATCATATCTTCATCATGTTCACCCTTCACCAGATACCTTCTTTTCCCAGTGATGGGGTCTTTGAAAGTAGCGCTGCTAATAGGCTTCAGAGTATTCAGGGCTAGCCTCACTTCGTGGAGGAGGTCAACTCCGAATTTGGGACATCCTTGGGCCACATCGAAACCGGGGTACTCTTCGTTTTCATTTCGGAGATACCAGAAAACGAGAGCTTGGGCCATGATCCAGCGCACTGGATGGCCGTCACGTAGAAAGGTTCCCAGAATCCAGTCGTCAGTATCCGGTAATACAGCCCTACCAATACGGATTTTCTTGTGGCGATATCCACACTTTGCGAATCTTCCCTTGACATATTGGGCGAGTTGGGGCTCGATCTTCGTGATCCCGTACATCTCCGCGAGTCTGGCGAGCTCTACGGCAGCCACTATATGTAATTCGTGGAATCTGGTATCGATATCGAAGTTGATGGTACGGAGGTACAGCCATTGGATAAGCGCTTCGATGCTCTGGATGGACACGACGCCTTCCATCTCTTGTAGTGTTGCCGTTTCCTCTTGGGACTCTCGGAAATTGCCTTTGAACATGGCTGAAAAGACTGGCGACTCATTGCAGAGAAGGGGTTTTGAGACCGTGTATTCTCGATTGCTTGGTTCGATTCGGATCTTGACGAGTGGACCGTGGAAGAGAGGAAGAGTGCTAGGTATGAACGTGTTAGATATTCCGGTTCCTGAGGGACATTGGGTGACTTACGATGTTGCAAAGTGCTCAATAATTGATCCAGATGTGTCCTTTTCTTCTGGAGTTTTATCCATTTTGAAGATAGTGGGTGATAGATTGATAGTCAAGAGAGAACTGATGAAGCCAGCTATGTAGCTTGACGGAATAAGGAAAGAACGGCCTTAAGGGCTACAAAGGAGGGGTCTGTCAAACTGCCGAAACAAACAATATGCGCTCATTGTAGCATTTCTACCTAGGCTCTCTTGATATCGATATGATTTCCCAGCCTGTGAACAGATCTGTAGATGCAAACCAGTCCTTTCCCAAATAACTTGCAACGATTGTCCCATACAACAAAGATCAATGCTGGCACAACTTCCAAACAGACTTTCTCAAGACTCTGGAGTCTAACTCAAAGATTGGCCAAATAGCATTCTCTCCCATCAATAGGATCTTTGAAAGTAGCATCGGGCTTCACAGTGTTCAAAGCTAGCGTCACTTCATGGAGGGGGTCAGCTCCAAATTTAGGATATTGCTGAGCATTGGTGAGCTATTTTAGCGAATTTGTGCCATAAAGATGGCCTAGCCCCCGAGAAATACCATTCCCCTTTGATGCTTCAATGCAGCTCAAGTCCTTTGCAAGAGAGTCTCTGCTTTGTCCACAGGATCTTTGAAGATAAAGGCCCTTTGCTTGAGCACATTTATTGTATCCAGGGCTAGTTGGACCTCTCGGAGGAGATCCGCCGCAAAGGTAGGGTGATCCTCAGCCTCCTGGGCAAACTTGTGGTTCTTTTGCCGCAGATACCCACACACGCAAGCTGCAGCCAATATGCTGCGCACAGGATGCCCACGAGGAAGGAAGGTCCCTGAAATTATATGCGCAGATTTGAGCGAGGAGGTGTTGTCCTTGGGAAAACTACCTCCATTCTGCTTATTTCGGCTGCAAATGACTTTCTTGATTTTATCGGCCACGGCAGATTGGATCCCGATAATACCGTACTTGTCTGCAAGCCTTGCGAGCTCAATAATAGCCGAAATACACTCTGAATTGTCCTTGATACCGAAATCGACAGCCCGGAGGTAGAGCCACTGGATGAGTGCTTGGATACTCCGTGCAGAGACGATGTCCGTAGGGTTACGGTTTGCTCTTCGTGTTCTCGAAAACCGGGCTTAAACATCGCCGAAAAGACAGGGGACTCTGCGCAGAGAAGGGGATTGGAAACCGTGTATTCCTTCTTTCTTGGTTCGAGTCGTATCTTGATGAAAGGACCGTGATAGAGTGAAAGTGTACTAAGCAGAGAGGAAAGTGAGGAAAGTGTCAAGACACATCCTTCTGGAGAAATCCGGTTTACTTACGCCGTCGTAAAGCGCTCAGCACTTGCTTGGGTTATTTCCGCCATGTCTGCAGCCTTGGGAAGGTGATGGCTTGCAAAGAGACAGAAAGGATTCAGGTCCTGAAGGACAACTCGGAGTGACGAATGACGAGGGCGTAACTGATTCCAAGCGAAGGGATATCTGAAGGTAGAAGTGAAGGAAGGATGAGGCAAGTTAGTCAACTGTTTGCTAACTAAGTAACATCAGGTAGGGAAAGTTCGGTTTGCTCATCTTACACCTAACCCAAGGTGATAATGTCAGACTCAATAGTCCAGAACTTAGTTTCCTCAACTGTGTGTAGCAGTCTACATCACACTTCACCTTGCACTTCGACCTCTCCGTACAGGTCTCTCCATAGGTTATGAGCCCGGAAGCTCTATTCGAACTTACTTTTTCTTTACGCCATAATCATCCTCGAAGCCCCATCGTCACTTTCGGCATCATCGTCAACAACCAAGTGTTCCTATTTTCGAAGTGTCAACCGACCAGGTCAGTCATCTACCAACACGCCGAGCTTTCACCGTCACGCGCTTCACCACATAATCTGCTATCGGCCCGGTCAAGTGCCTCGTGCACTTTTATGTATGTTGCAGTACCTCCCCATTCGTGCACCTCACCTTTCGCCGCATACATCGCGAGTACCCCGCTTAATACGCGACAACATGTCTTCTTGCAACTTCCCACTCGCAAGTCTCACCACCTTATGTCTTACACGCCCACGTCGTTAGTACCTCTCTATTCGACGTACAGTGCATCCATTACTTTAAGTCAATATGATAACAACAGGCCCGCACCCGCACCCGCTAAATCGGCTAAAACCCGAGCCTACTATACAACATGAAACCTATGCAGGTATATATGCGGGGAAGATATACATTCCCCACGCTCCCCAACGCACCCGCAGCCCGCAAATTCATCACATCCGTCCACAAAACATGCACCGCCATCCGCACGTGTCCTGTCCCCGTCATCGCGCGCATTAATGGGTTCGCGCTCGGCGCGGGATTGGAAATCGCCGCTGCTTGTGATTTGCGTGTTGCGGCGAAAGGGGCGGTTTTTGGGATGCCTGAGGTCTGTTTTTGTTTTCTTTCATTCAAAGCTGGGATTGAGGCTTTTGGGGAGTCTTTTGTGGAACGGGATTGGGGGACCGAGCCGGGAGGATGATTAGGGAGTTTTTTAGGAGGAGAAGTCTAAGGCCAGGATTGAGGCTCGGGATAAGGTTGTTGCCAGCAGCAAGGGAGAAGAGGGGTTGTGAAGGGGTAGGTAATATTGCATCCTGGGGGTTGCGCAAGGGGTGTATCTATTACGTTTGGACTATGCTATAGTGAGGGTTCCGTTTTACATGGAATATTTATTGTACGAGATCCAAAATTCAATATTGAGTTTCATTGTCCAAGTAGGAGGTAAGTACAGCAAAAGTACAACGTACATCGGGCGCGAGCGCGAGCAAAAAGTCTAAGCGTAGTGAGTCTTGCATAGCATCCAATGTGAAACGAGTGTAATGTAGACAGGCATAAGAAATACTAGACAGAGAAACGCCGAGGTCGCGCAAGGCAATGCAGTAGCGAGTGGAATAGATAAAAAGACGAAAAGAAAGCAGAGAGGTCACGACTCTCGCGGGATCACGCTCACGGTGGTAGATGACATGTGAACATCGGTATGAGGGGGTATTGGCAGATGTGCGTATCAACGGGGTGAACAGCTTTTTCAAAGCAGGAATATGGAATTGAGAAAAGGAAATAATAGTCATATGGGAATGTGTGAGATGTGAGATAATCAGAGAGATAGGAAATATGAGAGATGCAAGAATAGCATCGGTGATTAAGTAAAGATCAGATTGCTAAAAGGAAAAAAACGGAAAGAAATCGAGAACCCGCTCGATTTAGTGAGATCGACGACCACCCATGTACGAGCCCGTTGCGGATGCCAGGAAACGAGCCACGAAGCCACCGCTGTGCGCGTGGTTGCTGGTCTTCAGCTTCTTCGATGGCTGGCGGATAGGCTCGAAGGACTTCTTGGATTCGAGGTGGGGGACGTTCACGTAACTGTAGTTCAGGGAGAGGGAGGTCGGGCTCTGGGTGGAGTCTGTGACCACGAGGTCATCGGCGCCGGAGGAAACTGTGCTGATGGAAGCTGGTGTACCTCTTGAACTTGGGGCGAGACTGGACGAGCGCGAGCAGAGAGAGTTGAAGGTCTCGGCGTGGGAGAGCGCTGGCACGTCGCGAACGGATGGTGGGGACACAGAGCGGTTGATTCGGTTGGGGGATGCGCGCTGGCGCTGGTAGGGGTTGTAGCGGTCGTGTTCGGCACTCTGTGTAGCGTAGTGGGTGTTGTGCATGGTTGGACAGGAGACGTGACTAGGGAGACGCCGCAGGAGTTGTCGCTGCCACGACGGGTCTCACTGCGGGCTTCGAGCTTTTGGCGGCGGAGGCGGCTGGCCAGCAGGTCCGCTGATGCGTGGAGACGGCGCCTAGAGAGGGTTAGTTACGAGAAACGCAGGCTGTAGAATGGGATGCCATACCATTCGCGGTGTTGTTGTTGTTGTTTGTGGAGGTATTCCTCTTCGGCCATGCGCTCTTGCTCTTGGGCAATGAGACGCTGGCGGTGGGGAACGAGGAAGGGCTCGAGATAGGTGAAGAGGTCCTGTTCGGTGATGCGCAGGTCCCAATCAAGTAGGAAGAGGAGCTGGCGTTCCATGAGGTTGACCTCGGGGACGGAGAAGCCGAATCCTTCGAATCCCTTCACTGCGGTGTAACGGGCCCAATGTTTGTTCTTGGGGCTGGAGTCATTCAAGTTCTTTGCGGCGAGGATGAGTGAGGCGAGGAAGATGCGGTGGACAGTGCAGCGCATCCCCTTTGCGACTGGGGGCAAACGGGCACGAAGACGACCGAGGTAGACGAGACAGCTCATGAGAGTGGGCACCTGCACCTGTGACCGAGCCACGAGTGAGCCGATGAAGGCCTCGATTGAGGGCAGGGCAGGGAGGTCTGAGTGGTCCATTGGAGGGGTGGATGGTGGTGTAGGTTGGCCGTTCTGGTTGACGGTGTTGGTCACATGCGCCTCACAGCGAATGACCTGAGATGCCTGTTGAGCCAGGTGTGCCACCATTTCCCGAGTGACTCGGGTAGTGACGAACTCATCGAGAGCTGCTCTGTTGAGTGACAATGAATCCATGATAGAGGTGAATGTCGGGAGTAGAGAGGTCGAGGATGGGAATTAAATAAGTCGACAAACAGAGATCAAAGAATTCTCACACAAATAAATTGTCTCGGACAATCCAATTCAAGGACCTTGGGACAAACGCAATACAAAGGTCTTTGTGTGTGTGTTTGGGATTAGAGAGTCGACACAAAGTGAAGCAAAAGCGAAAATCAGATCAAAGACCTTAAAAGACCTTAAAGACCACAATGTCGAAAGAATTCCTGACCAGCAGGATACCTTTCAGATAAAGTACTTTGCAAAAAAAAAAAGAATGTTGCAGCAAGGATGGGATAGTTCGGGTTGTCGTGTCAACAGCCTATAGCCCTAACTGAGTTCCAACTGAGACCTGAGATAGTTTCAAGACACAATCCACAGTTCACTGCAAGTTGGCAATAGATTGGAAATAAATGGGAATACTGGTTTCTGATGAATTATTATAAAGAAGCCGAATTCAAAAGCACAAGGAATTATAAAAAAGAAAGGATGACGACGTTGGGCATGTGGATGAATCTCGTGAAGAATCTGGGCGGAATACCTCTCTAGTTATAGTATCTGGTATGCGCCAGAGGGGGGAGGGCGACTTTTTTCTCCTGCAAGGACGGGCCCAGTTAGAAGGCAGAGAAGGATAGACCACAGGGGGGAATAGAAACCTGCATACTCCGTTGGATCTAAGATACAACCTTTTTTGGCGCGCGGAGTTGTGAGAAAGTGAGCTGATTTGTCGAGGGATGGACATTTGATAGACTATTATTTGTACCTGTGCGTTATTATCCCTGGATTCATCCAATAGAGCCTGCTTTTGTTTTACTGTTGGTATTCGTATTCGATTTAATAAGAGATGTGATAGTATTTCGACGTTCTACATGAAAAAAATAAGGGGCATATTGAGACTATTCCAACATCCAACAATCATCCAACACACGATGCTCATCCAGGATCGCCATATATCGGGTCCACTCAATTATTCTTGATGAAACTCCCGTCTCATATCTATTGGCTCATTCCATTCCTTGAACGCGTACCAGAATAGTATTATCTATGCCACTCTACTGCCTAGAACTAGAATCAAGAACCAACAAATCCAACAATCCAACAATCCAAGTCAATCATCCCCTAAAACAGACTTCAGCTGGAAAAAAAAAAAGAAAAAGTGGCGATTTCAGGTTGGCGCGAACTCGCGTTAGTGCCCAATCACTCGAAACCTGACAGGTTTCCGATCTGACGAGACAATCCCTGTTCCTTTCTGTCAACGGCGCGAAGCGTGTTCGAGGGGAACATACCAGAAATACCTATTCAAGCCCTTTAAACCTTTAAACCTTTGAACCTTTGAACCTTTAAACCTTTAAACCTTCAAATTATCCGATTTCCACCTCACATAAGGCAGGTCACATCATTCCAATATCCCCGATCTCCTTTTTCCCCTTCCCGTCGGATCTATCAATTTCCAACTTCCCAACCTTTTATTTTTCTTCATGTGGAATGCATGCAATGTTCCGTGCATAGTATTCTTAGCGTGTGTTCCGTACTCTTAGCGTGTACTCCGTACTCTAAAAAAAGACAAACACACTGCATATGCATCTATATAAGCGCCCGTCCTCCCCAACTCTCCCTCCATTCCTCCCGCTTTCCCGCCCAGCGCTTACAATCCCAACACCATGGAAGCGCTTTTCTAAATTTATGTTACGGAGTATCCATGGATGTTCTTGTTCCATGTTATTCTTAGATTCCTCTACGCGAGCTACTCCTTTCTCACTACATACCCCGGACCCGGACCCATGCGCGGATCGTCACCCGCCCTTCCGCCCAAATCAGTGCGCGCTTTGGAATGTTGGATGTGCGAGACTGCGCCTCGTTTCAGCATGGCGTCTCGCTGTTGGTGATTTGGTTACATGGTTGGTTGAGAGTGCTCGACAACGTACATATACACTAGCAGTGGTGTTTGATGTTTTGTACTCACGTTGGTTCCATGTGGATCAGGCTACATCATTGTTATGGCGCCGTTGGGATTCTTACTACGGAGTAGAGCTGTGGAGCTAGGCGCTGCAATGGGGCGGTTTCAGGATGGTAGGGCTGTTTCAGTGTGGGCGGTTAGAGATCGTGTTGGTGAGGTGGTCTGGGGCTGAAACATTGATGCGACCGTGTGTTCGGAGTAGAAGTGTAGCAGGTTGACCCTAATGATACTAATTTTTGCAGGTGTCATCCAGTTATGACTCTATTATTAGTTGTGAGGATTATCGCCCCGATGATTTGCGGATTCAACATTGATTACATTTTCTCAATATACTATCTCCCCATCCAAGTCCAATCGCACGCTTCTGCTATGGATCGCTTGGATGCTGATCTAACAACAGAATACGACGGTACAGTGAAAATCAGCAGTACCCGACAAAGGCTCAGTACCGGCTTGCATACTTCTCAAGTATTCACTGTCATCCAGACCCTTGTCCTTAACAAGGCTCACGCTCCTGTTGCAGCTTGGCTGCTGATTTAAACAACAGAAACAGAGTACGACGGCACAGTGAAGTCAGCAGTACCAATGAAAGGCTCAGTACCAGCCTGCACAGTCTTCAGGTACTTGCTGTTGTCGAGACCCTGGTCCTTGATGAGGTACTTGAAGAAGTCCAACAGGTCACCGTCGTACTTGTTCATGGTCGACTTGGCGACGAAGCTGTAGACAGTCATCTGGCCGTTGGGACCAACCCAGACATCCCACTCGGAACCACTGATAGTGACGGTGGCGATGGCCTTGCCAGTGGACGAGATCGGGCCGGCACCACCCAGGGCCGCAAGCCAGACCATGATCTCGTACTCCTCGCTGCCGTCAGGAGTAGAGCTGAGGAACAAGTCGTACGCAACATCGGCGACGATATCGGTGGAGGAGTAGCTATTCCAGAGATGGTTAGCGGAGGCTGTTCAGATTCAAGTAGCCATGTGCAGGGTCAAAACCTACCTCCATTCCCAGGCGGACTTGATGCTGCTAACGGTGCTCAGGACCTTAGGGGGTGAAGTTCAGACCGGCGTTGGCGAAGCTCTTAACCTCGTTCTTGGCCTCGCCGCCCCACGAGTACTTGGTGTGCCACGCGATGGTGTTGCCGTTGCTCGAGTCCACGCCGGTGCACTGCTTGGCGTTGGGGTCCTTGGCGAGGTTCCAGAGGTTGTTGAAGATGGTGAAGTCGCCGGCTTTGGTGGTGCCGTACTGCTCACAGATCTCGGCGGCGCGACGGACGGAGGCGGCGTCGCCCATGGCGGCCAGAGCCAGGGAGAGGAGGGTCATGGGGGCGAAGGACTTCATTTTGGCTGTTGGAACTGGTGTTCTGGATTGATGGGAGTTGCTGTTGGTATCGGAGTTGAGACTCGTTGTGATGATAGAATTGAGTCGGGGTCTGCGGTCTGCTTTATACATGCCATCTTCTCTTCTCTCGGAGTCGTCCGTTTGTGGAATAACTTGACCTTGGGGGGGTTCGTGTTTCGTGTAGAGCACTAGGTACTCCTGTCTCACATTTGATTTGGGCGTGCTATTCGCTATCCAACGAGATCATGGAGGGACTCCACATCCTCCGGATAATACGGAAAGCTAAAAAGCTTGCATGATCCTTGTTATGCAGGACTTTATCCGTTTCACTGCGGATTGGAGAAGACAGTTGTTGTGCAGGGATTTATCCGTTCTCCCTGTGGATTTGGGAAGATCTTCGCCGTTGGCAGCGAACGTGAGACAACGGTGTCGTACACAGTGGTGGAGAATATTCTGCTTCTCGAATAATAATAACAGGACGCGTTCAAATCTGACGGGTGTTCCTGAAAGGTATCCGCTTTGGTCGAGATTTCCCCTGACTAAACTTCGGTATTTGCGAGATTTCTCCGAGGGCGAACTGACCGGATTTTCTGTGTTGCCTTGGAGAGAGACCATTGTATGCATTGTCGCAACGTCAAAATCCGTCAATAATATGGTCGAATCTAGAGTAGTTGCATAGGGGAGAATTGTGAATCAGCCACGTCGTCACTTCTGCCGGTTCTTCATGCATATGCACGTCGCCCGCAAACCAATGGAAATGCAAGCCACCTCCGCAAAAAGGGCCTGGTTTCCGATACCTCGGCTGTATATTTGTCCCAAGTCGAAGAGATCGCGGAAATCAGACCGTTCTTTAATGGGTCATGATCGACGTTCTGGCCTTCAAACCTCCAAATTCACATGTCACCACAGCCTTGGGCCAAGTGTTTTTGCCATCCTTCGACAGTCGATCTTTTTGATAATGAGCTGATTGTCTTAGACATGAATATATCACAAACATCACCATCTCTCAAGGTACTCGCTCAATCGCTCTATTTAGCCTGTATTTAGCCTGCTGGCTTCAGATCCTTGACATAGATCGACGATGGCATGGTGCTAGCGGTAGATATCAGAGCCTCAGCAAGCACGAACCACCCGATTTATCCGCTAGAACAGACAGGATCGGTCAAGGAAAGGTCCAAGAAGCTCGCGTAAGCAATTGGCGGCGGGAGAAGCTGTATCGATCTTGGGTGCACCGTATAGGTGTCGATGGAAATATTTCATACTGATGCGTAATCCAAACTCTTCCTATGTCTGTTTTGAATGGTAACCACTCAGTGCTCTAATTTTAGCGAGTCTACCGATCGCGGCACCGTGAGTAGTGAATGAGTCTATGGCTAGTAGTACTCCAAAGGGTGCCGTATAAGGACTGGAGATAGGCATGACACAAGGATGAGGGACAATGGTGAAGCAAAAGCAAAAGATAATTCTGGATTCTGGCTAGCTAAGAATCAAACAGCAAAGGAATAGGACACAAGGTTCATGACCAACAGACATGTATGAAGAAGAATCAATAAAACAAGCCCTGGTGCAGACAAACAACATGTATGGAATGAGACAAGAATCAACCAAGTAGGCCCTGGAGTAAACAAACAACCAGGCCTTAGGCAACCACGCGCTGTCAACAAACAGCAACATTGAAGGAGAGAACTGTCCTCGGAAATCCTTGGACAACAGAGAGCTATCTCCGTGTGAAAAAGGGCCAAAAATTATGCCCAGCTCCTACAGGTCAATGGAGAGCCCAGGAAAGTACAGTCTGTATCCACAGAGGCCGAGGGAGGAATGTGGTCCAAGCCTCGACATGCTTCGTGCCATTAGATAGGAACCGTGGTGCCCTATCTGTTTCAGACTAACCTGGACCGCAGCAAAGATCCGAGCTGAACTCGGGAACCACGATGTGCAATGTGGACCCGGAGAGGGTTGGGGGAAGAAAGAAGAAGAGAGAGAAATTGGGGGGGGGGGTATTTATATTTTTCCAGTAGCTGAAGGCAGGAAGGAACTGGGGTAGAGGACGAATTTTGACTAAGAGGGAAGGCACCCAAAAAGGAAGGCACCCATGACACAGGTACATGGATCGATGGAAGGCACCAGGCACCTTATCTGATACTATGCAGATGTAAGCTGCTGACCACCTGGGCAGGCAGCTTGGATATCAATACATCCATGGATGTACCCGTGGACTGCACTCGGGATGTAGATTTCTTCCAGATCAGACCTCGGGATATCCATGCATCTCAACCCTCTTGCTTATCGACTAAAACACACCAGCCAAAACAGTCAGAGTTAGCTAGGTGTGCCAGCACCGACAAACCAGACTGTCAGAAAGTCACGCTAGATAAACAGCAATAGCTCAATGACTATGTAGCTGGCATCGACTCCCACGGTCATAGATATATATCTACATAAATATGAACCTTGACAAGTCGTTATCGGGACATTTGGTTGGTCCTTCGTTCCAATCTATACCAGGCACAGTATCTTGTTCGGCACGCATCGAAGAGCTCACACAACCAATTTCTCAACAACGTCGGCTTGATCTACATCTTCATCACCACAGATGAATAAAGTTTGATATCTCTTGGCGTGGCTCTGTGAACTGCAGTAGCTTCCGCATATCAGCTACAAGATCTGACGTGAGCGATCATTGGCCTCGAATACTCGATAGTGTACAGAATACGGAGTCCCCGGGTACCGAGTAGGCAACATCGTTGAAGGAAATATCGAGAGTTGGCCAATAGAAGAGACGACAATTCGGATTGGCAGCATCCGGCATGGCCTGTTGATGGATAGTGCAAACACATGCAAACACATCTACAGACACAGTGCAAACCGTTCAATTGTACCAGCTATCACCACTATATGGCAGGTGCATGTATTGAATTAAGAAATGAGACATATTTGAGCAAGGAATAAAATCATATTCTATACTCTAATAATGAATTGACCCAAAGCGAGGGTGTGTTGATGATCGTTCAATTGTTTTAATTGTTTTGCTTTGATGCCCCACTGGGTGGATCTCCGGGGTTTTCGCCAGGGGCTGAAATTAAATTTAAATGCTCGGTTGCCTCTTTTTCCCTACAGGACCCTTCACCAGTTCCCAAGATGCCTTCCAAATCCTCCAAGTCCTCCAGCTCCGGCTGCGGCTGTCGCTGCTTCTCTCTGAAGACGCTCAGCTACCTCGCCATTTTCCTGGCCCTGTTCTCTGCCGTCTACCGATTCCTCGATGCGCGCCTGGAACAATTCTACATCTTCGACCCAGAGCACCTGCACGATGTGTCTCAGCGCGCCATCACCGCCCACGGCGAGGACACCCGCTCCATCGTCAACTTCATTGTCGCCGAGTTGGAACAGAAAGTCGGCCCCAACTACCTGAGCACCCAGGAGGAGTGGGTATTCAACAACGCCGGCGGCGCCATGGGCGCCATGTACGTGATCCACGCCAGTATCACCGAGTACCTGATCATCTTCGGTGAGTTTTCCTACGACCAAATCTACCCCCTTTCCCTTTCGCGCTTCTAACGTTTACTCTCCAGGCACCGCTATCGGCACTGAAGGCCACACGGGCCGCCACACCGCCGATGACTACTTCAACATCCTCCAGGGCACCCAGCTCGCCTACGTCCCCGGCGAGTTTAAGCCGGAGGTCTACCCGGCCGGAAGCGTGCACCATCTCGTCCGTGGCGAGGTCAAGCAGTACAAGATGGATGAGTCTTGCTTCGCGCTCGAGTACGCCCGTGGCTGGATCCCTCCCATGCTCTTCTTTGGCTACGCCGATACCTTCACCAGCACCCTGGACTTCCCTACGTTGTGGGCTACCACGCGCATCACTGCCCGTGAGATGGTCGGCAACTTGTTGCAGTTCAAGCTGTAATTGAGCATACCATTATACCATTTTGCTTCTTGTTGATATGCAGGCCTCGGTTAGATTATGAGGTCTACGCGGTATGATATGAGCATTGGTTGGGCACTTGAGGTGCTGTTTTGGCTGTAAAAGTTACTGGGCATGGTGGTTACTTAATAATTGGTACTTAGGTAGTACCGAGCACATTTTTTAATGAAATCATACGCCAAGCTTGTCGAGCTGCCTTTGTAGCACTAGTCATTGGGATTTTGCTGTTGTTTAGGAGGCTAACCTTAGCCCGAGCTGCTGCTTTTGCCGCGTCAATTATCATCCCTCAAAACACCCTGAGACATAAGGCTTTCGAAGTATGGAAATCAATACTCCAACTTCGTTTCACTAACGGTTACTAGGTTACTAGGTTACTATGTAGACTGCAAGAGATCTATATAGTTCTAGAAAAGTAGCCAGGTAGCTATATAAATGTGCTAAGACTCTGGTTCTCGAGTTCCGCAGGTGGTCAGAGTGTAATTCAGCCGTCATATCCAATCCTATCTAGGTAGAGTTAAGTGAATAAAATGAGTCACTGCACCAAAACCATATCCAAAGTCAGTTGTTTGTCAACATAAACATTTGTTGAACCGTAGATAGCAAATGAGTGGGCATCTGCATGGCTGTACAAATGGACAAATGAACAGCTCTATATAAACTTGCAAGCTGCTTGAACGTCCCCTCTTCTTCTTCATCATTCATCAAAATCAGTACTCAGCACATCATCACCACTCTATTCTCTAAGCTTTTGGTTCACGCAATAGCCCATCATGGCTGGCTATTGCGGATGCAGTTGGAAGGTGTTGACATACATGGGATGTCTTTGTCTCTTGTGCAGACTGAGCTGTTTGCTAGTTTGCTAGTTTGCTATCTCATTCTTTGTTAGTGCAGGCTTTATATACAGCCTGCTTTCCATAGATTTCATATCACCTCTCTTCTTCCCGATTTTCCCATGCTAGTGCATTTCACTAGATCTCCAGTATCGTAGCCCTCAACAGAAGGAGCCTGGTAACTGGCAACCTCAGTACCTCCCACAGGTTTCACTCAAAGCCCATGCAACCATCCTGTCCTGTGCAGCCCGTACAACTTTGACACAGACATTTGCCAAGAGATATTCTACAACTTCCCTCTTTACGATGGCGTCAGTATTGTCGGGTTCGAATGCAAAGTTGGATCTCGTCTCTTGTACAGCAAGGTGAAGACCAAGTCACAAGCTGATGCTGACTACCAAAATGCAGTGGTTCAACAGCAGACCGCTGCCGTCATGGACCATACCTCCATGAATGACGTTTTTGTCATTCGACTCGGCAACTCCCCGCTACGGGGAGATCGACATGGACATCGCTTTCGTGGGAGAGTTGAAACAAGACTCCCAGACAGACGGTATTCGCTACACATTGCCAAGCAAGATCGCTCCTCGCTATAGAGCTACGATGTCTTACAGCCAAACCCAATTATCTCCACTCGGTGTGCCAGCCAGCCTCCAAGGAATGTCCATCACGGTTGATGTTCAGATGGAGAAGGGGTTGGTAATCCGAGTGGAGATAATTGGGTTTGGCTGTAAGACATCGTAGCTCTATAGCGAGGAGCGATCTTGCCTGGCAATGTGTAGCGAATACCGTCTGTCTGGGAGTCTTATTTTCGACTTTCCCGCGAAAGTGATGTCCAAGTCGATCTCCCCGTGAGCGGGGACGTTGCCGAGTCGAATGACAAAAACGAAAGCATTGTATAGCTTTATAACTAGCCACGTCTCCGACCGCTTCCCTAGATTATCCAACGACAAGGCCGACATTTTTGCTAGGTTCATGAGTATTGTTTTCTTTTAGCCTAGGTACGAACTAGCGGTGACCTCTTTTCACAAGCGAGTTACGTCTACATATGCAGGACTACCGATTCTCAGTTCCAGGGACACATAAGCCCATCAATATCACCCACAATCCTCCCGGACATACTTCATACCCATTCGGGGATCCAAAATGGAGAGAATCGATGTTCACACCCATTGTGTGCCACCCTCGTATCGCGAGTATTGCCTGCAGAGCGAATTCGCAGGCCGAGGCCACCCAGATGGTATGCCCTCAATCCCAGTGAGTCCCTCTGAACCTGAACGACACATCAAGTTTCCATGCTAAACACAATAAAATCCAGGAATGGAGCGCCGAAGCACACATCGAACTAATGAATCAGCTAAACATCAAGAAATCAGTGCTGAGCATGTCCTCCCCAGCAACCCACCTAACCCCCGGAAACGACGAAGAAGGCCGATCCATAACCCGCCACGCCAACATCGACATGTCCAAAACCTGCGCCGATCACCCAGCCCACTTCCTCTTCTTCGCATCTCTCCCCCTCCCAGACGTGGAAGGCTCCCTTGCAGAAATAGACTATGCACTAGACCATCTTGGCGCAGTGGGGTTTCAGATCCTGACCAATTCGCACGGCATCTACCCGGGCGATCAACGCTTTAGTCGTGTGTTTGACAAATTGAGTGAGCGAAAGACCATCGTCTTCTTTCACCCGACTACCTGTCTTATCCGGCATGATGACTCCCTCGAGAAGGTGACACCGCTCCCTGGTGTCGCGGCGCCGATTATGGAGTTCATGTTCGATTCGACCCGGGCGCTTATGAGTTTGCTTACTTCTGGGACTGTGGACCGATGTCCTGGGATTACTTTCGTGGTGGGTCATTGTGGTGCGACTTTCCCTCCGATTATGGAGAGGATCGCGGAGTTCTCGTCCATGGTTCCTGGTGCAGGGGATGGGATTAGTGGGGAGAAGATCAAGCAGCTGTTGCAGACGCGTTTCTATTTTGATCTTGCGGGTGTGCCATTTCCCGATCAGATTCATGGTCTTCTACGGCTCGTTGATTCGTCCAGATTGCTGTATGGGAGTGATTTCCCTATACCCCTGCCAGGCTGGCGGAGTCTCTGGCTAAAAAAGTGGATGATGGATTGCGGAGTCTATTTGGATCGGAAACAACGGGACGAATTTTGTTGGATAATGCGCAAGATCTGCTTGGGGAAGCCCGTGAATAGCTGCAGACTGCAGGCGACTTATGACCAAGGAACCCTCCAGATTTGGAATAGAAGTACGGAGTATTGTTCCGAATATATGCATGTTTCTTGACTAGCCAATATTCTCCGGTTGGCCTCCGGAGGTCAGACCTATGGACCACACAGATCTGGACGACACATGGCTTGCGTTGTGATTGCCTGTACTACCACTTGACCTAACTCACCAACAGTACTACTTTGATTCTAACAGTGAAAATGATCGGCAACTCTTAGCTTTTTCTTTTCGGCCTGGAGAGCACCGAATTTACCCTTCCCAGTTCCGACTCACTCAGAATCCCTGGCGACACATGGGTGATCGTGAGGCATTCATAGCGTTGTCTGTATGCAGCTTATGCCTTTTGCCTTTTGCCTACATGCATTTAATGCATTTTGCCTTCACGCACTGTGTGACAGATCTCCCTTTGCTTATGGAGCATTTGTCTTGCTAGATCTTCCTAGCATTTATTCTTTGATTTTGTCAGCGAGATAGAAGGCTACGCAGGAATGAAATGATACAGGGGAAACTGTATTGGACTCTGGAGAGGAAAAGAAGAGAGAGAGGAAGCTATCTGCACTAACTACTGGAAGTCCTGGGACCCGGGCTGTCACGTGACTGCTCCAACACGTAACCAAACGGGCTAATCAGGGTTACTTCTAGCGTACAATCGCGAGCAAAAAAGTAGGGGTCTAAGGGTAGAGCTACTACTAGCGGATAGTCGCGAGTAAGTTTCCGGGTAAAAGTGGGTCTATAAAAAATCTACAGATCAGATCAACACGTAGGGTATCATACAAATAACGTTACTAGGGTTAAAAAGGCATCAGTCTCAGCAAAAGAACTAATAGAGTCTTAGTAGGAAAACCAAGCAAAGGGCTCAGAACCTATCGGCGGCACGAGAATAAAGAGCAGAGTGGAATGGCTATATTGGCATAGACTAACAGAAGACTGGAGCAGGAAGAGAGAGAGAGAGAGAGACATTAAGAGAGAAGAGACAAACAACCAGGCATGACTAGCCTAACAAACCAGGCAGTCACCCATATGACGTGACCAGAGGCTCCAACACTATTTAACATATTAGAGGCTGATAAAGTAGTGCTAAGGCTTAGCAAGATTTGCTCCTCGATGGTTTGTTGCAGGTGTACGATAATCTGGCAAATCTCTGGTTGTCACTCGTCCAGTGCTGGTTCCGGTATTGGTCAGCTCCACGGGTTCCGGGGCCGCGTGGGTCTGCTCGCTTTCCATTCGTGCATGTCTCCTGGTCCGGACCGTGGTCGTTGGTACAAGGTTTTTCGGGGTCTTCTAGATTTAGGGCGTAAATAGAGGGCGTTATCATCTTTAGTATAACTAGTACTTTTAGAGTGAAGTGAGAGCTCGCCAGATTCTCGAGGCGCTCTCCAGCTCTAGTGCTGTGTTTGATTTGTTTGCATTCCCATGGAAAATCCTAATACAATCACGAGACTTGGAAGGCACCTATCTATTAAAAGTAAACCGTGGTACTGAGATCGTTACAGGAAAGTTTGTATCTTTAGACTATCTTTAACATGATCTAGCGTATCTTGGCAGTGGAACTAGAGGGTCACTCGAAGAGTGTGTTGATATACTGTGAAGGGGGTGACTGACTGGGGTGAAGGTGAGACCTGCCAAGCCACTAGTATTACCTAGGGGTTTGAAACCGGAAACCTGTCAATATTACCGCTAATTACCTTAGAATATTATAGGGTCCTCAATCTCTTAGCCGCGGCTACATAATATGGTACATCCCCCTCAGTTCACGAGTATCTCGTCCACATGCAACATTCTTACATCTCGGAATCATGTCATTTACACAACTTCCCCCAGAGATACTCATTCAAATTGCGTCTGCGATTGATAACGAATCCGATCTTGCTTCTTTCGTCCAAGTCAATCGTGGTATATACCAAACACTCATATCACAATTATACGTACGCAATGCAAAGGATTCAGGCGGATCAGCTATCCACCGTGCAGTACATTCAGGAAATTGTTTTACCTTAAAGAGAGCCCTCCAAGCTTGGACAGATACTAAGAGCCCCGCCGAATTACCGTCTAAATCGGGCCGCTACTCGCCTTTACTTATAGCAGCGATCAAAGGCAACTTAGCCATAGTAAAGATACTCTTAGACTATGGAGTCGACCCAAATGTTCGGGACCCGTCAAAGTGTACGCCCCTTTACCAAGCTAGTGCACATAGTCATACAGCGGTGGTTGCGACGCTCCTAGCACATCCGAAAATCAAAGTGAACGCCTACTCCACGGGCCGAATAACTCCAATAAACGCCGCTGCACGAAACGGCCATGCTGAAATTGTGAAGATGTTACTATCCTCTGGTGCTCACGCAGGCTTTGCGCGAAAAGGTGGACCGACCCCTCTTCATGGCGCTATCCTGAATAAACAGCCTGGGTTGGTTCGTCTGCTTGTGAATCGGAAAGACGTAGATCCTAATGTGCCCTTTTTGGACTCTACTTCTTCGGATCGTACTCCATTGCACATCGCGGTCGACACAAATGAAGAGGAGCTGGTTGAGATTCTGCTTACAGATAAGCGGATTGATCCAGACTTGACGGCCCGCCCGGTTTCCCAAACACCCTTGCTAGACGCTGCATTGAAAAACAACGAGGCCATGGTGCGCCTGTTATCTGAGGCTGGGGCAAACAAAGAGATCCGGGATTCTACAGGTCTCTCACCTGCCATGTTGCTTGATGCGCCAAGTGCAGAGGCTCGCTATCAACTCATTCAAGACCGGTCATTGTTAATTTCAGATCGTTCAAATCGTTCTCTTCGGGTTGGTATGCTCATACGAGATCGCATGCATTAGGCATACTTCCAGGTTGAGTTTTGTCTCGGATTCTATGTGTTGATGAGAACATGTTAGCATCTTCCCTGGAAAAGACCTATAATGATGATGGGGGTGGCTAGTTCCTTTGAGTCTGTCCCTTTACATTCCATCCTCTTTTTAAACACAATTGAGATTTAGCCGCATTGAATTTAGCATAAATTAGCAAAGTACACGTAAAAAGCAATTGAAATGCTTGTGGTGTACTTATATCTTTGTCTCGTCTCACACTGATCTCTAGACACTAATCGATATCCATAGCGTCATCATCATCATCAATCTCCATACCATCACCAGCGTCGTCCCCAGTATATCCATCGACATATTCCCCTGGGTCAAGCTTGATTATAGAATTAGCCTGGATCTGAAGGGCATCGCAAAGCGATCGAATCAGCATTGATCTCACTCTCAAGAGTACCAATGTTGCTCAACAAGCTGATCAACAAGCTGTATCGGCTTAGCAGGCTGCCGAGCAAGCTGTCTTATATGAACAAACTGCCGAAAAACCTCATGAACAAACTGGATTTGCTGGATCAGCAGTCTTAATGCCAACACGCCAGCTGCGTTCAGGCATCGACCGGGTGCTACATTCCGGATCATCCTGGCACATATGTTCGAACAGAGATCTGTTTATCTCATACAGAACAACAAACCCGGTGAAGGCCCTGGATGGGATTCCAGCGCATGTCAGAAAGCTAGAGCAGATGGTATTAGAGATACCATACTTCTGATGCGGAAGCCAGATGGATCTCGCTATAAATTGCAAGTGCACTGCTTGTACAAGCTAGGAAACAGATTCAATTTGCTCAGCTTCTCGCTATCCGACAGCAAAAAGGAATCAGTTGGACACCGGATGATATGATCATACGAGATCGAAACAAGGCCGCCATTGGCTATACATTCCTAGGAATGAATGGACGCCCCTTTCGTTGAGCTCGCAGATGAGCGAATCCAGTTCTTTACAATCATCGGCCCCGCAGCTCGAGCTAAGCAAGCAGTTCCTCTTTACCAGCACGGTGAGTCGATGGCATTGAAAAGCTTCAAGGAAGGTGGCTGCACCGTCGTGTCCGAGCTTCTCGGGTATAGCGAAACTGTTTAAAGCAATGATGGACTCGTGCCAGCGGGGTAGATCATATAACTCGTATTAATGGGGCTGAATGTTGTTAGCTTTAAACCCAAGCAGGTCTAGACAGACGACTATATCAGATCTACTTTTGGCACTTCCTTCGGCTCAACAATCAACCCTCTTGCAGCCAGCAGTCGTGCCTGAGTGAGCTTCAGAAACCGGTAAGTGTTATCCAAGACCGGTGTCTGTATACCCTTCGCCCTCGCAACGCGCAAAGCATTTCCCAGAATGACCTCCACCTCCATAGGATTCCCCTTATCCACGTCCACCAACATACTAGGCCGGAAAGACAACTCGATCGGAGTAACATCGATCATCTCATCCACAATACCAGGCCCGAGATCATATCCATCCGCCTTAGCAATGGCCGCCATCTCCGCCATACCTGGTCTAATCAAACTATGCTCGCCGCCGAATCGCCTCACCGCAGCACTGTCAAGCTGAGTGATAGCGCACATGGGATTGAAAATCCCATTCCAGATCACCTTCCGCCAGCGATAGAAGACGATATCATCGACGACGTTTGCATCGACGACTTTGCTTCCGTTATAGATTGTCGCGAACTCTTCGAGCTTGGCGCGCTCGAATGCTGAATCCACGGTTGGGTTGTGAAATGCGCCAATGTGGAAATAGTCGTGGTCGTCGTGTACCACGTGTCCGTTGTGTTCGTGTGCGCCGAGGAACGTCGGCGCTGATAATACCACGTTCGTGGGGAATGCTGCGACTATTGGTGGTTCGATATACAGACCGTTTTGGAATAGGACGATCGTTGTATGCTCTGGGGTTATGGCTGGTGCTATGATCTTGGGGATGTTGTTCACTTCGGGGATGTTCTTCATCGTGACAATCACATAGTCGAATGGGGTGTTGGGATCTGCTAGGGGGACAGCATTGAGGACTATGTTATATGTTAGCTTTGGACTTACAGGACTAAACTAACTAGCTGTTTTTCGACTTGGAAGGTTTCAAGGGTTACGTACTTGCGCTTGGTCTCCAGGACGATAATTTTCCGTGGTCGATGGACTCGATTTCGAATCCGTGCTGGACAACTTGTTCATAGTTGGATCGGAGAACAGCAGTGACAGACGCCTGTCCAGATCTTTCGAGGGCGACGCTGACCATTGTCCCCACACCACCTGATCCGATCACCAACACCCGGCGCTTTGGCGTATCATGGGACATGCTGGGCTGGTGACTCTAACTGTGTCAAGAATTTCACTTTGCAAAATACTTAGGGATAAAATGGCACTATGATCTGAAATTATAGTCAACACCCCACCAAGGCCGATGGAGCAAGTCCGACCTCGGGATGCATTTGATTAGCTCGGGACTTCTTCCCCTCTTTATCGACGTTCTACCACTCGAAATCCTTTGAATGTTGGCTATAACCTTCTTAGTCTTTTTATTCATCTTTTTAGTGGTCTGTTTTAGTAGTTCCTTCGGTAGTCTTCTTATTGTATATCTAGTTATATAGACATTTCCTTCCTCTTCTTAGTTTATTAGGTAGATACTAGGAAAGGGAAAAGGCTTAGCCTATAAAAGGGAACTTTTCTATATATAACCTTCCATATCTCGACTTCTATTGTCAATAGAGCACACATACCCATACTAGCTTTCAGAAATGTTCCCCTGGCAAAATACGATATGGCGCACCTGCGGCTATACACTGCCGTACATTGGGATAGCCCAATTTGGCTGTTGTTTCTGTCAAACTTTTCGGGAATAAACTATATCTCATAGCCAATGTTCCACCATGGACACGTAAACCATATTCACAATTTCAACTGATCGGATGATAAAAAGTGATGTAACATGTCTACCCTTTCAAATAACCTCAAACCAGCCTCCCATATGCATTTCCAGAACAGCAACCCAAGATGAAGAACCCAGTCAAGCAAATCCGATTCCCAGCGCTCGAGGAGATCCTCAACTATATACAGGACGTCGCAGAGACCTCTAACAGATGGATCAACTGGCAGATCATCCGCGGCAAGCGACATATATGGTGGGAGACAGACTGGGAAGTCCTATCTCGCTGGGCGCAATCGATCATCGAAACAGAAGAGCGTTTGCGCGAAATCACCCAACGCGAAAACTTCCTCAAGAAGTATATCCATAAATACCACGCCGGCTCCGAATCAGCCAAAGCCGCTCTACCGGATTTTATCGAAGAGCTGATAGCCCTGGACCACGAGTATGTGCGTCTCGAGCGGATATACGACACCCTCCTCGCGGGTTGTCCCGTGGGACCTATCAAGAGTGGATATGAGTGGATTCGGAAGGAGCCGCAGTGGTATCTCAAGAGTGAGTGGTTGCGCCAGGATTGTGCCAGGCGCGGGGGGTGCTGTGGTCGTCAGTGCAAATGTTGTGAGAACCCACCTGATCCGATGAGGAGGAAGGGTTGGGGTCATTGTACGGCTCAGTGTGCTTGTTGTAATGATGAGCTTGAGGATGGGTTTCGATTGACGGAGAGGAATCGGAGAATGTTGAAGCCGGACTTTGATCTTACTGTTTACCCGTGGAGTGACTATAGTCGAGAGATGTTTCGTGCTTATATTTGGTCACTTGAATAAGTTTTTTTATTAGTTTGCTTTGAAAGGATATTGCTTGAATGTCTGCTCGGTGTGCGGAGTATAGTTGTAGTCAATCGTTGTTCTCTTATCAGTGTCTCAGGTTGAAACTAGACGTTTTGCAGCTAGAGGCTTAGCTTGACAGAGTGATCGACAGAGTCAAAGATACCAGTAACGGCTGGAATTAGAGGCCTATAAGAGTCGAAGATCATCAGATCAGCGGGGGAAGTCTGCCAAGCCGGCATGTTTTACGCGTCCTGATTCGACCAGTTTGAGTATCAGGGCCACATGGGAAGTAGACTTGGAGAGTTTCCCCGCATATATTCGAACTTGATAAGGCTGCGGTAGAATGTCCGCAATTGAAGTCCTTAAATAGACAGATCATGGCCATGCTCGCTCAGATTCACCCTTCCCTTCATCCACCTCTCAACTATGGAGAACGACACTCACCAAGATGAGACCATTTGGGCTCCAGGGACAGTCAGGCTAGAAGATAGTAAGTACGGTACTACAATACAAGTACAACCTTGACTTATACCATCAGTCCACCAATCTAGAGACCAACTGGTCCTATTCCCCACCCCATCAGCCGACCCCAACGATCCCCTTAATTGGTCCAAAGCTCGCAAAGCCCTCAACTTCACCCTAGTCAGCTTCTTCGTGCTATGGACCTTCGTACAACTCGACATTGGCTTCACAGCATGGGGCCCAATGGGAAACGAGCTCAACTTCACAGTCGACATACTAAACGCCAACGCAGCCACCAACTACGGCGGTCTCGCCGTAGGCTGCATATTCTTCATGCCCCTAGTCCACAAATACGGCCGACGACCAATCTACATACTCAGCGTAGCCCTACAGTTCGCCGCATGCATCTGGCAAGCGAAAATGACCACCATCGGCGATCTAATGGGCAGCGGCGCGATATCCGGCATCGGCGGCGCAATCAGTGAGATCGTCGTGCAAATTACCATCGCAGACATGTTCTTCGTGCACCAGCACGCCACCATGAACGGCTGGTACGTCATTGTCCAATCTGCAGGTGCCTTCCTTGGTCCCGTGGCATCGGGATACATCGTGGTGGCACAAGGGTGGAGGTGGATGTGGTGGTGGTGTGTGATTTTCTTCGGGGTCACACTACTCTGTGTGATATTCCTTTTCGAGGAATCGAAATACGTCCCCATTATGGATGGTCGCGAGGTTACCGCAGATACACAACACACAGGTGACCTGTCCAAATCACACAAAGATGGCGACGTAGCAGATGCAAAGAGCGCTGATGAGACGGTCGCTAGTCGCGTACATACCAACCCGAATATTCAGATGAAGACCTATTTCCAGCGCATGGCCTTGGTAACCCCCACTGACGAAGCGCTGTGGCCGCATTTCTATCAGCCTATCGTGGCGCTCTTTACCTTCCCGGCGGTTTCGTATGCGGCTATCACGTATGGTTCTGTGCTGAGCTGGTTCGCGATCATGACGTCGCTACAGGCGTCTTACATGATTATACCGCCTTACAACTTCGATGCTATTGGGGTTGGGCTGATGAACGTGGCTCCATTTGTTGGGGCTCTTCTTGGTTTCCCCTTTGGTGGACATTTGAGCGATAAATCTATTCTGTGGTTATCCAAGCGCAATGGCGGTATTTACGAACCGGAGATGCGTCTTTGGCTTGCTCTACCTATTGCCATTATTGGCCCTGGGGGAATACTTATGTTCGGGTTGGGTCTTGCCTATGTGAGTATGCATTCAAGACATCAAGTTTGAACGATTTAACACTTTCTAGGGTGCGCACTGGGCTCTTCTCGCCGTTGGATTCGGCTTCTTTGGATTTTCTCTTGCGTCTATTAGTGGCATCACGCTTTCGTATCTCATGGACTGCTACCAAGACGTGAGTACCTATTCATTTTGGGTGTTTGGGTTCTCTTTCTGACTTGTTGGCTTCTAGATTATTGGTGACGCATTAATCGGAGTCATTTTTATGCGGAACATCTTCTCGGTGATTGTACTGTTTGCGCTAACGCCTTGGGTCAATGGGATGGGCATGCGAGACTTGCATATTCTGCTTGCAATGCTCGCTTTTCTAACTCTGTTGATCCCTATCCCACTTCTGCTCTGGGGTAAGAAGGCTAGGATTGCCACGGCGCCGAGTTATAGGAAAATGGCGGCAAATCAGCTTAGCCATCGGACTCTTTAGATATTAACCTACTAGAATGTACAAATTGGAGTTCCCTGCCAGGTGTGTCTCTCGAAACTGTAGTGTTGGGGTAGATTGCGGGAAGTGGTCGGCTCCCGGACCTCGGGGGCGACCCCTGGAGCATAGGGTAGTTACTCACCCCGAGCAGCTCACTGAGCTTTTCGCACACCCCGACACTATCAGTTGTTAACATATGAGTCACCCTTACCGTCAGCCTCCAGGAGGTACCTCGAATCAGACAGCACTAACGGACGCCACGTCGATCAGACCAGGCTGACCGGCGCCCCTGTCAACAGGCCGATCTATCGACGCGCCGAGTAGCGACAGGCTCGTCTCCCAACCTTGTAATGATTTTTTTTTTCACGTGAAATCCAGCTTCAGAGCTAGCTGTACCATGAGGAATTTAATCCCAACCCCATTTCAGCCTTTCCGGGCGCGTTTGTTGCTTTTTCATTGCAAACCCCGACGAACTCAGCATTACCACAACCAATTCCGCGACTTTTCCTGCATTGCTGCTCGCAGGTCTCACACTCAGGGTAGTGATTCCTCGCATCACCTTTATGAACCCATCGAAAGAGTGGAAAGACTAGAAAGCTATCGCGTGGGGGGCTACCACCCCATAACAATCGGCGACCATGTTCACAGTCGCTATCAAGTGGTTCAAAAACTTGGCCACGGCACATACTCGACGATCTGGCTGGCTCGAGATCAGAAACATAACAGATACGTCGCCATCAAACTGTGCACCGCGGATTCGAACCCGCTAGAATTCAGCGTCGTTTCGGACCTTTCCAACTCGCAACAAAGCTCAAGCACCAGCACCAGCTTAGGAAAGACAATGATACCTTCAATAATAGATAGATTTGAGGTCCAAGGACCGAATGGTACACACGCTTGTTACGTGACCACACCGGCAAGAATGAGTCTCTCCGAGGCAAAAGACGCCTCATACAACCGCCTTTTCCAAATGGAGGTTGCTCGGGCCTTGTCAGCACAGCTGGTTCTTGCCGTTGAATACGTCCATTCCCAGGTATTCGTCCACGGAGATCTTCATTATGGAAATGTTCTCTTCCAGTTGCCCTTTGACCTAAGCCAACTCTCCGTGGAGGAATTTCATAAAAAGTACGGAGAACCGGAATTTGAAGCAATTAGACGTTTCGATGGGCAATCACTCCCACGAAATATCCCATCACGCGCCGTTTTGCCAATGTGGCTTGGCGAAACAAGTGATAAAATCGAACTCGCAGAAGCTAAAATCCTACTCGGCGATTTCGGCGAGGCGTTCTCTCCTACCAAGCAACAGAGATTCGAATCACACACTCCGCTTGTGGGCCGGCCACCAGAGGCTCGCCTCGAACCACATAAGGCTCTATCCTTCCCATCAGATATCTGGTCACTCGGATGCTCTTTATGGGAAATCATAGGCCAGAACTCGCTTTTTGACGGTATGTTCGCGACCGAAGATAGCATTACTTGTGAGCAAGTGGATACCCTTGGTATCCTACCCGTAGAATGGTGGAACAAATGGGAGGGACGACATGGTAGATTCGCAGAAGATGGGAAGCCGATCAATCGGGAACGGGACCCGCACCGGTCGTGGGAGGTCAGATTCGAACAAGATATGCAGGAGCCTCGACAGAGAAAAAAGATGTCGCGCATTGAACCGGCTGAGAGAGAGGCTATCTTCAAGATGCTGAAGTCGATGCTTGAATTCAGGCCTGAGGACCGCTCTGCTGCGAAGCAGATTCTTGAATGTGAATGGATGGTCAGATGGGCTTTGCCTGAGTACGAGAAGATCCGAGGGGTATAATTAATAGTTTATACGGCCATTCGAAATTTCGGAAGAGGACGAGGCTTAGCGAACTTTTCGTACACCCCTATGAACCGCAATAGAGTCTCCTCCTCGTTCACCCTGGCCACCAGACATAGACCGAAAGGCCGGTCGTTGTAGCGGAGTTGTCCTATCGTGACTGTGGCGACAGGATGCCCTAATCCTACTAGCAACGGCGAGTCAAATGTTCACTTGGTGAGTTGTTACCTGCAGCAGAAGCATGAACACGTAGCGGGGAATCTCCCGGAGCTGCCAGGATATTGATTTTTTCCTTGCCAAATAGGTCGTCCAGAATATCTCTCGCAGCCCTGCGAAGATCTTGTTTCAGTCCATCTATTCGTTCCCTTTCGTCAATGGCGTTCATTGCCCCTTCCAGGTCATTCTGCTCGATGAATGCTGCGTTGTGTCAGTACCTCTTCACTGCAAGATCGTAGGATCGTGTCCCTGTCAACATACGAGTTGGAGGTTCTTTTTCGCTGTTTCTTTATTAAACTTGACGATATCTGCAACGCTTGTTACGGAGCATGCGTCAAACGAGCGGATAAATCTAGGGATGCAGAGATTCTTAAAGTCCCAATCTCGAGGTGGTTAGCCATCCTAACTTCATTCGATACTTGTAGCAACCTACATGCAACCATGGAGATGGGCCGTGTGTTGGGCCGAGTAGCACATCCTGGACTGAATTAGTTGCCTGGACGAAGGCTCTTATCGACGGGATATGCCATGAGCACATCAACCCTGTAAGATTGAGGAGAGATATGACGGAAGAAACATCCTGGGACATTAAGAAATGGTATATAATATTTTGAGATAAGCTCATAAAAGTATGTAAAGAAAAGACTAAAGGTGTATAGTATCAAGGTATCACAAAGAAGAATATAAATGAGTGTGCCAGAATTTTCCTATTTCGCCTGACTCCCCCCGACCATGTGCAATCCGCATGGAGCCGCTTCATTCCTCAAAAGATCCGCAGACTTAAACCCTCTCCACCGCTTTCTCATCCCTGTAGTCTTCATACGGAGGCATCTCAAAAGTCTGCCGAACCGCGTAGGAGCCACTTCTCTTATGGTTGGAAGTGATAGTGGAAGTGACAGTGCATCCAGGATTGGCCGAGCCCACAAGTGTCCTTTCGGAAATCTCCGATACGTTGTTGGAGGAACTGAGTTGAGACCAGAAGTTGCGATGACCCATCTTGAACAGAGGGCGGAGGTTCGGGAGGCAAGCAGCGGTGATTCCGACTGCTGCTTCGATACAGGTCCACACAATGACGGGAACTTGGTTGTCTGGAGAAGTTAGGAATATAGATCACGAGATTGAAGGGAATATTAGCACGGTACTTACAGGTAATATCAGGACCTAGCTCAACCAGTCGGATCATGGCATTGAGGCGGAAGATATCGAAGATCAAGGTTCTAGACAGGAATGTTAGTACGCTTTCCACTGCAGCACCAATAGAAACTATCAAACATACAGGCCACCGACGAGGAAGACTCCGGAAAGAAGTGCCTTCTGGGACTTTGGGATCGGTAATGTCCATACGACTCTCATGGGCATGACGAGGAGAATCAGGTCGGAGAGGATGTTGGGGATCTGCAAGCCATAGTAGAATTTGGCGGGGTCAAGACAGGCTCCTTCAACCGACTGGTCCCAGAACTTTTTGGTTGGAATGCACAGAAGAGCACCGGCAACGTAAACACCCACGACCCAAAGAGTGACGAATCCAAACATGACGTTCACTGCAATTGTCATGTGTCGGACTGCAAAGAGTCGCTTGTACAGCGCCAGAATCGAGTATTTGATGAACGCGATGCAGCCAGTGTAGATGAAGTTGTTGGCAAATCCGAGCTATCTCGAGTCAATGCGTGGTACTTTCATAGGGCTGAGGTTGTTACGTACTTGGAAGTAAACCACGAGATTCTTCGCTGGGATCATTGTGATGTGGGACCCCATTCCATTGAATAGGACTAATACCGGTGTTAGTATCAAGTTGTCTGATGGAGTATCCGATATCACTTACGAACAACGACTCCACTGGAGCATGCATATTTGAAGAACAGGGCAACCATAATCAAATAGTCGTCCATGAAAAGCTGGCTCCCGGTCACCTTCCTCGCCAGGATTCTCAGAACCACGGCGAGAGTCGACAAGGTGTAAGCGAACACCAACGCAATAATCATCGACCGGCGTAGGTCTTGATTCGGGTGTTCGAAGTCACCTGGCGTCCACGTGGGAGTGGAGGAGGGTTCTGGGGAAGACATCACAGGCAGGTGTGGATCAACACCAACAACGAGGTAAAATTAAAGGAGAGAAAGTTGTTGGCCTGGATGATTTGGAATCATTGAGAGCCGTGTTTCGGGTCTTTAATATACTTGGAGGAGATGAGGAAGGGGGAGGAAGGGGGAGGGACCGCATCTATGTATGTAGCCTGGATCTGTCATATCTTTTCAGATCCACAAAAGTACAACAAAGATAGATGATATGAAAGGTTTACCGATCACATTGATGACAGGGCATTGTTTAGGTGCAGATGGCAGTTCAACCAAGGCATGGTCCAATGCGAACGATTACAGATTGCATTATGGGACTCCTTTGCCTTGAGAAAAAGCAATATGCTGGGAATCAACGGCCCGTCAGATCATAAACTTACAGAGCATTGTGTTGACCATAGAGATTTCACCAATCATATAAAAGCACAGGAACCCTTTCCCGACGTATCATCTTGGGAAAGTGGATATATCAGATTTTCAAGGTTGGATCTGACACTTGTAAGGTCCACTTATCCACTTTATTTGCAAGTCATTTTTCCCGAGAACTCTGTGGATAAGACCTGTGGAAATGACAATATCTGGCACATTGCTTTTCACTGAGATAACTATTGGAAATATGCAGCGAGAAATTATTGTTCATTGCAGTCAAGTTCTCACGGCAGATTAACAAAATTCGGAACTCATCCCTATATTCCAAGCAAGGGAGCAACAATAAAGAAGTCTATAGAGAAGATCACAGATAAACTGAAGTAGAGTTTTCGGCCCTAGGAGAATAATTCGAAATGGATGGATAGACGGACAATCCCAATCCACAGGTGTCTCCAGATGTACTCCGTACAACGCACAACGTAGTGAAAAACGCCGAAAGCGCCATGATCATCCAATAATTAGAAGCGATGCAGGTCATCAAATACTCTTTCGGAATTGCCGTTTTGGCAGATCCACAGACAGTTGAGGTCTGGGGTTGACCCGATATGATATGTCCATCGGACAGCAGACACCTCCGATTACAGCCCACATGGTGGAAGTTAGTGGAAATTAGCCGGTATAGTTGATCCACTTGACAGCGTCTTTGTCATTCATTACGAGGTTCATATGTCTCATGCAGCCGGATTGTACTGGATTGCATTTCCGTTGCATTTCGATCCCACCTCGATTGACGGTCTCTACTTGCTTTTCCTGGACTGTCGCACAGAAATGCATAAATACAATGGTTAATGCACTCTTAATTGGAATTGTTTAATAGATTATAGTTTCTGCAGTATAATAGCAATATAATTCATAGCTTAACTGCCGGGAAATGTCATCCACATGGACTCCGGCACTGATGATTCCCGACATTCGTAAGGGGCTATATCGGAGATTAGAACATTTGCCCCGACTCTTTACACGACTCTTTACAGGGTATCTCATTGGAAGATTCACTTAGGCATCTTTCATCTTCGATCTCTCTCTTCTCCCTTACTGCTCTATCGCCCTATGCCCTCAATTAACTTCGAAGCGAAGTCTATTTTGTAACGTCCCCTACCAATGGGCTTGCAATACCCCTAGTGTATATGTACTTTGATCGCCCTGACGTACTAGACCAACCTAGCTGGCTCTAAACGCACCAAGAATCCAAAGCAGTTAGCATTTCCGAGGCTATCCACGCTACAAGCAAGGTACACAAACTTTCAACATAGGGCAGGGCCATTCGAACAAAAAGTTCCGACTGTAGCCTCAATTCCCCGGGACAAGGTTCACCTAAGCTGCGAGTGTTGAGCATATACTTGCAGTCGCAATTCCTCCGACCTGCAGCTTTATAATCAAGGGCGACGAGATCAACATCTGAGAGCCGCCAGTCATGTTCAAGGTATAACTTTCCCCTCCATGACTCAGGACTCCACAACAGGGCACCCTCGTCCCAACCCTTTCCAAGTGCCCAACCATGTGGCATAATTGGATGTCGGCAATGTTTTACTCCATCGGTCTCCACTATGGGTCTACGGCAAAGTGATGAATATCCTTCCGGGCCAATTGTTGACTCCGATAGTAAGCAGACTGGACATGTGCCCTTCCAATCAAGAGAAGGGAAGCTTTAGATGTCGTCGATTAGCGTCAAGCCACACGATCGATGGACGAAATGTGAAGGAAATGCGAAAAGAAACTGCCTTCACCAAACCGCTTCGCAAGGTTCTTTCACAGAAATATCATTATTCGATTGCACGCGAAAATGGCCAAGGTTGCCCTTATCACCGGCGGCAGTATGTACTCTCCCACAATTCTCCCGAAGTCTGATCGTCCATCGACTAACCCTTCAAGCCAGCGGAATCGGCCTCACAGTCGCCAAGCACCTAAGCCAGACCGGCAACTGGCAGGTCAACGTTATCGGCAGCAACGAAGAGCGAGGCCAAGAAGCAGCAGCCTCCCTCTCCAATGTCACATTCTACCAAGCCGACGTGCGCAATTACCAACAACTAGCCACTGTATTCGATCAGGTCTTCAATGCCAATGGTCGAATAGACTTTGTCTTCGCGAACGCCGGAAGAGCAGACAACACCGATTTCTTCGCTAAGTCTGAGACTGGCATCCCGCCCGAGCCGGGTTCCGAACTTATCGATATCAACGTGAACGGCGCTCTATATACCAGTTATCTTGCGATGCATTATTTTCGTCGCTCTCCGGAGGCAACGAAGGGGTATAGGAATTTGATACTCACGTCCAGTATTGGGGGACTATACCCATGCATGCTAACCCCTGTGTACTCTAGTACTAAACGTGGGTCGAGAATAAACAAGCTGAATTACTCTACAGGGTTGGCTAACCAATTTCTAGATGCGCTTATTGGATTCACTCGCTCTGTTGGAGAGCGCCTTTGGGAAGAAGGAATCCGGGTCAATGCTCTGTGTCCCGGGGTGGTGGAAACGCCCCTTCTCGCCATTGAGGAGTTTCAGGCGATCTTCCCTCGCGAAATATTCATTCCTATGGATGTTGTAACTGGCGTAATATTGCAGCTATTGTCTGGGGAGGACATGGTAGATGCCAAGGGGATGCGTGTCGCTGGTGATGAGATGCATTCCCGAGCTCTTCACGTTTCAGGGAAGAGCTTCTTTTTCATCGAAAAGCCAGAGATCCATGACGAGCAGACTCGGATAACATGGGCTGCAATGATGGGACATAAATAAACTTCTATTTATTGCCACATATTGGGATAATAGCACAATTTCTAGACTAGAACATTATACATGGGTTTGTGTGCAAGGTGTCTTGCGTACATAATTACCTATATTGAACCAGTAGATCTGGTCACCGCCATCCCTCGCATCCCATGCTAAGGATAGGGTGCGCATAACTTGAAGCTGCGATTGCCTGGAGAAAGTCACAACTTCATGGATCTTGTCAGCGACTGCTGCCCGCGCTTCTGTCCCGGTGATCTCAAAGCATGCTACCATATATGCAATTGCCGTGCATGGTATTGAACGTCCTGTAGATTGCAGGACCATGTCGATCTCCGCGGTAATAGCATTGGAAAATTGCAATGCTTCCTTGTCGCGTTGCCCATAGGGATAGCGTAGCCGATGCACAATAAGTAAAGCCGCAAGACGGAGGAACCTTCGCCTGAGCGAGCATTACCACAATCTCAGACTGAGTAAATCGTTCAATAAAGTCCGGCGGTGATGAGGGCTGCCATTTCTCCAGGGAGTCTTGTATCGTGGCCAATCGTTCAACCATTTCAAAATCCATTCTTCCACCGGTAACTTTCATCAAATGACCAGCCTCGCAGATATCATATAACTGGGCAAAAAGCGACGAGCTAAGCCCAAGATACCGATCAACAACATTGTAACGATCCCGTTCACCGACCCGGATAGTCGGGATCTCAGACCGAAGCAGACACTCCGAAGTCTCCGTACTAACCAAACACATCAACAAATCCATAACACCAGGATCCATCCCCAGGATAGCCTGATAAACCGGCTTAACAAGTGTCAACGTATAACGCGATATAAGCACCGGCTGGCCATCGGCTACATGCATAGCGAACGTCACTATAGCCACGCCGAGCACGAGCGCAGTAACCAGATCCTGCTCCTTGGATATCTGCAACGACCGCAGTCCCGAGACAGCCAGTGCAGCCCGCCGGTGTCCGACTTCGACGCTTGTCTTCATGTACTGCGCATCTTGGTCTCCGAGGAGCACGGCGGCACAGGCGACTGTGGCGTGTTTCAATATAGATGTCGGGGCGGGGCGGAGCAGGTTCTGCACGAAGAAACGGTGGTTTGACTCGTGGAAGCTTGGTCCGATTAGGAATTTGTCTAGTGGGGATGGTACGACGATGTCTTTCATGAGATTGAGGAAGTGTCTTTCCCATTGGTCTCAGTTCGGGGAATAGGGCTGGGTTGCTGGCTAGGCCTTTGTCGAATGGGAGGTAGAGATCGGGATAGGGGGTGTTCTTGCATGAAGATAGGTCGAGGGTCTTTGCGCTGCGGGTGACCGAGCTGAGGAATGAGGTTGGAAGAGTATAGGATAGGTTTCTTGCGTCGCGTGGCTTTCGCCCCGGTCTCGCGAGATTCCGCGTCGTTTGGCAGGTCTGGTTTAAGCGGTCGCATCGCTCGCATGATGTCGTTGTACTCGGTCGTCGACATTTTTCTTTCAGAGTGTGACATTGATCGCAGGCTCGTTTTGTAGCGGGAGGGGACATCTTCTGGTTTGAAGCTGTTCAGCTGCAGATTGGAAGCTATACCAACTGTAAAGAAACGGATCCTAGGTATCAGCATTTGAGAACATCCTCATATCCCCACCATTCCAGTATAAAGAGAGTCGCGACGATCTCCCGAGAGCAAAAGCCGATACGATAAGGTCGCGTGGACTTGACTATTGCGCTCAAGCGCCATCTTGTGCGGGGATACCCCAATTGCCACTTTAGCGGGTGATCGTATGTTTCTTAGATTTCTATCTGACATGTTGAACAGGTTAAAATCAAATGGTAAGTAGAGAATGTCACAATCTCATCCTTTTTCAGTAATATAAAGGCATTAAAGATATACTTCACAACACGATACCTAGGTAGACACACGCTTCAGTCGTATGGAGAAAAGAACCAACATCAGCAGTTCAAGTCATCCATCATACGCCTCCAAACAGCCTCAGGCAATCTCCCATGAACCCAATAACCCCCATCCTCCCCACCCCAACCCCGCGCTTTCCACGTCACCAACAAATCATCCAAGTGAGTTTTAGTCTCACGCAAAAGTCCACAGTAGTCAACACTGCCCTGTACAAAGAGCGGCCTTTCACCTTGGATATCGAGATCATAAAGCGGCAGGTTTTTCCAAGAAGCGATGCGCGGTTGAGCCGCTCGGCCACCATACGATTTCGGTATCATGGGGTTATTCTTCAGGCTCTTGTGCTGATCAACAATCTCTCCAATGCATTCTGGCTGCTGGCCCTCGTGAACCGCGCGCCGGATGTGTGTTGCGAGTCGAATCAATGAAGGGGAGTTATATTCGCTTGTTGGTATTGGGTCCGGTACGGGCATCATGTACCAGGGGTTGTAGAGGGTTGCTTTGGACTGGACCTGTTTTGAGATATCGATGGCTAGGCCGAAGCTGTGGGCAGTCGGTGGATGTAAAGAAGCCTGTATATGGTCTCAGTGAGCTTGTTCAAGTTTGTGTAAACAGAACGAAGGTGACACTACTTACCTTGTAGATAAAAGCTGCCACGAGATCATGCTCAGTTACCTTGGCCTTGTCACTCTCGGCCTCTTCTAACCAGCTCTGAATTTGCCTCCGGGGGATCAGCAAGGTCTTGCTGATCCGTCTCGCTGAAGGATAGCATATATTCCGTCCGATCTGCTTCCCGAGTGCCCCGATTCCGGCTACCCAAGTGCGACACGTAGAATGTTCGTGCAGATCTGCGATCTGATGGGACTCAACCTTCTCGGCGCATTTTTCGAGTACTTCTGATTTCAGGGACAGGGGTGGTCGGGTATGGATAGTGTGGGTAATATTCTCCCCCCTGAGGAGGGTGCAATAAGCCTGGACTATTTGATGGGCGCCTATAATCACAATGTCAGCTCTACTGCTTTGTTGATCTCTAAATAATCAATTACCATTTGCATCGCAGAGGGACTGCAGAAACCTGAACCCGATTATGCAGGCATCGGTCAAGAATACAGTTCGAATGGAGAATACTCGCTGCCTCCATGCGTGTACCAACCCATACCCGAAATCCAACGCCTTGTCGAGTGCCGCAGAGTCAATCAGTTGTGGGGAGTCCGGCTCGGAAGAAACTGCGACAATGTCGCTGAGTTCTTGTTTAAGTGTTTTCCCCTCCCATACCTCGGTCAGGTCACCGGGGTCTTTTGGATCCAAGAATTTGGTTTTCTGTTCAGTGTTAGTCTCCGCACAGTTATCGATGTTGCTGAGTACCTACCAACGGATCCATTCGCAAGTTCAGTACAGGCCATTGTAAGACGAGGGTATCAGCAGCAAACTGAAAGTCGAGCGGGCTAGGATTGGTCCTCACGACGACTGAGAGGGTGAACTCGAGAGGTCGGGCATAGCCCATATCGAGTGGACCTGGTTTCATCTTGACAGGATTGAAGATAATTAGAATGTATTTTAGGAAATGTAGTCAAAAGAAGACGTGATGCAAAACTTTGCTCTGTGAAATCGACCTAGCATGTTATATGAAATAAAAGGGACAGGATAAGGCCACAAAATAAAATATGTTGATATCTCTATAGAGATGAAGTATGTTTATCCCAACTTTGACGTTCATCCCCACATAATTGCCCTACGGAATGCCCGCCTTGTGGATCTCGTCGAATGAGCTTGTTGACATACTCCATTAGGAATTCTGCACCATGGCAGACACCACCACTGGAATGTTGTATAATACATTTGGCCCCACATAGGCCTGTCGCTCACAATTGCCGAAAACCAGTAGGAGTCTTGTCAAAGGATATTGGAGATGTACTGGCAGGGAGTCATGTACTAATCGCATGTTGTTATTGACGTCCGCAGAAATATAAGCTGCTGTCTTTTGCTGTAAGGCACAAATACCAGGTTATTTTAATATAAGTACTCCGTAGGATGTTGGACTCTTATTTGGCTACGTGTCAGGGCCAATAGAGATGTCACAGAATATACTTTTACACCTAAGGTATCTATCACTGCCCAACAATATAGGTGCGTTGTCCTAGGGGCCTCCCTTGCTGTTCGTCACATTATTACATTGTGGCCCTCAACAATTGGGTAAAAGGGCGAGGCTTGGATTGGATAGCTTGTTAAGGGAGAGCAATAACACTGGCTCTAAGGAGGGATTAGACATCGGATATCAACATCTTGACTGTTGCTTGGCTTGGATGATCCACTAGGGCTCGGCCCGGGAGATAATGTATCTGATGTGGTTTCAATCTGTTCCGCATGAGTTAACTAGAGTTTAGAGCTTGACGAGTACAATCCAAGACACTACTCCGTACAGGTGTGCGCCACAATGCATACGCAATATATGGATGCATATGTAGCCAGTTGCTGCATGAAGCGGTGTGCATTGATTCCTTGAATCACAGCCAAACTTAAATCTCACCCCTTTTCTTATGAGTCTCGTCTTAGGCGAGGCTAGTTTGATAGATATTTCAAACATTTGAGATAGATCGGCATGCTGATCACATTGCATTATTTTCGTCTTATCAAGTACCGACTTGTATCCCAATTCCCGCTGCTATTCCAACTTCAAGATACATCACCACCCTTTAGATACTCTCTGTCCATCTCTACAGCTTCGCTACTCTGAAATAATCCGAATGGCTGGGCCCCGATCTCTACCCTAGTGTGATGGGTCACAGATGGGTCACACAGCTGCATCCGCCCCATCTTACCTGCAGATCTGTCTGCATGTGCCCGAAACCGGAGTTCATTGCCATCATCGAGCGTCTAGATGAGATCCAATAGACTACAATATATATTAACCGGTTCTATATTGCCCATAGACCCACTTGAAGCCCCTTCCTACGATTTTATAGCATTGCATACACCCTTTGGTCCTACATATTTCCATTTTACTCATGAAGGCGGGTAGCGGCTATTCAATTTGCATGGATTCATCATGATATGGGACTATTATAATGGCAAGACCCTATTCATTACCGGGGGCACGGGGTTTATTGGAACTGCGCTTCTGTGCCGACTTCTGAGTCAGTCGTCTCCGAAACGAGTATATGTGCTATGTCGGGGTGGCGCCGAGTAAGTCAGAATATATAGGCCAAAGCAGCACTTACTGACTTGAATGACCAGTAAAGCAAAAGCAAAATGGTCCGACATGCTTCCTCCCTCTGCCGCACAGATCCTCACCGAAAACGAGCGGATAACTATCCTTGACGGCGAATTGGGAAATACCGCGACAATGAGTTTACCAGAAGAGACAATACAGATGCTGAAACGGACAGTTCATATTGTGATCCACATCGCAGCATCAGCTCAATTACAAAATTCTCTGCGAGAACTAGCTTATAATGTGCTAGCACCAAGCATATGTCTCACACAATATGCCCTGAAATTCACCAACCTCGAGCGCTACGTATACTTCTCCACTGCATATGCCAACGCCCATCTATGGAAATCCAACGAATCGACCGACGTATCCGTCGACGAGAGAGTATATCCCCTCGGCAGGGAGGAAGAAGATTATTACAAGATTGCACTTGAAGCATGGAGCGCAGTACAGAAAACGGGCTCATCAGACGAATACGACGGCCATGATTTCCCATGGCCATACGCATACGCCAAACACCTAGCCGAGCGACTAGTCCTGCAGAAGGCAGCCGAGCGTAACAAAATGGACAAAGTCCTAATCATCAGACCGTCTGTCCTCGGACCAGCCGATAAGTTCCCATACCCCGGTTTCGCAACTTCGCACGGAGCCCCTTCGACAATCTGTGCGGCAGAGTACATGTTACACCCAGGTCGGCGAATCAGGCTCTCAACACGATGTCAAAATCCAGAGCAAGAATCCACAATCGACGAGGTCCCGGTTGATGTTGTGGTGGATCGGACGCTGGTCCATGTGGCGTTGAAGACGAGTGGGTGCATTCATGCTGTTAGTGGGGAACAGGGCCGGTTATCGACCGAGGAATGGTGGCGTGCATTTAAGAAGGAGAGACGGCTGCCCTGGAATGCGAAACCCTCTTGGGTCTCTGATGATTGGCATTCTTCCGATCTCCATCAGATGGCTCGGAAGTTCAAGATTATTGGTACTTCGTTTGCGTTCTCGCAGGAGCGGACTGTTAAGGCTGTAGAGAAGCTAGGGGGCGGGGAGAAGGAGAATCTTCAGTTGTTTGCTGATCGGTCGAAGCCTTACTCTCTGCATTTGAGACGACATCATATTCGTCATCAGGCTGTCGAGGTGGCTAAGAAGAAGAAGTGGCCGGTGTTCTCTGCTAGCCTGCTTTGTCGGAAGGGGAAGCCTGTGGCGTGCCCGGATGAGAATGTAAAGGCTTGACCAGGATGTAGTCTTTTAGGACGGAATCTTTAGGTAGCTTCCTTTACAAAGTCTATCAACATTCCAAGATTGTAGACGCTTCACAAATTACAAACTTCGTGGATTGTGCCGGAACATCAAGTCCTAATTTACAATAATAAATTCACTTTCTGACAATGAAATCTCGTTTCAGTACCTGCCCTCCCTGAACAGACAGAGACGCTGCGTTATTGATCCAGTCCAAATCATGCTCATCGAGCTGGACCTCTAAGCTCTTCTCCAATTCCTTTCCCTGAATAAGTCTGAGAAAGGCGTCACGTCGCGGATGTGAAACCACTATCGAATCCATCCAACGAGTCACCTTGGACTCGCTGAATAGCTGAATGCAACCAAGCATAGCAGTTCGCCAGCCAAACTCATAGCTCTTTACTTTGACCTCAACACCCTCTCGAGCCAGCCAGTCAGCAACCTTTGCATTACCGCAAAATGTCCAATGATATAAAGTGTGAACAAAAAGGACGCACACTAAGCATATACCATCCCAGCCTTTCTGCGCCGCCACGTATGTGATTGCGGCAAGTTGAACTCCATGTGCAAAGTAAAACCAGCGAGCCGCTAACTGTGCTTGTTTTCCTTCTGGGAAATGAACCATCGGCTTGTTGAGCAAGGTGTCGACAATCGCGCGATCGCCAGTGTATAGACTCCACTCCATAGCGTTGACGTGTGACGCTGTTAACATGCATGCAGTTTCATGTTTCTCATTGTTGCTCAAATACCCAGCGCTTCGAGGAATGACTATGGCCCATGCAACCAGTCTAGAGATTGCAGTGATCAAGATGAGGCCAGCGCTTCCATAGGCGCCAACAAGTCCAAATATAGCTGAAATTCCGCAAAGTACAGAGAAAATGATGCAATTAGCAATCTTTGAACTCATGAAACTGTCGATTTTAGATCGTAGTGACCGTCGGGGCGGACAGAGGCGAAACTGGTAGACATGCAAGATTTGTTGGCGAAGTTTTGGGGCCTCATCTGATCCAGAGCTAGGGGCGACATTGCTATCTGAAATGGGGATAGAAAGCCTAGGTATCACCCCTGCTCTATCTCTAAGATTTCCAAGAGCAAAATTCTCAATTGCTGCACTCGCTGCACCATTTGCGCAGGGAAATTCGGATCCCCATTTGACATCCCATACTGTTCGAGCCGAACCTCCTCTGACACTGGCGTAATCGAAATAGTTCGAACCTTTGCCGAAGAGTCTTGCTAGCCCCCATAAAGTCCCAAGGCGAGGAAATAGAATTAATGAAATTCGCCCATGTAGAGAAACGTCGCCCGAAGTCAAGTGATCATCTTGGGGACTAGCAAGATGGCAGGCCAGTGGAATCAAGGCGGCCCATTCCGATATTATGTCCGGAACCCAGGGCATTGGGATGTATGTTGACATTATAGTGCCTGGCTCGAGCTCGATAGTCATATTTGGTGATTCTTTCACGGCACCAGATCGGAATTTGAAGCAAGAAGTCTCGCAAAATCTGAGAACCTGTGTTTATTTAGTTTCCTTTTGTCTTTTTTTTTTTTGTTTAACATTCTGATCGGGATGAGCATGCCTTATGATACTTGCCACGTCAGATCTACAGCTGGGCGTGTCAAAGTGCTCAGCCTCAGCTGCACCATACAGCCAATCAAAGTGCGCATATTGTCGCTTGGGGGTGGACTCCATATATATAGTATTGCTTTTTTGAAGAATACCAAGGAGTATTATCTATAAAGGGTAATAATCAGCTTCATTTGCATGGCATAGGCGATAACTATCAAAAGTACTTACATACGTACATATGTAAGTTGGCGCCGGAAGATGGCGTTTTGACAACCTCCGATAGATATACTAGACTATTAAGTACATGACGATGCTTCCCACTTTCCTTGTCCTCTTCCCAGTAAGAGCTCCTCCATCAATGGCTTTTTCTGTTTCTCAGGTCTCTAAAAGTGCAGTCAATTTGATCAATCGACTTGAATTGGCGTTCAGTTGGGCCTTCGAGTATGCCCAATCAACGCCAACTACCGCCATGCAAGCTTAGCGCTTCCAATGCAACTTGACCTTTTCGGTGCTCTATCCTGCGGTCATGCAGGACCTACGAGGATTCGATCTGCAGTAACCCCTCTTTTGCTTGAAATAGCAGCGCTTTCATGAGGAATTTATTGCACTAGGGAGATGGGAGGTGAGGCTATAAATGTGGGCTCGATTTATTGGATTTAATGATAGATCGCGTTTTCACGATTACACTTTTCATTATACACCAGGCAAGATCTCGTTAAATATATGCTGCACGGTCTTCATATTGTACACTAAGCACCAAGCCCGCTTTCATCTACGAGAGCAATGCACGATGAGGTTTCTCCACACAGAATCATACAGGCTCTATGAACAAGTAGAGCTTCCACATCATGGAAGCCCGCTTCCAGCATATGCTATCTTGTCACATACATGGCTTTCGGAAAATTCAGAGGGTGTCAGGGAAGTCACCTATCAAGATATGAAGTCATCCTATGCCAAGCTGACGCGTGGCCGGTATAAACCCGAGGGTTGGAGCAAGCTGAAGAAGTACTGCGATCTTGCCAAAGAGGATGGCTGGGAATGGGCTTGGATGGACACCTGTTGTATCGACAAAACAAACACCTCCGATACACAAGAAGCTATTAATGCCATGTTTCGCTGGTATAAGGAATCCATGATTTGCTACGTGTACCTTGAGGATGTTGACCGAGGGAAAAAAAATTTCCTGGCTTCCTTTTCTCGTGCGAGGTGGTTTACGAGGGGATGGACACTACAAGAGCTCATAGCTCCGACATCTCTACTATTCGTTGACAAGAATTGGCTGGAAATAATCGACAAAAACAACGGCCAAGAACACATTGAGAGGGCCACGGGCATCGATCCTGAGAAATTACGAAAATTTCATGAGTGTTCTATCCGGGAACGCTTTTCTTGGGCATCACAGAGACAGACAACTTTGATAGAAGACAGGGCCTATTCTCTTTTGGGCCTCTTTGGAATTAATATGCCTTTGATTTATGGCGAGGGTGATCGGGCATTTTTGCGGTTACAGCACGAGCTGATCAGGACGCACGATGATGCAAGCCTTTTGCTCTGGGAGGCGCACAGTGAGTTTGTTCGAAGTACAGAAGCCCGTACCACTTCCATAGCTAACACATATCGAAGATTATAATGAAGAGAATGTCATTCCGCGACGGCTAGGTGCTCTGGCTCCTTCGCTCTCATGTTTTCAACCCCGATCCGACGAGCCAGCAACAACCCGGATTTTGGCGGGGTGTAATCTCTCTATCTCAGCAAGTGGTTTGCATTTAGATGCCAACTTGATGTTCCTCAACTCAGACAAGGTCGATGCAGCCGGTCGTATGTTGGGTCCCCTCCAGCCTGAATGAAACAGATCATTACAAGACAGTTGAACTAATGTGATATTTCATCAAATAGAGGAATGGCGCCATGATTCTCTTTTCCTGGCTTTTATAGGCGGGTCATATTCCTTCCGGTTTGGAATTTACTTGATCAAGATGTCATCAGCTTATGCTCCCGACTCTTTCGAAAGAGTTGGGCATCTGACCACTATCCTGAAACCTCCCCCTGGTTGGGATGGTGGGACCAATTATACAAGTTTGGGACTAAGGTCCATCATTATAAAAGATGGATTCGACCTTTCTTTCCACACGGCCTTTATGCGAGTGAGCCCTCTTACGGGATTCAAAATCCTCGCATCATGCCGCGCGCTACTTGAATACGACGATCCATTGAATAATGTTCCAGTGTCATCTCAATTCATCCTGCTGAGCATTCCATACAGGAGCAGTCGTTTTCTGTGCGATCCATCTGGTATTCGGAAAGGAGAATATTTCATTACTTCCTTTCCAGAGAGCCTCCTCTATTGGGATTTCGACGTCGTCCGCGATAGTCCATGGAGATTCCAGGTTCAACATGGAGCAAGCGAAAAATTTGAGTTAATACTGGGCACCTCGCAGTACAACCCAGATGCTCTCCTGCTCGCCCCTGGACAATTGCCTTCCCGTACAATTCGCTTGAAAGGTTCACCGGGTACAGTTCGCGTCAAAATACGACCAAGGGCGGCCATGGAAAATCGGTCTGTCCAAATATCGTACCTGTCTTCGTCGCTTTTAGGTCTAGACCCTGGATATAAATTTAAAGACAAGCTTCTAGGAGAATCATTTTCCATTGGATCTGTCTCGCCGAGGGGAATATGATGTTATCCTCGAACATGTCCCTGATGACAACCGTGGGAAAAAGGGCGGCGTAAATAATGACTTGCAATTTACTACGTGCATATTGCCAATCAAAATAGATAGTAATAATGCATTCATGCCAGTTTGGGCACCTTACATATTGCCTTCGCCCAATCTTAAAGCCTCAAATTCAGTGCTGACATGGCCATGCACGGCTAGGTAGCTTTCTCTAATTGGCCCCATGCTCGGGATGCATTGCCCAGCGGAAAATTGGGCCGCGAAATAAGCTGTGGGTCTATCTTTGTAGGCAGTCGATCGGCGACTTGGTTCTGTTTCAAATCAAAACCTACGGAATTCGAAGAGCGACATTAAAGACCATAACAAACACCTATATACTGCTTGCAAGCAAGTTCTCGTTCACACGATGTCCCCCAGTTCACAGTCTAAACGAAAGCTTGGCCGGACAGACCGGAGTGAGAAGCACGGAGAGAATAAAGTGTCTACGTTGCCTTTGACAGGAGTTGCCCACAAGTCAGCGGCACCAACTCGGGAACCCTCGCCTCTTCGCCTGGCAGCGAGCAGCGATAAATCTCTAGAACGAGATCTCAGAAGGCTAGGTATAGAATATGAAGATCTGAACGCTTTCTTAGCCACTCTGCATGCGGAACACAACACCATGAAAATGGCGGTTCAAAACCCTCGCAATTGGCACCAGGACGTCTCCGATATTTCAAGTCTTACCGAAGGCAACGAGGAATTCCTGGCCCTGCTCAAAAGACGACAAGAAGGGACGTTAGACGAGATCCAGCAAGCCTGGGACAAGACTGCTGAAGCACTGCTGGCCGCTGAGCCTCCACGTTCGGATAACCCAGCATCCACGGCTCTTTTATGGAGCAATTTTACAAATTTTGCTCGAGATTTCTCGTTCGATTCCCTTGTCGCCCTCTTTGGCTCCTTCGCGGGTGACGGCCAATCCTCTACTCCCCCTCTGTCGTCAAGCTGCATTGAGACACACCCTACCAAACTGCATCAATCTGACAGGAAAGCGAAAGGAAGAATGGCAATGCCATCTGGCACGATGAACTGCTCGCCGGGCTCAAAATTGGAACCTGAACTGGAAAGCAGTGGGCAAAGCGATGTGCGACGAAGCATGCGCTTGCAACAACGCGCTGAGCAAAAAAGGCGATAGTGTGTCGCATCGGATATTTCCTAGTTGGGTAGGAATATTGGCTGGTTTAACTGCTATCGCAGAATACTTGATTCATTACTACCAGGAGAATCAATCGCATACAACATCCCAGTCAACACAGCTACATTTCAATCCCTCAAACTACGCAAAAGATTATTGTGATTGAAGTCTCCACACTTATCTCGACTCCAACTGACTGGCTTTTTGTTTCTGTCTTGTCTATTACATACGTTTGCACTGTGTCTATTGTGAGCATCTGTGTACTTTAAACCATTGGATCCATTGGCCTAATTCGCGTGATATTGTCTTGAAAAACAACCAAAGTTGGCTTTTGTGAATGAATTTGTCCTTATAATACACAAGTAAGAGAAACTTAGCTCATAAATCTTGGAATACTGTCTCCACGAGAAATGGTAGGTCAAAGACCGAGTATAACCTGCACATGTGTTGATATAGATCGAACCTTGGAACGCACAGATTAGCGCCCTGCGCACGGACCATCCGATCGACCGCGGGGGAAAAGAAATTCTTCTCCGCCACCAAGTCACAGGCCTAACAACTCACATCATGGCGCCGACGGCGTGTTTCAACTGCAAGGAGGCGCGAGCCGTCATTATCCGACCTAAGAATAGACACAAGCTCTGCCGTGCCTGTTTCATCAAAATTTTCGAAACCGAAGTACACGAAACCATCATCGGCACCAACCTCTTCTTCCCCGGCGAGCGAGTCGCGATCGGAGCCAGCGGCGGCAAAGACAGCACGGTACTAGCAGCCGTACTGAAAACCCTCAATGAGCGATACAACTACGGACTCGACCTATGCCTACTGTCGATCGACGAGGGCATCCGCGGCTATCGCGATGACAGTTTGGAGACCGTGAAACGCAACGCCGTGCAATACGACATGCCTCTTGATATCCTGGGATACAGCGAGCTATATGGCTGGACGATGGACCAGGTCGTGGAACAAGTGGGCAAGAAGGGTAACTGCACGTACTGCGGTGTGTTCCGGCGGCAGGCGCTCGACCGAGGCGCGGCCCGCTTGGGCATCAAGCACGTTGTCACAGGCCACAATGCGGACGATGTTGCTGAAACTGTTATGATGAATCTCCTTCGCGGTGATCTGCCCCGTCTGTCGCGCGGTACTAGTATCGTCACCAGCTCCGACGCTTCGGATATCAAGCGCAGTAAGCCTCTCAAGTACGCTTACGAAAAGGAGATCGTCCTTTACGCCCACCACCGTCAGCTCGATTACTTCACTACTGAATGTATCTATTCGCCGGAGGCTTTCCGTGGTAGTGCTCGCACCCTGATCAAAGATCTTGAGAAGATTCGTCCCAGTTCGATCCTCGACATTGTCAAGAGTGGCGAAGACATGGCGGCGCTTGTACCGGTGGAAGTTCGGGGTGCTGGCAAATCCAAGCAGTCTGGTGTCGAGGAGGAATCGGCTGGTGGCTGTGGTAGTCAAAATGGCCGAACCAGTGGAGGAGAGATGGCTGCAATGGAGAAACAGCTCACTGAGAACGACGCAGCTGAGTCACTCGAGACCGAAATCAAGCTTCCTAATGGTGGACATGTGAAGGCGAATCGCGGTCCCACGGGTAAGGCGGTCAAGGCGCAGACTATCAAGCACTGTGAGCGCTGTAACTACATTTCTAGTCAGCGGATTTGCAAGGCCTGTACCCTGCTAGATGGTCTCAACCGGAACCGACCCAAGACTGCGATCGAAGTCGGTGTTGGCATGGAAGATGAAGAAAGTAGTTCGACTTTGATGAGACAGATGGAGCGCACGCAGCTCAGCGCTACCTGAAGAGTCAATCAGGGAAGCACGTCTATTCAAAAGCCCAATCTTCAGCGCCAGCGTCATCGGGGTCCCGGGCAATCTTCATCACAACCCTTTTGCTAGGTCATCACCTTCGCAACACAATCACGCCCAGTGTCAACGTCGGGTGTCCATTCTCGGTGCCCCAAACACTGTGCGGCAACCCACTTGGTTCGCACTAAACAAGTATTGAGATCAGGATCTCAATATCAGATACCCCAAGTTACGACTGGAACATCAATCTTCCAGAGTTAATGCATAGCATAGAGAAATTTTCAAAAAAGAACAAGTTCATGCTACTTGGCAATGCTCTCTATTTATTTTGTACATAACCCGTAGTATACAAACCCAAAAATCAACAATAACGCCATTCCATGGAATACATGCATCCCAACAAAACCACACTATCTATACAGACAACAGATAACATCCAACAAGCCTGCAATCCGCCTGTACCGTGAATCAGAACGCAGATCGTCCATCTGTATCCGCAATCGATAATCCACCGGAGGACGAACCAAGGAAAGCAAAGCAATACCGAGCATAGTTAACAAGCCCGCTCAGCTCAGCTAAACCTAGCATCGCAAACCCTCCAACTAATGTTATAATCACTCCTTCCCCTCAGGAACATGCAACTCAGGCAAATCAAACCCAACCCGTCTAGCCGTAAGACGAATCTTCTCTTCCTCGTCCATGGTCATACCGGGGTTATAGCGCTCAAGGAGCTCACAGTAGACACGCTGGGCGCGGGCATATTGAGCGAATTGATCTGCTTCCTGGATGCGGAGGGTGCGTTCCTCGTCTGTTTTCGGGACTGAGAAGGGGAGGGCATTGGAGTTTTCCGGTTGCAGTGAAGATGTTGATGGTGTTGAGCGGAAGATTGCGCGTAGGTGTTGGTGCAGTGGGGAGGGATTTGAGAGGTGGCGGCGTGGGAGTTCGCGGAGGAGGGCGCGGTAGGTTGTGCGCGCTTGGATTGTTGTGGACATTTTTGAGTGGGTTGAACCCCGAGGGCTGTGGCTTTTTGATGGGTTGATTGGGGTGGATTTGAGACTCTGGTGCACCGGGGTTTGGAGGTGAGTTCAAATGTTTGTCTTCGTCTCAAGCTGGTAGGTTGAGATAGTCGGGTGGAACCAATTCACGTGATTGGAATTGTATGCGGCATCCGCTACTTAGCGGTAGAATCTGACAATTGTTCAATATTGGTATAGGGCTAGGATCTTATTTGTGGACAGGGGATACAAGGGAATAATTACATAAACATCTCAATATATACCGGGATAGGAAACTGCTATCTGCAAGACAGTCGATGACCATCACTACCCACACCTCAGCACGCATATGTACAAAATGCCGTAGCAGAACGTTTTTTTTTCTCAAGATGTATCAACCGTTACAACCGTCATATCGACCTCCGCCGAGTTCATAACGAAAAGCAGGTAAAAGACAACAGCAATATTTATCAATCATATAGGGGCGTGGCGGCATGAGAAAGGAAGTGTAGAGGAAGGAAGGGTAAGATAGGTGTAGATAGGGTAGGGAGGGCAGAGAGAGAGGTAGGAAGGCGTTTGATGAGATGGGTTGTCGTGAGCCTCAATTCGTGTTGAGGCTTACGGGGACGAGTGCCTCAGGATGCCAGAGGTGAAGCGATTAGGTTTGAGAGCGCAACCAGCCGAACTTCCTTCGTCCCTCGGCTCCCGTGGACGGTTCGACAAGCAAACTACGAGCATACAAGTCCTAGATAATGTTAATGAGAAGGACAATGATTCACGATGATAGACCTTACCTCTTCGTCTCCAGAGAGCTTCGAGTCCAGGATCAGTCGCTCAACATCGTCGAACTTCTGAGCCTGAGGATGAGGCGTCTTCTGGCTTCGTTGGACGCCGAGAACAACCTCACCCATAACCTCGAATTTCTTCCAGTTGATGCGAGATTTGTTCTCGCCGACAAATGTCTTGTTGCCTTCTTCAGCGGAGACAAGGTCACGGCGGTGGAGGGGTAGGAATGGGATTCGCTCTGAGAATGAATTTTCCCAAGCTAGACGGTAGGCAAAGTGGCTTCGTTGGGTGCTCATGAGGATGACCAGACGCATAAACTCTTTCTGGGTTTGGATGGGGATCAGATCCCGAGTTTGCGTGAGACGGTGGACTGGGGTGCCGTTGATGGCGGCGATTACGGCACCCAAGGAGTTGTAGTTGTTTTGGCGTCGGAGTTTCTGGAAAGAGGTGTGTTAGTTACTGCTGACTGTATAGTAGCTGGATGGAGAAAGCTTACCACTGCAACGTTCATGAACTTTTCTAGCGCCTGCGCTCTATGCTTAGGCTTATCGCGCAAGAGGATCAAACTTGCGACGAAGAAAGCCAGATGATTAAATTGCTTGATCATCCGGTTAACGTTCGTCAAGCTCTTGACCTTATCCTTGTCTATTCCCGAGAGGCTGACATGACGAACAAGATCACGCGGCCGGAATGAGTTGTACATGATCCAGTCAATCCGCGTCAGTTCTCGTGCAAACTCCTCTTCTGGGGTTTCCATGAAGAACCGCCACTGGAGTTTGCTAAGTGAAGTCTTATGTGTTAATTCGAGACGCAAAGCCTCTTTTTGGGCTGCTTCGAGGTTCAGCAATGTGAATGACTGGGCGGTGATGTTGTTGGATTTGTCGGTATTCGAGGAGACTGAAAGCCGTGATGTCGAATCATGCGGCCCACTACTGAGATCCAGTGCACTCATACTATAGATGGGGTCTTGTTCTTCTTCGGTGTCGTAGGTGTTGGTGGTAGGGCCAGTGCCAGCGACAGCTGCTGGAGAGCTTCGTCCGGAGTTGTCGAAGAATGTCTCAACCAGCTGGGGCTCATCGGAATCACTGTCCCCCCCGTATGCCCAGCCGACATCATCGTCTTCTGCATTCGAGTCTAATTGCGACCCAATCTCCTTGGCAGCGAACATGTAGAAATGGCTCTTTTCGAGTACAGCGACAAACTCAATGATCCGTTTGCGAAGTTTGGGATGAGCGAAATCTCCGGGATAGTCTGAAGCCCATTGAGCCATGACATCGAGTAATCGCAGCTGATCCGCCATGCGGGCCAACTGATCGTCGTTGCTGGTCTCATTTCGCTCGAATCGACTTATTAAGGCAGTTAGGAGACTTGCGGGAGCAGCGAACTTTCGGTATAGACATAGGAATATAGAACGGAACTTCTGGTCTTGTTTCGAAATCGGCAGGGAAATCAAACGATCGACAAGCTCATCAAACGATAACCCCGTCTCTGCACTCGAGTTGCTCTCGCTGCTCGGTTTTGGGCGCACAACTGCGCCAGGGCTCGCGGGCCGGCTCTGTCCATCGTCTCCCTCGTCGTCCATGTTTAAGAAACTGTTGAAAGCGTCTGATCCTCCACTGTGTCGCCAGGCGGTATGCAATCGTTGCTGGCGGTTATCGTGGTTGGGAGAGTGTAGTTCTTGTGCTGACGGTCTGCGGGTATTTAAACGCGCTCCGGATGGCGGAGTTTGCGGTCGCACCGGTTGCGAGTTACTGCGAGCATAACGGTGGGGATTGGACGTATGCTGCAAGTAGTTTCCATCGGTTGGGAGAGGGTTCTCACCATCCCCATCGACTTGATCTGAGGCCGTTTGTGGGCCGCCCGCGGCTGTGAACACGGCTGGGTTTTCCGAGTTGGAACGAGTATGATGCCAATCCGAAGGTTTTGAAAGAGAATTATTAGAATTATTGGCGAGATCTAAGAATGGAGAAGAGAGGGGTTAGTTAGGGGAAAACCGAAAAAGAGTTTCTATGGGGGAACAAAGTAGCGAACGCTCCTACCGCGACCCACCTTGGCCCGCTTCCGCTTGGGGGGGGTCAAGGCACAGCTTGAGACTCGACGGTCTTCAAAGGAGAAAGGTATAAAACAAAAATAAAAAAAGATTTCAGGTAAAAAAAAAACGCTCACCTTCTCGAGTGGAAATCACTGCCCCCAAAACCAACGCTATACACATGCGTTGAGATCGAGGCGAGGAAAACGACGTTCGATAGATCTCGTACCGATCATGGATCGCATCCACTTCGCTGTCTTCCAAAGGTTCAGGGTTGACATCGCATTTGCAGGCAACCTGCAAGAAAGGAAGATCCGAGGCAGCCAATGAGTCTAAATTCCGGGGGAAATCAGCCTTGGTACTTCCTAGATAGTTTCGACAAAAACCTACCAATGAGCTTCGTTGTCAAAGATAGTCGATCCGGCTTGGTGGCATCATGTAGAACCAGCACCGCGTCAATGACCGGCGCAGATCTGTCGCGCCCTATATGCGGCCAGATGATCTTCTTGTCCTGATCGAATCGAACCTGGGCCAAGTCGACTTCCATCAGATGCACAATGTAGACCGATCCGTTCAATGACATTTTCTTCTTGTTCATAGGGGAGACCGGCGGGCTCTTCATATCCAGGGCACATTTGACAAAGCTGGTCTTGCCGGCATTTTCTTCGCCGGCCACCGCAATGGTCACTTCGGGGAAGCCGCTCTTGGGAGTTTCCTATCAAAGAAAAGGGAACCGTCAGCCTGAAGCTCTCTGAACACCGTAGCAACGAACCACTCAGAGTCCGGGGTCAATTCGAGACATACCTCCTCCTTTTGACGGAGTCCTGTGTCCTTGGTCGCCTCGCCCGTAATTGGCGACCCCTCGTCCTCCTCCAGCAATGTGTGTTCGACTGTCGTCCCCGTTCCTGGCTTCCGCGGCACATCGAGTTTATAAAGGCCCCCCGCCGGAGCTGAAGAAGTTCGACTGCCCATGCCTGGTCGTGAAGCTGTAGCAGGCATTGCTTGAGCTCTGTCACTGAGAGCTCTCTCTCGGCGAGATTGCTGCGAGATCATGACGGAAGCGGTCGGCAATTCCTCCACAAAATGGATTGGTGTGACAGCGCTCTGGTTACTGTGTAAGTTCAGAGAACAAGCACTGCAGCGCATCCATTGTCGGAACAGATCAAGTTCGGTAGAACAATAAGGTAGCCATCCGAGATCAGAATCGGGGAGTTGACTTGAAAACTACCCTAGAACTATCCGGAGCTGCGTCGGATATCTTGGGCCTTGGCAGTAACGGGGAAGATAAATGATAAAAGCAAACGGATCACCTTGGAATATGGACAGATCACAAAGACTGGGGAATCTGAAATTGGTTTCAGACCCTCTTTTTTTTCCTGGTTATTGGGGTTCTTGCATTTCATTGGAAGTCCAAGAGATCTTCGTTTTCATGAAAGCGGCTCAGCTGAAGTCGACACATGGTAATCTTTGAAGTCTCAAAATGAGTGGCCACTAGAACCGAGGCTGGGTCGAGGATGATTTTGCTTAGTCGACAGGTCTATATTGTACAATGTTGCATCCATGCATTATTTCTTAACTGGTATTTGTTGCTTGACTACGGAACTGCAGTAGCTTTCACTGCCGTGTCATCCTCGGAAACAACCTTGGAAAGAGCTGTTTTGTCTTTGCATCCCACAGTCTGCAGAGTGCAGCGAGTGCAGCTTAGGCTGCTCTGCTCATGCGAGATTCTCCATGTGACTAGTCAGAAACATGCAGATTCCGAGCTTTCAGTACTTTCGTACTGTTCCCACTGAAATTTCGGTCTTTGGAGTTCTGGGCCGTTGACATATGCTCCGCTTTATTGGGGGCGCTAAAAGCGCCGCTAATCCGCTAATCCGACTATGTTGTATGTAGGACTTCGGCTTTTGGTCTTGGCTATGGTAACGTTGTATGTCGTGTGATATTGCACTTTATGAGCTCCCGAGGTCTGAGGGCCAGTGCTCAGCGCTTAAATCTACCCTGGACTACTGGTAAATGCGCTAGTCGGCAACCTTGACAGCCGGTAGTATGTATGCATTGGAGGAGATCGAACACTCGTAAGCTGCATGAGGCTGAATATGCCTGAAGCTGTCAAATCTGACAGCTACTCTATTGGAACAGTGAAGGTAGATCAAAAAGCCCCACCCACCGTCTTGTAGATTCAATCTGCATGTCTCGCTTACACGGACTCAGCCTGTGAATATGGTGCGATCAAGGTATATGTGCCGACCGTCCAACTCGTATGTTGCTTTTCCCAGAAAATATGGATGACTCAGGCTGAGTCGTTGCCCTGTTTGACAAGCGCCATAAACCGCATGAAAGCCTCAGCGGTCTGGCCAGTCTCCGTCCCTTCCTCGCAATCCTGCCTAAGCTTGCGGACTCTGCCCAGGCCACGGTTGAAGCCTTTCTCGGATGTCCACGGGCCACGGCTACGAGGAGTTAACCCTCCACGGCCTCGCCCGCGACCACGTCCACGCCCGCGTGCGGGTGCTGTGTAGGATTCCACCCATTCTTCCTCCAGCGTCGACTGGTACATATCTTGTAGCTGACTGCGGAGTTCCGGGTGCTGGCTGAGAAGCTCTTTCATCTCTGAGGATGCCGCCACTGCTGCGGGGGTCATGGCAGGGGGATTGGCGCCAGTTGTCTCTGTAGCTTCGGGACCGTTGGTGTCATTCTCGGGTGTGGGATCGACATCGGGTGCTGGGGTGTTACTCGGTTCCTCATTCGACGGTGCTTTCGGAGCACAGTATATCTTATGTGATTGGGTGCATGCAAGCGAGCAACTAAATTCATGACTCTTAGCAACTGGTCCACGTATGGATAGGAGAGTCAATACCTCATCAGTGCGCATGTCGGACAGCGATATTTTGAGGGCTCTAAAGAGCAAACCTCACAGGAACCAGGCATTGTGTCGATTTCCCAATGAATCCATCAGCTGCACAGCGATCAAACTTGCTCCCTCATTTTTCACTGGTCCACGTCCTGCTCGAGAATGATGCAGGATAAGGTCAGGAAAGTTAAGCTACCCGATTTGCATGATTTGCATGAAAAATAAGAAGCTCGGGTCATGTGTTCTGCCTCAGGCAGCAAATATATTCGGCACACGCGTGACAAGAAACTCCATAAATGTGTGACGTACTAAATTTAAATCGAAAGGCTGCAAGATATATGCAGAAAGCTCAAAGGGGATGGCAAAAATTTCCCCGGAGACGTGCTTGGAGCCTGATCGTCCACGTCCAAAATCGAATCCCTGTCTAGTGTGACGAGACAAACCCAGAATGCACGCGATACATCAAGAGCCACATTCGCACGGGATATGCAAGGGATCATGTCTTTATCCATCACTCGAGAGCCAAAAGCATGACATGCCTACAATGGCCACGACAATCACTTGCATACCAGCCCGACCATAATAGGCGGATCCTGATCTCCTTGGGTCGACGTCAACCCCGGTGCCAATGGAATATGTTGGAAACTGCTAGTTGCCTTTCAACTGAAGCATCCACAGGCCTTCTCATGACTTGTCGAGAGCATGTTGGCGCCCATCTGCAGGACAGGACACCTTCATCCATTGTTGCGAGCAGTCTACTTACTTGGTGCCAGTCGTCCCACATATGCGAGGCGTGATTGCTGCACTATGTTGCTTCTTCATCTAATAAGGGAGGGGATTCGGCCACATACCTGGTTTCTCTCGCTGCCCTCTTCAAGTCATGACAGCCTACCGAATCCAACCCATCAATGAAGCGTTTGATAACTCCACGTATTCTATTCCGTTTGCTATTCTGCCACTGCCAGTGCCATCCAGGCACCACTGCAATTTGTGCTAGACAAAGCAGCAAGGCCAAATCAGAATTGTCAGCTGCTGGTGTACATCCTGCAAGGGCTCGCTTTTTTTGAGCTTCTCTTACCCACTTACATCACCTTCATATCTCAGTCTGAAGAGGTTGCTGGCGCTGAATCGCCAGTTGACCACTGCCTCGGATTCAGGACATGGCTGGCTCATACACAGGGAAGCAGTGCTATTCTTATCTCTTGAGAATCATGGTATAACAAAGCATATCCTTTATCGCCAATTCATGCTTCTCACAATAGGTCATTCTATTGTATTCTACACTCTTGGCGTGAGCCAGGCACGACCGGTTAACTGAAGAGCACATATTATATTGCTGGGTATCCTTGAATAATGGGCTCATCCTTGTATTTATGAAATGCGAGAGAAGCTTGATACAGTGGGGCCTCCGAAATATTGGGCTAAACCTTTGTGTGGTCATGTCCTAGTCAGTTCCTCCTTTCGATTGAGCTCGATCATTGCATGGCTCAAGCCTTCAAATGTTGTTTCCGCATGTCGTCGGGTTTCCTTCTTGATACGGGGCTGGCTCGCACCGGTTATACGGGACGAGTTTCATCCTGAATTAGGAAGCTACTTCTAATAAAGCGCAGGCAAAGTTCGTTCTCCAATGTTATTCGGTCATTAGACTTTGCACTTTTATACAAACCAGCCTTCGCTTCGAGGCTGACATAGAGAAGCTTACTTTCGGAAAGCCTGATTGTGGGTAAAGTTGAACTTTACGATCACGATGATTCTCTATCTGTGTGTAGTCTCGATACACGATTTAGGATGACAATTGACCATGAACGACTGGTTTCTCAATCTCCGACAGTCGGCACATCCATAGTTGTAATCGTGCAAAACGTCTCTTCTGATTGGCCGATAAACTGTCTTCATTTGTCATCCGGCAATGATCTCAGATCACGTGTAATCAAATTGCGTCAGAGCGGCAGCCGGAGAGACCCTCGAATGTTTTTTTCTACAATCAACCTGTTATCAACCATCTTGCACAGTTCGCCCATAACATAATGTCTATGAGCACTCCATCTACAATAATGTTCCGCCGCGCTCTGCTAAGCAGCCGTCTGGCCACTCCCGTCGAGTGCTCCGCCCGAACGATCACACCAGTATTCGCCCGCCACAGATATGTGTCCAGCGCAGCCCGACTCCCGACCATCACAGCATCAGAGACCCGTCGCCGACCAACAGTGCGACCGTACCAGCAGCCCGCCTCACAGGGCGGAGTGAATGGCCTCTCACCAACCAGCAAGCGCACCATTTTCATCCAGACCGAGAACACCCCCAACCCCGACGTAAGTTCCAGAGCTCAATTATATTTGACAAAAGATACCGAACTGACCTTTCATCTCCGATCAGGCCTTGAAGTTCATCCCTAACCACCGCGTCCTCCCAGAGGACTTCCCCAGCACATTCCTCGAGTACATGTCACCACGTTCAACCCTCGCCCCGCCACACCCATCCCCTCTCGCGGCAAAACTGCTCGATGTCGAAGGTGTTACATCCGTCTTCTACGGCACGGACTTCATCACAGTGACCAAAGGCAGCGACGCGAACTGGGCGCACATCAAGCCGGAAGTCTTCAGCATCATCACGCAAGCTGTGACATCTGGCGAGACGATCGTGACGACGATCGAGGGTGCTATCGACGGTGAGCAGGAGAGTGGCGAGGACTCACTCTCCTTTAACGAGGATGATGATGAGGTTGTCAGCATGATCAAGGAATTGCTCGAGACTCGTATCCGCCCTGCTATCCAGGAAGACGGTGGTGATATCGAATTAAAAGGGTTCGAGAATGGCATTGTTATGTTGAAGCTGCGTGGTGCTTGCCGCACCTGCGATTCCAGCACTGTTACCTTGAAGAATGGCATTGAGTCTATGCTTATGCACTATGTATGTTCATCCCCAGCACTTCGTTTCTTTGGTTTTGACATGAGAATTGTTTACTAACTTTGCCTTGCAGATCGAGGAGGTCAAGGGTGTTGAGCAGGTTATGGATGAGGAGGAGATTATTTCCATGCATGAGTTCTCCAAGTTTGAGGAGAAGTTGCGCCAGCAGAAGGGTGCTGCTGCTACGGCTGGTGCGCCCTTGGACAGTGCGCCGTAAAATAGCTCATTTGGGAGCATATACCTTGTACATTAGTCTTTAGAAGTGGAAATGAATGCTAAGTAATTTTATTGCATTACTTCCCAGGCGATTGCCATGTTCATGTAACATTGAAGAGATGCTTGGTTTCTTACAAGGTTACGCAATCTTAAGCTGAGAAACAACCAGAAATGTTCTCGTTTACTCAGTGGTGGGTGTTATGGGAGCTTCCGGCCAGTTGATTTCAGATATCTCCAGTTACCGACTTGCGCGCAAAGTCCATATACCTTGGGATGATGGCAGGCCTTCACAACTTGGCTGGTGACCTTTTAATGCCGTACATGTATAACGTCGACTTGGGTAAGTAACCTGGGCGCTCGAACTGGTTTTGTGTTTGCAGACTGCTTCAGTATTGCATATCTGGGGAGCTTGGTCAATTGTCCCAGACACAACTGGGTTGTCGACGGAAGACATTGACAATCTCTACTAAAGGTCCCGGCAATTGCCTTGCAGGACATACATAGGATGCACTTCGGGGCGGTCAATGGCACAGAGGTTTGTATAACCTCGACTTGTTCTCAAGTAAGACGTGTTTTGATATTGGCAGTTCATACCAGATTTAAGAGACTTATCTGAAGTTATACCGCTACAAATCCCCAAGATAACCCTCAAGGTCCTCCGAAAACGGCTCCACTTCACGGCATCCTCCGCTGTAACCGCATGCCAAGCCTTGGCATCTAGATATATAAATTCAACTTTTCTTCTTTCTTGAATTCCATTGATTTGTGCGAAGAATATGGGAGCAGAGAAGGGGACCACGGTGGTCCAGAGCCTTCCTGTCGAGGCCACGGAAGAGGCCGAGCTGTCATTCCAGTTCACGAAACAAGAACATGCCCTCACATGGTGGGATGCCATGCGTCTACATTACCCCGCCATTGGCTGGGGACTCTTCATGAATATGGTCAGTCCCAAAATTTCCGAAAAGTGGCCTCATACTCATTTTGTCAGGCAACCATCCTGAAAGGCATTGATGGTGGTATCGTCCGCAGTCTGGTTGGCCTTCCCGTCTTCAAGGAGACATTCGGCTACAACCGCGACGGGAAATACATCATCGCAGCAAAATGGCTCTCAGCCTTCGGATATGCCAACCTCCTCGGTGCAATTGTCGGCGCGCTCTGTTCCGGCATTGCATATGAACGACTGGGGCCGCGCCGAATGACCGCCGGCTGCTGCGTGCTATCGATCGCATTCATTTTCATCCAGTTTTTCAGCTCCACGCCGGCACAGCTCTTCGTCGGCGAACTTGTCAATGGATGCATCATTGCCTTCTATCCGATTTGTGCTTCGGCATACGTCGGCGAAGTTACCCCACTAGTGTTGCGTGGGTTCGCAGCCACGATGACCAATCTCGCCTTTTCGATTGGTTCGCTGATCGCCTCGGGTATCCTCAAGGGCACGGAATCTTTGGATAGTCAGTGGTCGTATAAGATCCCCATAGCAACACAATGGGCTTTGCCCTGCATTATGCTGATCCTGGTGGGCTTCTGTCCCGACCCACCTTACTGGCTGTGTCGCAAGGGCCGCTACCAGGAGGCTGCGGTATCACTGCGTCGTCTCGCAACCCCCACTGTCGATGTCTCGCAAAAGCTGGCGCATATCAAGCAGACGCTGCGTATAGAGGAAAGCTATCAGGGTGAGCGGCCCACCTATCTCGACTGTTTCCGGGGGACCAACCTCCGGCGCCTGGTTGTCTGCGTCATGGCGTATGACATGCAGGCATTTACCGGTAACGTTTTCTTTCTCACATACGCCGTGCATTTCATGGAGTTAGCCGGCTTGGATGCGTCTGATGCCTTTTCGATGAACATTGGGCTGACGGCCTCGGCCTTCTGGGCACGTGCATCTCCTGGTTTCTCCTTTCATATGTCGGTAGACAAACGATGTACTTGTTTGGATGTACTGTACTCGCCATCGTGCAGTTTATAATTGGCGCCGTGGACCTCGCTCCGCGACAGACATCTACCACCTGGGCACAGTGCGGCCTGATGCTAGTCTGCACTTTTGTATATGACCTAAGTCTCAGGCCCGTTCTGCTATGTGCTGCTGGCGGAGGTATCTTCGGCCAAGCTCCGTGGGCTGACGATTGCATTATCTACCGTGACTTGTTTTGTCTGGTCGGTAGTATTTGCAGTGGTGATTCCGTATGCCATGAACGAGGATCAAGGAAACTGGCGCGGAAAGATTGGTTTCTTGTTCTCCGGTCTTAGCATGCTCTGCGCTTTGTACTGCTTTTTGTGTATGCCGGAGACAAAGGGTCGCACGTTCGAAGAGCTGGATATTCTTTTTGAGCGCAAAATCCCGAGTCGGAAGTTCAAGTATTATAAAGTGGATATCGATGTTGGTGGGAGGCGGTTGGAGTGATTGGTTTATAGATCAGAACTGTACATAAAATAGAATGGTTTCCAAGGACAGCGCCATCGCACTGTTCGCAGGAATTCCATATGCAACTTTGACAAAACGTTGGACATATAGCAAAGCCGCACACACTCTCGATTATTTCGAGATGACGATAAGTTTGATTTAGATAGTGTGGTACTCATGTCTGGCGACACCAACAAGCTGTATCCCGGAGCATGTCATCTGTCTTCCTGTGAATATCGACATTGTCTTTTGGTTATGGGATTGATTCGATACCAACCTTGGAAACAGCATGATTGCTTAGAATTGCCATGAATCCATGGTAAGCATCTGCGGAGGGAACATTTATAACGACAACGACCATCGACAACCTGATAGATGAGCTTAGGTTCCGAGGTTGGGAGCTGCAGTGCACGGCCTTGGGCTTTCCCATGGTTCCAAAGTTGAGTAACCAAATTAGGCGATCCTCATTCCAAGCTCCTCCCGAGGTCCATCTCGCCACCTTAATCACTTGGCCACTTTGCTCTGCATGCTAGTGTAGATGATTGGTTTGCCATGAAGACTTTTATTTGGGTGTGACGATTGCTATACACCAGCACTACTATACAATGATCCGGTATTGGAAGATACGAGACTAAGATACAGAACACCGTATCTATCAGGTGTAGTACTATCCTAGCTTGGCGTGTCTTGGCCCTAGGGCTTGAGACCGATGTCCGGGAGTGCTATAACTTACCTAGGTACGGGGAATATGTATAGTGCAAATATTTAGAGTTCCGGCGAGATCTACAGTTATTGCTCCTGCCTAGCTGGGGGATAAATTGCGGGGTTCTTATTACTACCTAGGTATGAAAAGAGAGAAAAGGACACAGAACACAGTTTTCCAAATGCACTTCATAACGGCGCCTAGCAATACCTACATTAGCTACATTAGCAAACAAGTAAAAGTGGAATCATAGCCAACCGTTGGATGTTGCAGCATCTTGTGCCAGGAAATAAACCCGGTCGGAGGTCCGGAGCAGAATGTGATTCGTCAGAAATTAGAATGACAGATGGACCTTGGAAATTGATCCTTGACTCCCCCATTAAACAACCTTGGAAGTACTTTTTTTCCTATTTTTCCCCTCCCATATATTGCACAAGGGAAATCATCCATTGGAAATCATCCATTGAGGGGGGGCAAAAGAGTCACGTTGACAATGCTATTATTGTACTACACGACTGTGTGGCACAGAACTGTTCAACGGTCCAGGTGCATCGAGATCGAGAGGTGAGGTGGATCTGAGAGAGGTGAAGGTATCCACGCAAAATACTTACAACATATAATAGAGGGGTAAGAGGAAGCTCGGTTTATATTAGAGGGGTTATGAAGTGTCAGAAAATGCATATCAATCCGGGGTAAAGTGGAAAGTCTGGCCCCGCAAGTGTGCGACCCGAGGGCCGTGCGAGGGATTTTTCTGTATTTTATACGGAAGAAGTATTCAGATATACGGAGTACAGTTACTTATAATATGTTCCTGGTCTTCTCAAAGTGCCCAACAGATGATCGGCTTATTACTCCAAGGGACCCGTTCTGGATGGGGGTCGACGCCACTTTGCCTCAGCCTATGGAGAGCTCCGTATTATGATCTTCTTCATTTCCTTTTTAATGTTCCCTATTCCATATAGCTTTGTAGTGTTAATATATTCTATTTAATATATTCTTCTTTATAAATTCCATGTCTCATCATTTTTAAAAGAAAATCCCACTAAAATTCACTAAAAGCCACTAAAAGAATTCAACTAAAAATCGAAGATCAAACCATAGTGGTCCGTGTCCTCCGGGGCAACGTTGCCAGATCCGTAAGGGAAGTTACCCCAGGCTCTCTGCGTTCCCCTCATCTTTTACATTTTCCCCCTCTTCTCTTCCCAACTTTCATCCCATCTACACCCTTCGATCGCAAGATGCGCCATCCTTAAGGGGATCAGCCTAGTCCCCACGGCTTGCTCCACAACGTCATCTGTGGTCACAGCTTCGATAACTCTCCGAGCGCATTCCATTCCCCAATAGACCGACCAACATTCAGATTCAGCATCTTCGTTGGCACGCGCCTCATCATTTCCGAAATACGACACTTCTACTACTCGCCAATCCTATCTATCTGACCTCTCTATCGTGCTTGTGCCTCCGTTCCCCTCGAAATAAAGCTGTGCAATTCGGGCATAGGACTCCCAACACTCTTGACGAAACCCACGATTACCCGTGCGCACCGTGCAAATAGACATTTTGAGAGAAGCGATTAGAGTGGTGAGTTGCGCAACATTTCTGCCGAGTTTCCCTTGTCCTGAACGCGACTGGGCTGACACATGGATAATTTCCCAGACACAATTGCGATCACGCGACTGCTTTTGAATTTCGACTCTTTTTTTCGTGGATACTATTTTGCTTGTGAGGTGTCTGGTGATCTACCCGCCAGCTAGGCCAGCTAAAAGGTTTCGCTCAAGTATTTGACAACTTGAGGTACGTACGAGTCCAGTTCACGGTCGCTTCGATTTCCTGCATCTTGGGCACTTCGTCGCGCGATCTGCTTGCATGTTATTTTCATCTTTCTCTTCTCTGTGGACATTTCTCACTCTTCCCTTACTCCCTTTGCAATTGCTCTTCCTTCATATCCATATCCTTCGGATTCAGTTGCAACTCTCTCTTGGCTGAGGGGGTTTTCTTATTATCCCCACTTCTGGACCCTCTCGCAAGAGGGGCCGAGGATATGCATATCTACGCAAGCTCCGCTTTTATCTTGCGGCTCTCAGTCATGCCACACCTACATCTTCTTATATTTTCCTTCATTTGTGTCTTTTGCCCCTTATTTTACTATCCAGCTTTGATACGGGAAAAATCACTGACTTCAATTTAGCCGGAGTTGCACATAGCGCATTACTAGTCATCCATCGTCCCTTTGAAGAGCAGAGATCGATCATTTACCCCAACCTCATCGAGAGAGTGGAACAAAGACGGTTGCTTTATCGCATGTGTTCATTCTTTTCCTTGGCACAAGAGACCTCTATACAGTACAGCTTTGCTATTAACGAAGATCGTACAGGTTAGTGAACTACCTCTCATTCCTTCCTTTTCCTTCCTCCATGGCTACGATATTCCTTGGTCAGACAGCCCCGCTCTGGTTGCGTTGCTTCACTGGGTGTCAAGTGGCGCTCATGGTGGCACAGTCTGCAGGGAATAATTGTGTTTGTCACACATATTATGCTGAGAATCCCATACTAACACTGCAACAGTGTCCCTCTTACCATAATGGCAGCGCCATCTAACAAACCGACCTCGATGGCCCAGTCATCCACCCCACCTGCCGCGCCGACAGCGTCTGCCATCCTCGAGAAGACTCACCCAGGCGTGCGCCGTTCCACCCCAGACTCGGATGCATTGGCTTCCTCTGACGATGATGGAGACCATGGCGCACAAGCCCAGAACATTATCCCACCTACCACCAGGCCACCAGTTCGTCGCACCTCGTGGTTGAATGAAGTTCCGCTTTCCGCTCAGCGTAAACATTCGCTGCCTGGAGGTCCCCTTTCTTCCGCCCCGTCTAACCCTACAAGCCCCGCTAGTGATCAGGCACCATGGGCGACAACTACAAGCCCAAGTCTTGCCGGATCTTTCAATTGGAATCAAGCCGGAGGAAGTCCATTTTCCTGGGGCACAGGCACAGGCATCTGGAACACTGAATCACGCAAGGAACCCCCTTCTCGCTTGGCAGAAATGGTACCCTCTCCGACCATGACCAACCCACCTCCTTCGGGCGGCAACGTGTCAGACGAAATGTTGAGCCCAATCACCCGTACCATCTCCGGTGAATCCGCCATCCCTTTCTCCATCCCGTTACAACCAACTCTCAAAACCTATCGCTCTCAGTCATACTCTGTTGGTCAGATGGATCCAGAGTTCCTCAGCCTCAATACTAGCAAGGCCGGTGCAGCTCCTACTGCCGGTGCGCAATACCCAGGAAGTCGCTCCCGTGGTCCAGGTCAGATGTCTGCTGTCCAGCCTCGAGCATCACGCCCTAGTATGCTCGGTGAATTAGGGCATGATACTGCAATGCTGGGTCGGGTCCGCGAGGACGATGATGGCGACGAGAGCCTTAACGGGTCGGAAAGCGACAGGAGCTATTCAGCGAGCCAGGCTCGGCAGATCGAACAGCTAGCGCGCGAGAACGCACTCTTACGGCAAGCAGCTGCGGCAGGTCAAATGGATAACAGATACCGTGAGCGAGCTGGATCAGCTGCATCAATCGGTGGTGGTCATTCGCTACATCGCATCCGAGGCGGTGTTCTAGAGGGAGATTTGGCTGGAGAGGATCCGGGGGAACTGCGCGATATTACCGGATACAACAACTTGCGTGGTAATTCTCGTCGCCGCTTCTCTGAGCATTTAGCGCACCCGGAAGCGCAATTCTCGTCCTTCGCCTCCCCGCTGGAGAATCGTGCTCTAGAGACAATGTCCGCAAGGCTCATTGGCAAACGTCTCTAGGCTTCGGTGGCATGCCTGACATACCTCAAAGTCGCCGACACTCTTTCGCCGAGATACCGATGCGTCACGGCTCAATCGGTCCTGACTCGCACACGACTGCTACTCCTCGCGCAGCTATGGGAGACCGTGATGATGGCTATGGTAACCTTAGTGACTATTCGAACCGTGAGTCTATTTACTTTGCTACATCCTTTTGGTATCACCCATAACTAACGTCTTCTGCAGAACCTTACTACTCCCGTGAGCAGACCTTGCGCGGAGATGGCTCCTCGGGTATCCCGCCATCTCTCAGCCAGTATGCCATGTCGAATGCGTACGGTCGTCAACCATCCGCATTGTCCCATGCTCATCAAAATCAGCTTTTGTACATTGTCGCCTTCAAGTGCAGCCGCGCAGACGTTTTCTACATTCAAGAAGATACCGGTCTACAGGTCAAGAATGGTGATCTAGTCATTGTGGAGGCGGACCGGGGAACAGATCTGGGCACCGTCATCCATGCGAACATATCGCTCCAACAGGCACGGGAGTTAAAGCAACATTACGCGGAAGAGCACTACAAGACCCTCATGCTTTTCTCTAGACACGGCCAGCCTGAGGGCTCCACCCTAACCAACCCCAACACGGGCTTGAACACTCGAAGTGCCACAGGTGGCATGGGTCCTCACGGTCCTCATAGTGCGCAGGAACCCGCGACAGACATCAAACCTAAGCTCATCAAGCGGTTGGCACAGCAACATGAGGTCCTAACATTGCACGATAAGGAAGGAAATGAAGCCAAAGCCAAGCGGGTCTGCCAGCAGAAAGTGGTCGAGCATCGGCTTAATATGGAGATCCTCGACGCCGAGTTCCAAATGTAAGTCTACGCGATTTCGATTGCCATTCGTAATGGTTGGACTAATGGTTATGCAGGGACTGGAAAAAGCTTACCTTCTACTACTTTGCTGATTCGTACATCAACTTCAACTCGCTGGTGACCGACTTATTCAAGATCTACAAGACCCGCATCTGGATGTCAGCTATCAACCCGGCCTCGTTTGTCACACCCCCTACGACTGGTCTGTCAGGTCCTGGCACTATGCCCAACCCCCTTTATGGCCAGGACGCAGACCGTCGCCACCAACTTGAGAATAGATCCTATGGCGGAGCGCGAGATGCTGTCGACACAGGTCGGGAGATGCCAAACCCCGTTGGCATGCTTCGCACATCCTACGGAGAGTCCTACCAGCCCTTTTCTCAGCCTTCCCGTCACTCAGAAGGACCTGCTCATTCGGATGTCTTTGCCCCACAGGCTTCCAGCTTTGGTCCTGCAGATTCATTCGAGTATCCCGGCAACATCGGCGCCTCCAATGGTTCGTCCCGTGTGCACCCAGCGCAGGGCGAATGGCTCAACCGGTTCCAGGGCCTATCGCTCAACTCCTAAATCCCTTTCCTTCTTTTCTTTCCTTTCCCTCACTTCAATGCCTCCGCTCATCCTCGCCTATCTCTGTACAACCGTCTGCCTCGGCCCCGATCTGCTCATTTGCGTCCCGTCCCATGTTCTGGGGCTTATCCTCGCGGTGAAAGACCCCTTATGAACCTAGATTTGACCCTTGCTATTTCCTCTTTTTCAACCCAGATATCGCCTTGTTTATCTCTCTCGCCTTTTATCTCTCTTTTCCCTTTTCCTCAAAGAATGTTTTTTTTTTTCGCCGAAATGTGGACGCGGTTGCCGTCCTTTTTTTTTTTTCTGTTATGTCCCCAGGATCTCCGGTCTACCATACTTTTTTTGTGCCCCGGTCCCTCGCTTTTGCTTGAGGTGTCGAGGTCCTGTTCTCTTGTACTACTGTTGTTAGAATTCATACCCAGGGCTTGCTGCTCTACTGGACACATCCCCCCATTCTGTCGTTACCGTCTCCTCGCCATAGATCTGTTTCTGCGTGACGAATTATGTCTTCCATAATCAGAACTATCTCTCTATCTACAAATGGATGTGTGCGTTGTTTGTGTTAATTGAAGTTCAGTTGATTTGAGATTTGTGCTTTGCTTTTGTATCCCGTTGATAATTCCTTAACATATACAAGTTCTACGCAAATTGGGAGAGTGAACTTAAAATTAACAGAGAATATAAAATGAGTTCCGTACAGCCTAGATTCATGTTATTTATTATGTCTTGTATTTCGCTTTCTTCGCTGTAGTTATGCTATACTCTAGCTTAGAACTACTTGCAAGTTGAAGGGACTATGTGAACGCAGAATAAAGTCCAATTGGTAAGAATATCAAAGCCTTCAAACCTCTGCAGTGTAAAACCCTACAGCAAATCGTTTGAACTATTCGGTCAATTTGCTCGGTGAAGTGAAATAAGTCTTGGTGATCAGCTCATGTTGTCTATCGTCAAGGATAACTAGAAGAGGAAGAAGCCCTGGAAGATGTAGGCTTCGCTATACGTTGCTAAAAGAGACTTGCATGGTGGAATGTGAGAATGATGGATTCATAGAGTTATAGAAAGCCAAGTTCTAAACCGAGAGAACTGGTCATACATCATTAGCTTTTATTTCTATTCGTACAAGCCTCCAAACATAGAGCGTTGTAAAACTTAGTATAGTCGAAGCCCGACTTGCTTCAGACTATAAGCACCACCACATCAGCCCCAGCTCTCCCAAAGAAGAGAAGAAGGAAAACTCACACCTCAAGCCCACTTATCATGTTTCCCGCTAACCTTAACATCAAGCAAAACCTCATGGAAATTCCCCTCCCTCCTCCCCTTCCTCAACCTCTTAACCTCATCCTCATTCAAGCTCCTCCCAACAATTCCCTCAAGCTCCTTCTTACTAATCTTCTCATATGCTTTACTCTCCTTCGACGCCCGCAGTTTCGGTTTAAACCTCGCCTGCATGCGCACGCGCACCGTCGTCTCAAACGAAATCGTATTCGCGTCCCCGCGGATCTCAACGCCAGAAGCAGTCTTAGCGTTCTCTTTTATTGTCAGGAAAGACTCGCCATCGCCGCCGTGCGTCTGGAGCGAGAATGTCCCCGAGACTTCAGGTGAAGGTATCGCTAGGAAGGATTCGTAGTGGCTGACTGCTGACGCGGTTGCCGAAAAGATGCCGTGTGTGTCTGAGGAGAGGTATCTATAGAAAGGGTTATTAGTTTTGATTGAGTTGAAAGGGGAAAAAAAGAACGCGAATAGTAATCGCGGCGATATGCAATCCTGCGATAAACGCAAAGTCTTCACTCACTTCCCATGATGTCCCTTGAAACTAAACGACTCCGTTCCCGCCACCCGCGACGCAACCCAGACCTGTCGCACATCGTGCGGCTCTGCCGTGGCTGGGTCGCCCTCGACGAGGTTCTCGAGCTTGCTGGCGAAGACTTGGCCGTTGGCGTCGCTGGCGACGCAGGTTGCGTCGTCCGAGGGTAGGACTATGACTACTGGGCCGGCGATGTCGCTTGGGGAGTCGGCGGAGACCCAGCTTTGGTCTTCTGGGTTGTCCTCGGGTTCTGGTTCGGTTTTGCGTGATTTAGAGGTTGGGGCTTCATTGTCTGTGGTGCGGGTCTTGCGTTTCTTTGGCTTATCGCCTTTGAATGTTAGAGGTTTGACCATTGTGGTTTGAGGGATTGGTTGTTGGAGCTTGGAGATTTGCGGTGGGGAGAAGGCCGGGCGGGTCCTTGAGATGACGAGTACGTTCTTCCAAGGTTGACCTCCCTCTACTTGCACATCTTTGTATATCGATAGCCTCATATTTGATTAGTATAACCCTCTCCAATATTGCAGATCATATTTGGGAATACAATTATTAATCTCAAAAGTACAAGTACCTTGGTCTATCAAGGTCCTCACTTCCGAAATATATATAAAAGAGTCAGGATGTCCCCATAGTTTTAAGAGAGTCAATTCTATTAACCTCTAAAGTGTACTTTGTATGCTCCAATTCGCGATATACTCTAATCGAAGATGATAGCAGCCTTGATAGCGGTCTTGTTGCGCATCGCCTCAAGACATTCCTCCCACTGCTCAATCTTGTACACTTTGTTCACAATGCCATCCACCTTTACCTTGCCAGAGTCAAGGTAGTCAACAGCAGCAGGGAACTTGTAGGTCTCAGAGAAACTGCCAAGGATAGTGATTTCATCGCCGACTGGAAGGAAATCAGCAAAGAACTCAAGAGAAAGCGACGACAAAACTTACAGATCTTGGCCGGCGACCACGAGACCCGAACCTCACTCGAGTACACGCCGTACACCACCAGCTTACCACCACGACGAACATAGTTAATCGAGTCCTCAAGGATCGTCTGGCTACCAGTAGCCTCAACAACGATATCGAATCCATAGGGGTTCTCAGCCTTGAGAGCATCGAATTGAGCCTGCGGACTCTTGCGCGACAGCTCAACATACTTATCACCAGCACCAAGTTTCTGAGCCAAATCCATCTTCAGACCCGCAGGGGCAACAACGACGACATTGCAACCGCCATTCTGGCGCAACATCTGAGCCAACACCAGACCAGTAGGACCAGCACCGAAGATCAGCACGGACGAGCCCATCTTCGGGGCGATCTTGTCCAGGCCGTGGGCGGCACAGGAAGCGGGCTCGAGGAGAGTTGCGTCAACGTCGGAAAGGTTCTTGATCTTGAAGACTCTGCCAGCTGAAAGGGAAGACCTGAAATCAGATTCGAGAGTCCCGTACGCTTTTGATATGCTCTACTTACCAGGGTAGGCGCAGTATTCAGCGAAACCGCCGTTCATCGTCACGCCGTGGGCCTCGAAGTGCTCGCAGAACAGCTCGTCGCCACGACGACAGTAGAAGCAGGTTCCGCACAGCTCGGAGTTGTCGGCGACGACGCGCTCGCCGATCTGGAAGTCTTTGACCTTGGGCCCGATGGCGGCGACGACGCCGACGGTCTCGTGGCCGGGGATTAGAGGGAACTGTGGACTGGTCAGCACGTCGATGCACGATTAATGCTTCATGTAATGGGAAGACGGTACCTTGGCAATGAATTCACCTTCGTGGATGTGCAGGTCGGTGCCACAGACACCGCAGGCCTTGACCTTGATCTGGTGGGTTTGGTCAGTTCGCTTTCCCTGGGGATTGATCGACGGCTTCATACCAAGACATCGTTCTCGCGGAGCTCAGGCACAGGGACCTCGACGATCTTGTGCTTCTTGGGCTCTGAGTACTGCAGAGCCCGCATGGTCTTGGGGATGGAGACGGTCATGATTGAAGGGGGATGTGTGTGGAGGAAAGAGAAAGGAAAGGTCAGATACCAAGATCTTTTGGAGTGAAACGAGGGGAAGATGATCAAAGCAATATAAATAGCTTTGAAAAGAGGGGCAAGCTTCTCTCAAAATGTCTCATCAAAGCAACCCCATGCGATGCTCAAACGCCTCCTTCTGACGAACTATACAGACCACTGTCACTTCCAATTCCATGTGGGTCGAGATCGGCATCATTTTCGTGCTTGCATTCGACTCCACTGATATGGGAGATCTCTATCTATTACGATTTCTCATCTCTTCAACTATTTCCGAGGTCTGAATCCTCATGGGGTTTGCGTTTACGTTTGCGCCAAGTGAGCTCGAATCGGGAGAACCCCGCGGAGCTCAGTGCAGGGGTTCAACCTGGGCTTCAGCAGACATTGGATCTACATCATGATTGATCTTCAGTTATCATGCTTATTACAACTATCACCTTCAATAACTTCAATGGGTGTGAAGATCTTACGAATGGCCTCATTCACCATCTAGCCAAAACCCTACCTGAACAAAGCCTCCACGGTATACGCGAGTCAACATATCCCAAACTTACTAAACCCAAAAAGCCAAAAATCTCTTCCCCAACAGCTGACCAAGCCCCTCGGAAAAGGCGCAACGAAGCCGAAGAGAAAGTCCCAATCTCACAGAACCCAATCGTCTCACCGCTCCCCCGCGACACCCGCCAAGCTGCAAGAAGCAATCCCCAAGATTCGAAACCAGATCACGCGGACTCGGACACCTGATAGCTTAATTCTTAATTTTGAATCCAGGGGCTGTCTCGGATCTATCAAATGAGGCGTCCAATTCGACCCGTCCAGACACATGTGCTGGACACTTCTTGACCGCTGCGGCAAGAGCGGGAAATCGTCCAGGATACTGCAGATGGGCTGTGTGTTTCCGGGTTCAATTGGCGAATTATTCGTGGCATACTGTGTTACCGGCTATTCTGTCTTGAGGTGTATGTAGAGAGGTGCATATGCGTCACACTGGATATGCAGCCACGTCCTTGGGGATAGGGTCGTACTGCTGGATTTTACCCCGGATTGAGGGGGTACTTTTGCTTGGGGAGGGCCTTCGGTTTGGTTGGGATCTGGGTCTGGATCTGGATTGACGAATTGCAGAGTACGTCCTCAACGGATTTTGGATTTCGCTGTTGGTTGAGTTGTGTTGGCTGTCTCAAATCGACGGACTCTACTTATACCCCGTTTACTTGAAGCAGGTTGCAGTGAGAACTCTTAGCACTGGCTGCTACTTATATCTAGAGCGTGTCGCCGGTGAGCTCCCAATACCCGAAACATGGGAAAGAGCTTGGAGTTTATCCCAAGGTGGTGCTTAAACTAAGGCAAGGGCACAAGCTTTACTCGATTGGTCTTCTGTACCAGAATGCAACAGTTACGAATGCGTTATAATACTGCATTAACTGAAGTGCTCTTAGCTCCCAAGTTCCAGCCTTTTATACTGTTTGCCAAACTCTGCGAACAGCTTGTTAAGCCCCAGGATGTTCAAGGCCTCCTTCTTCACGATCATATTCTGAATTGAACATATGGAGTGTCGTAGATGCACCATCCTTTTTCCGTTTCGTCGCCATGGTCTGAAAAAAGGCATTTTCTTCTGCAACCCAATCTCGGATATTTACGTCTTCCACATCTGCTGATCCCAAATTGCGTGCATCTACAAATCATCGACCCTTCCAGAAGTGCCATCCTGTGTCTGGAAGGAACCATACACCTTTGTACAAAGACCTGATTGAGCGTACTCATGACATAGTTGTGCCTTCCAAGTTTATTAGGCACCAAGTGCTTGGACACCTCGATTCCCCCGTCAAGTTCGCCATGGATCTTGACGAACACCTTAACGGCTCTGAAGGTGTGTCATCCTTTGGCTTCGGCCGTTCCACTACGGTTTGTTGCGTATCTAGTATTGTGTCACGAGCGTTCCTGGATCCATGTTTGGCCACACGTTGGCAAGAACTGTATCAATACTACTTTTGATCATGGCCTTGGTCAGTGAGTCACTTTCGGAATGCTAACAGGGACGCTTGTGGTTGCTATCTCGTGTCCGTGCAAGGCGATGATCTAGAAGGTTCGGTTGTTTAAGTTCGATCAGACATCTTTTCGCCTCGGTGGAACTGGGCTGCCACGGTTATCCATTTCCAAGGTTGAAATTCGATACTTTGTGAGTCATCGGAGGTTGCCTACCTAGGTAGGTAGGCGAGAAGGCTATTTGACGGAAACTAAAGGTCTCTTAAAACGGATATTCTCTCGCCAGCTGAAAGGTTAAGATTGCTTGCCTCGGCCGATTTCCGTTTAAGGAAACCTATTAGTTGGTCGACACTGCACTATAATAGCATTCCACCCATACCCCTGCAATATTACAGGAGAATGCGGCTTGGATCTACTATTAACTCCAGGGTATCGTTTAGATAGAGTCTTCTAGGGTATCTTCCTCTTTCTACATGTTTAGATGGTCTTCGGAGGCTACATCACAAGAGTAACGCAGGTGCCTGGATAGATATACACGTCTATTAAAATTTTTATATGTGAAAGGACATGTAGATGCATTATGTTGTTATTCCACATGGAATATGCATCAGTCCGGTGTATGCAATCGCCTCTACCGCTTGGTGCTGGTGCTATTCTTGAGCATCTCTTCCAAATGCTGCAAGCCAAGTTAGAAATATTATCTCTGATAGACACAGCTCAAATGCTTACCTGCTTCTGCTCAACTGCTAATTTACCTTGGGTATCCTGTTTCCAATTAGCGCGTGTTCTCCCAAAGCACAGAGGTATCAACATACGCTAATGATGGTTAAAATCAATGAATAATTGTTGAAGAGGAATCGCTCTCTTCGCTTTGCGTCTGTGCCGTTGCGACTCAATTTTGCCAAAAGGGAATCGAATTCAGCAGTCAACCGGGCCAGACTGTTGGACACGGGCTCATCATCACCAGCATCGCTGCTGAGCACAAGGATTCCATGAAGAAGCTGTCCAAAGCGTTGAGTCAAAAAGTGGGGCGCTGAAGACTGCTTCAGGTCGTCTCCGCCTGCAATCGAAAGGGCCGAGACAGCACTGCGCCCAGTGTTGGACCCAACTCGCTTGAGCGAGTCGCCGTGGTGATCCATAATCACCTGGAAGCGCGGCCAGAGTTGCATGTTGGTTCCATTGACATATGAGTCGGCGACAGGCACCTTTCGGCGCTGAAGCTCGAATGCCGAATGCTGGTTGAGGCGAACACACATGAGGACACCCAGAGAATCCGTGGTATGCTCGATTAACTTCTTGGTCTGGTTCTGGCCAAGGGTAAAGACCGGCTGGAATATTTCCATGGCGTTGCGAGAGATTTGATGGAAGGTCTTTGAGGAGAAAAACTCAGTCAGGAAAGAGTACTCAGCGCACACATTGTCCACCAATGCGAGGTTGAAGTTTCGGAACGGAACTTCGATTCCATGGTAGGTATTATCCTCTTCAGCCAGGTATGAGGATAAAGCCTGGAGATTGCCAGTTCGGAGGATATCGATACGTCTACCCAGGGAGAAAGGGTCATGCACGGCAGAGCCAGCTCGGCCGCCAGGAACCATGTTCCCTGAAAAAATCAGTATATACGTGGCATCAGAGAGGCACAGCTCTTACCTGATCGATGTGTGGATGGATCGCCTCCAAGCACCTCGTTTCGGTCAGGAGGATAAACCTTAACCTTATCGAGTGCTTGAAGGTAGCGTGTGAAATGAGATGTGTAATACCAACGCATTGTGTTAATGTACGCCTGTGATATCTCTCCTGCCAGCTTTGGGTGGACCTTCGAGAGATAACTGTATAGATCCTTATACTTCACTAGTCGCTGTTGTTGGATAATCTGAGAGTTGATGTTTGGCGATCGCATAGCACGAATTTGTGACACAAGATAGTCTCTGATCCTTTGGACCGCCTGCATAGATGTCAATGCAGGTCTAAATAATTTGAGGAGTGTAGCATACTCACTTTGGTCTTCACGTCGGCCAAAAGGGGTCGTACATCCTCGACGGCTTTATAGCCATTTGAGGAAGCGGCGGCCTTGGCTTCGATATTTGCTGTTCGAGAATCGATCTCATTCAGTGCACGCACCCAATTCTCATCAATTGGGCCCTCGACAATTGTCCGCACAGCCTTAGGGGAGATGCTGATCTCCTCCACAGCAGGTCCCAGCAACCGTTCCACGTTGCGTCTATTCTCTAGCATAGCAGTCAACTGTGTTGAGCGAGATTGCAATGTTTCGATCTCCGCCGACACCGCACCAAGTTCATTCTGGAAGTCATTCAAGTACAACTCAACTGACTTGGACACATCATCACATCCAGTAATGGATGTGTGTAATTCTTGAAATTTATCCCGTTCTTGTTCAAATTGCTGAACAGTTTGCGCATTTACGTCACATTCGCGGGTCCTTTTCCTTGGTGCTGAATCCTCCTTTTCCAGAAACTCTTCGAGACTCAGCCCATCAAACTGGATGGCTTCTACCAATTGCCCTGGCCGTTCCGGCACCGACGATAGCTGCGGTACATGTTTTTCGGTTTGATTTTCCTTTCCAATGATTTCATTCAAGACTTCCAGCGGATCGGGGACATTGGCTGGTCGAGGTCGTTGAATACCGGTTTGCTTTAAAGGAGAGCCACTGGTCCCTCGTGCAGTTCCAGGAAGAGATGTTGTAGAGTCATTGGGGGTCGCAAGAAGAGACGTTGATGAAGTTCTGGAAGTTACACCAGGGCGGCTATTGTAGGGACTTGGAGATAGCTGGGAGGATGATCGTCGCGGTAGAGGAGAAAGGTTGCGACTATTGGCACCGGAGGGAGTTGACTGGACTGAAATGCGGTCGCGCCACATTGTGTAAAAGGATGGACGGCATGAGAATCCAACAAAAAGACAGAAGAAATCAAGAGTGTACTCGGAAAATCCAACCAAGTAGCCCTTTGATAGTAGTACCCGTATTGTGTAGTTGGTAGGTTACAGGACAACCTCCCCTATACTGGACTAAACCCAACATGGATCCTGACCAATCAACGTTCACCAAGCGACCCCGCCACAAGCGTCGCCGCCCACGATAGATTTTAGTCGATGGTTTTTCTGATTTTCCTCCCTCTTTCTTCCATTTCCCCTCCCCCAAATACTTGAAAAACACTCCCCCTCTCAACCCCTCTAAATCTATTCACCATGTCTGCCGAGGAGGTATGTACTTTTCTCTTACAAATTCGAGTTCCCCCAATGGCTGTAGGACTTCTGTTCCCAGCCCCGCATGCGGCTCCCCCTCTTCTCGAGGGCACGAGGCCATGTTGGACTCTTAACCCCGCCATATGGTCAACTTTTGAAGCGCCTGCTAACATGATCCGATATAGCACGATGTCACCTTCGAGTCCGCTGATGCCGGAGCCTCGCAGACCTTCCCCATGCAGTGTTCTGCTCTGCGCAAGAACGGCCACGTTGTGATCAAGAACCGCCCTTGCAAGATCATTGACATGTCCACCTCCAAGACTGGAAAGCACGGTCACGCCAAGGTTCACTTGATTGCCACCGATATCTTCACCGGCAAGAAGCTTGAGGATCTCTCCCCCCTCCACCCACAACATGGACGTTCCCCACGTGAACCGCAAGGAGTACCAGCTCGTGAGTTCCCTAATGACCCTTGTAATTTGGACTGTTTTGTTGACAAATATTAGCTCGACATCACCGAGGATGGCTTCATGTCCCTTATGACCGACAGCGGTGACACCAAGGATGATGTCAAGGTTCCCGACAACGAGGTTGGTGAGAAGATCAACCAGATGTTCACTGTCGAGGAGAAGGAGTGCAGTAAGTTATAACAATATCCAAACTGCCTAGGGAATCGTTACTGATATGGTTGCCATTAGACATTGTCGTCCTGACTGCCATGGGCGAGGAGGCCGCTATGGAGTGCAAGGAGGCTCCCAAGGCTTAAATTTAATACCTGGATTTATTACCTGTTATGCCAACCTTTATGTTCCACGAGGGCTCGAAGCCCGCCAAAAATTTATCTTTCATGGTTCAAAGGAGGATACGATTCTTTGAACGATTATGCCCATTGCTTCAAGATCTGTCCCCCACATAACCTTGGATGTGGGCTGGACCGAGAATTGCTTTGGTTGGCATGATATGTGTTGTCCGAACAGTTCTGAGTCTCAGCATCTCATGATAGTGTGATGAATGAATAAATACTCAATCTTGCTTGACTATACGATGGTTCTAGTAAAATTTCAATGTAGATAAATGGATGTAAGAGCTCGATTACACCCCAAACCAAACCCCAAACCAAATATTGAAAGTGTAACCTAGAAAATAAATTACATATTGTAGTTAATAAATAAAAAAAAGAATCCATATGTAGATGAGAACCTATCTATGTACAATTTAATCGTCTTGAGATAGTCGGATCAATCAGCGCATTGCGGGACATGTGGAGCGACAGAATCGGCGGTCACTGGGAGGCAGAAAAAAAAGTCCCGCTCGGTATATCCTTATGCCAACCCTTCTCAAACAAGCATGAACAAATCCCTTGGGGATGGACTACGTTACCCGAGGGGTCTGCGGTCAAGAAGGTTGCCGTGAGACCCGATACTATCTCGACAATGGACTTTGGTATTGTCGGCGCGGTCATTTGCAGGAGGTATGACGTCCATCGGCTTTTCCTAACCTTGTCCTATCACATCGCCAAATGTCAAGAAATAGACAGCTAATTTGGGCTATGTGACATGCGTAGGGTGTTCAAGTCGCAGAAGATGCCGACGATTTTGGAAACTTAGGCAAAACACATCGCCTGAAAAGAGAGACTAGGGAGAAGGGCAGCAAGAGTATGTAATTAGCAGTATGAGCATCGTTCTCATCGCTGACTTTGTCAAAAGCACTTCGTGGCCGTCCGGCCTACACACTTTTCTTGCAAATTTACCAGCTTATCCTGTGGAAACAATGTCATGCATTGGTTCATGAACACGGTTTCCCAGAGGAACTTGAGGTACGTGCACATGATGCTTCATGTGTGTTCAAAGGTGGAAGCTCACTATACTAGATGGTTGTTCGTGATCTCTGGGCTCTTCGTCTGCAAGATTTTGAATCGAGAATCACTGATTCTACTGAAGATGACGATGATGATACCGAATCTGAGCTGTTCAGCTCACAACCCGCAGGAACAGATGAATCTCGTGATGGATTCAAACCAAACTCGAGGTACCTCGAATGGCCTCGCCTGATCGATTCTGTTGCACTGTGTTACCTCGCAGCTTTTTTGATGCGGCTTCCTGTCTGTGTCAGTGATTTTCACAAGTATGTAAACCGGTCGGTCATTTGCTTCTAGGATGAGCAATACTCACATTCTCCAGTATGATAATGCGGCAGGAGATCCCCTATGCCCGAGTCCTGGCAACCATCCCTCGGGATATGAGGGATAGGCTCCCGCCAGAACTGACTGCCATCCTTGAAGTCAATGTGAGTGTAATCTGACTACCGAGATTTTTGCTAGGTTGTCCTTGACTAACTTTGGCAAAGACAATACCTAATGCGGAGCGATTCCACCGCGGCGTCCTGGCAATAGTGCTGTTCTATCAGCGCCGATTTGAATTTGACCTTCCTCCGTTGAATACGCCCATGATTCTTTTCCGGCACATCAAGAGATTGGCTTTACCAAGTATGAGAAACCGTCGCCGCGTGGTTGTCTAGCTTATCTTAGCTAACGAGTTCTAGTTGAGATATACGATGCAACCAGGATCTTGCAAGAATTGCTGGGCATCACATTTCAGTATCCGACAACAAGTTCATTCGATGGCCGAAAAACAGCACAACTTCTACCCGACCTGCAATTGATGGTGCTGATTATTATTTCTACCAAACTACTTTTCCCATTTGATGGTTTGAAAAGGTATCCCACCACAGCTAAAGAGCCTGCTGCACAGGTTATGGACTGGGCCATGTGGGAACTAGCCCAGAAGGATTACGATCATGATCAACCATTTGGGGGAAGTATTGGGAAAAAGACTGCCATTCAGATCACAGACCAAGACGTGTTGAACATGACGTCTGCCCAATTAGACGCTTACATGGACTGGTACGAAAGCAGTTGGCTGGATACCTCTAAGGAACCCAGTCGCATTGCCGAAATGTTTCCTATCAGCCGGGCAGAACAAGATATCCCACCAACCTCTGGTGCTGCCCCAGAATCATCCTCTCCTTCTGGCCCTGCTCCTGCTCCTGTTCCTGTTCCTGTTGCTCCAGGTGCTCCAGATGCTCCCGCTCCCGATGCTCCTAGTGCTCCCGCTACTCCTGCTCCCCCTGGTACGACTCAGCATAAGCTTGACATTTTGCTACAGACAGTCATGCAAGCCCTTAGAACCAGAAGGGTCATCCCTGAGGACGAAGAGGACGATCACAGGCGTCCCGGCGAGTGGTATCACCGGTATCGATGGGAATCACATCTCAGTGGCCCCGCACGGGATTTTCTACGAGCTGGCAGCCCAGCTCGCTGCAGTCCCATTGAAAACTCTTGTCCGTGCTGTCACATTTGTTGAATTTAAAATCGCACAGCAAGATGAAGAGCGACAGAACAGGGAGTACTTTGCTAGTTTGGGGACAGAAGGAATGGACACCGACGACAGTGATGTTGACCACACCTATGGAATGGCTGACTTTGAAGAGGACATGTACGACGCGGACTCCGACGATATGGACGATGATGGTTTTATGTCCAATTCAAAGATGTGGTCGACTATCTAGAGGTCGACGGGAAAGTTCGTTGTATCATATGTATGCATGGCGTTGGGGCTTTGGGATCATGTATCTGGCGTTCACCTTTGTACAACCTTTTATCTCTAGTTCAATCATTTGATTTCCTAGGGTTGATATGGACTATTATTGTCAGTGTATTGATATTTTCAGTCGAGCTGGCGATTCAACTTATTAGTTGTGTTTGATCAGTAAATACCATTGACGCCAGAAAGCACGCTTCATCAATTTTTAGTAGAACATCTCCAGGTAGTACGAAGTATACCTGACGTAGACAGGTGGACTGCCAAATTATCATTGGCTGGCGGCCGGGGTCGGCCGGGGTTGCTTACATAACGCATGACGAAAACGGGTAGCAATTAGGGCTTAGGGTACCTCGATCGGTCCACCTTTGCTAAGCGAGCGAAATCCTCAAATTGACAATCGACAGCTCCGCCTGGAACACAGCGACCGACAGCCGACAACAACGAAAACTCGCAACCAGTACGTCCTATACACCCCGTGCAACAGCGTCTATGCATCGCTATGGATTCAGTGAACTAACATCGTCTTTTTCCGCGCCGTTTCAGTGCAGATGTAGGTCTTCCTGAACCCTCAAATGTCACCGCGAACCACAAACCCGAACCCCCGATACGACTCAAGCCCATGGAGGAAAAATGAATATGGACTAATACGGTGCGATATAGTTTCGTCAAGACCCTGACGGGTAAGACCATTACCCTCGATGTCGAGTCGAGCGACACCATCGACAACGTCAAGACCAAGATCCAGGACAAGGAGGGCATCCCCCCTGACCAACAGCGCCTGATCTTCGCCGGCAAGCAGCTCGAGGATGGCCGTACCCTGAGCGACTACAACATCCAGAAGGTAGGATCCGGAATTCAACCTATGTGATTTGGACCGAAAGTGGGGGCAAATATGGTATCTCGGGCGGGTCGGATCTCCAACATGTTCTTTGTCTAAAGAATACCTCTGTTTACGGATACGCAAGAGGAGGAATCATTGCTTCACGTTATGGTCTATGGTCTGCGAAATGGTGGAATATTCGCTAACATGCGATATCAACTCGTTATAGGAGTCCACCCTTCACCTTGTCCTCCGTCTCCGTGGTGGTATCATTGAGCCTTCCCTCAAGGCCCTTGCCTCCAAGTTCAACTGCGAGAAGGCCATCTGCCGCAAGTGCTACGTACGTTTACCCCGCCTTCTCCGCCAGCGCCCGATACCCGTCATCAAACCGCATTTTGTGGCAAGGCCATCAATTACGTCAACTCATGTACTAACTCGGTCCTACAGGCTCGTCTCCCTCCCCGTGCCACCAACTGCCGCAAGAAGAAGTGCGGACACACCAACCAGCTCCGCCCCAAGAAGAAGCTCAAATAGACGACTCGCTCCTCGGTCTTGTGCTCGGCGTGCTGTGGTGCAGATTCCAGAGATGGGGATTGGCTGGACTGCTACATGGAGAGGATTACAAATGGCGTTAGATATGATGATAAAATCAATGCAGCCACAGTCATACTTTTTCTAGTTGGCTCCTCTCGACGACCAAGTTGCACTCCATGAAATGAAATGTGTAAAATTCAAAAAAGTCGAATTGATTCGCATCCTCAAAGTCCGTCTGCGATAAATACAAAGTACAATACATGCATGCATCAATAACACGACTAGAAAACTCGAGCTGGAAACCTGCTACCTGAGCAAGAATCGACGGAATGGACAGTACTCCAGATGAAAAGCCAATGGGTCCATCCTTCCCCGCTTATACCCGGAACATCATTCCTCTCTTGTCGTCCTTGTCATCATCGTGGTCATCGTGGTCATCGTGGTCCTTGTCCTTGTTCTTCTTCGAGACGGGGCTCGCGTGGCTAGTAGATATGTTAGTAAGGGTCAATTAGTCTTGACAGGCAAGGACACAACTTACGCAAAGAAAAGCACCTTGATAGCAATAGCCAGAGCCGCATGTAGCACAACAACCAAGATCAAGAGGATCTTGCTAGCCTTAGCATCAGTAGCATTCAAGACCGGATACAAGTTCCTCAGAAGGAAGAAGACACTCCAAGCAAAGCCAACGCCAACAAGCGCCCAGTTAAGCGCAGTTAACGGACTCCAGCTGACCAGAGCAACGGCAATCCACACCAAATTGGAGTACCCATACAAAGCCCAGCACTCGATAAGGTCAGCCGTCGAACTGCCGAACCAACGCAGCGCACCCCACAGGCAACAGGCAAGATGCCGGTGTACCCATAGACCAGACCCGCCGCGCCCGATAGCAACCTGAAGTCGTACTCAAAGTGCTCGTCGTGATTGTTCGACAGCCATTGCGAGATAGTGCCCGTCAAAAACAGGATAACCACCACCGTGGTCGCGATCCAGATTGGTCCGTACAGGTCTGCGTTACCCTCTAGCACATCGAGGAAGTTGGTGCGGGGATACACGGTCGCCACGCAGCGGCGGAAGACTTCGTTCGTGTCGACGTCGAAGAATCGCTCGTAGTAGTGCAATGACCACCAGCTGTGCTTGGTCGGCGTACCGCCAGGGGATCGGTCACGGCGGCGCGATGACCCGCCGCCCAGGAACGCGGCGGAGTCGCCTTGGACTTTGGCGGTTCTCTGGTCGTTTTCGAAGTCTGGACGGTAGGGTTACTGGGTTAGAGAGCTGGGCTAGACTGGTTCGCTTGGAGGAACTCACTGGAGGGGTGGAATTCGAGGTCTTCTTGCAGGTCGGTATGGCCAAGGTCGCCCTGATGATTTGTTAGACAAAATAATGAGTTATTAATTAGAGAGTCCTTACCTCTGCATCCACATCTACTACAACATCGTACCCTCTGTTCGCCATGGTGGTTGGTTTTGAAGTAAGCTGTTGGAAGGGGAGTTGTCAAGTGTACACATCAGCTTCCGCAGATAAAGCCACCGCTCAAGCCACAACTGTGGGTACCACTAGGTGTCATACACGAGTATCGGATACAACCTCATACATCATCTATTATAATTGATTAAATTCTTTTATTATATCTGAATCTGTAAGTTGCGATCCTCGGGCATAGGGATTACATATTGGTTCTATCGTTTTTTTCCCCTCATTATCATACATATGTAATAGCACCAGCATCCGTGATAGTTTAGTGCACATTGACTTGAAGTTTCAAATCCAGTTTTGGATTGCCTTTTGAATTCGGCCAACATAAGACCAAATTGAGGTGTCGAGTCCCTTTTTGCGGATATAGAAAGATGCAGCTCCAACCAAGATAGCCAACGCCACAGAGCCCACGGAGCGACGGTGGCTCCACAAGAAATCCAGGGCTCGTTTCCTGCGCTCTTCAGCCCGGATCTGTTGAGATTGCTTTTCAAACAAGTAAATCGCGTCTCCTGGTGTGTACTTCTGGTGTGGGTCTCGTGAAGTTTTGAGCACGCTACACCAGGAGATACGTTTCCAGGCTCCAAGCGGCAGAGATTCTGGCGGGTGGTCCTCAAAGAGCTGTGCCGCATGCAGGATGTGTCCATCCAGATCAAGTGGGCATGGCAACTTAGAAAGCGTGAAATGAAGCATCTCGGGCTCATCCGGTGGAATTTCCAGTAGCTCCTTTTTCCTAGACAGGATCATTGATGCGAAGAGGTAGATTGCGACCACAGGTTCTCGAGCTAAAAGAAAGTCGAAAAGTCTTGAAATGTTGCTGTACTCTTGAATATCATGGGAGTATAGTGTCAGTGTGGCTGCAAGAGCGAAGAATGGTTCAATGTTGCCAAGGTGTCGTCTTAGTTCTGGGTCTGTTGTTTCGATGATTGCAGGAATGAGATGGAGATGTTTCACAGCTGGAGAGAGTGATGGGAGCATGTAGTCACGTATGCGGAAAAGAGATATTTGTGCCACTGCTGGCGCAGCTTGCTTCTCGCCCAGTACCAGAAGAAGAACTTGAACTATGTCATGATATCCTTGGAAATAACAAAGCATGGGGTATTCCCTTAGTACTTGAGTGATCAGGTTGGATAGCTGCTGTTTCTTTCTCAGCATTTCCTCCTCGGGGGCTAGAGTCTATTAACATCCCAGCTTAGAGACTTCTAATAGCGTACATACCTTTTGGGTAGTAGACAAAGGACCGGTTGACATCGAGTTCTACCTGTTCCTCATCGGCATGTCGGGAAAGTGCAGTACTCGGGGGCACCGATGCGTTATATTGTCGTATTTGGTTGTCGCAACGTAAGAAAATAGGCCCTATTCACCAGTTAGTTGAGTTCATCTTCTCTAGAAGATAGTAACTCACAGACTATCTGTCTCAACCCATCGTCAAGTAACCCGCCTTCTGAAGTTGCGTGTGCAGCTAAGGCTTCAACGTCGCGCGCGGCACATGCATTGCGGGATGGCTCTCGCCTTTTTCGTTCGAGCCATCTGTTTTGCCTCTTCAGTCATTTTTGACTTCTTTGAGGATTCATCCGAGGCAGATATGTCCTTAGAGCTGGGATGATTCTTTTCTTTTCCGGTATCTTCCATCCTTTATTCGCTATATGTCGCCTTCCCAGGAGGTCAAGTAGCTCATATGCGCACACAAGAGAAGACGGAAGTTATCGTTCAGTTTCTTCCCCGATCTGAATGAACAAATTTCACGTTGTGGGTTCTCAATTTAGCTCAACAATATCGAGAGGCTGATCAGATATAGATCGAGTGCGACTTTCCACCGGACAACGAAACAACGTGTCCAAATAGACCATTCAATACCTGGCATATGAGAGAATGGCTTTATATTTGGCGATTGAGGTCTCTTTGAACGTGGACTGATGAACTTCTAGGCACATATACCCAGGCAATGGAAAGTCTTGAAGTCAAAGGCGGCGGAGTCCCACTTTCCAGCCTTAGGCATCGATCGGCAGCCGCGACATGTTTTCGCCGATAACAACACTCGCCTGTGCTAGGCCTAGGCACAACGCTCCAGTTTCATAGTTTTGTGGTATTCATCACAAGATATCGGGCACATATAGCTGTGTACCGTGTTGTGTGCGCCCTTGGAAGTCCACGGTTTCTGGGGTTGCGACAGCTTGCCGACGGGAGGTGATTGCATACCTCCGGGATTGTGCTCGCCGAGGTGTCTGTCAGTGACATTAGTTCTGTGGTAAAGACTTGCTTCCTGGAGCTTGGCAACCAATGGAGCTTGTGGCGGATATTTGCAAATCCCCAAGAACTGCCACTTTTGTATAGTGTTCAGGCAAGCTGTAAGTCTGACATTGATATTCCCTATATGTGGGGTGCATTGATTAATAGAGATATCGCAGGGCTTGTCTGGGAAATACTCGACTGTGAAATCATTGGCAACTGCTTGGCAACTGCCTGTACTCCCTTGGAGCTCTGGCTGTGTATCGGATATCAATCCACAGCCAGTACCGCAGTTGGCTGTCGATGCATGAATCGCAGTTGAGATATTCAACTCTTTGAAGTATGAAGACAAGTGGATCTTGCAAATCTCAAATGCCATCACGCTGTTTCTTGAATACAGAAAACTGCAGGAAGTGTGGTGCAGTTCAGACAGATCTTGGGGCTTGTTGCGCCTCAGGCCATTGCCTGACCGGCTTTTGATATTGCCTCCTACTTCCCTTCTAACTCATTCACTTACAATTCATCTTCCGTCTTCTACTTTCCATCTCCTACTCATATTTTCATTCTTCGTCTATCTCTCTTCGAGTCTTCTCACATCTCTTTACCCCGCTCTCCATCTTTGGTTACAGCATCATTTCCTCGTTTGCTCTAATCTGTTTTCGGTTTCCTTTGAAACCCACCCAATTACTACAATGTCTGGAAACAAGCCTGTGACGCGTCCGACGCGTTTGCAAGGACTGCTTACCCAGCCATTGATTCCCAGTCCTGTCATCAACTGGATCCTTCCAGCCCGTCTCCGAGATAAAGACCACAATGATGTGGCTTTCATTGGAGAACGGCGAATCCAAATCAAGGAAGCCCTGCCCAGTGGTCATCTTCAAGATGTTGTCGAAAAATCAGACCTCGATGGCTCGCTAATCGGGGCAAAAGTCATCAATGTAAGCACCGAGTTGCCTTGGGAAAGTGAGGCTCAATCAGAGTTGGTGCCTCCTTATTACAATGATAACCTGCCTCCTCAACTCCTTTTTCTTGCCACGGACTCAAATGAGCTCCTTTTCATGTACTGCTCAGAACTGGGAGATGGCCCATTTGTTTCCTACAGTCGCCCTCTGCCCCGCGATGTCAACATAGCCGACAAATATGGCAAGCATATAGCTGTTGATCCCAAGTAAGTATCACCTATCGCTAACTCCATCGGATTGACGAAAGCTTACACAATGGTCAAGGTCGCGTGCGGTCGCAGTCAGCGCGTCGCGTAATTTCTTCGGTGTCTTGTGGTTAAAATATCCCGGTGAACTCCAGATGCAGATGGCTCAGGGCAAGCTGAACCCACTTGAAAGTGTATGTTCTTACTATTGTATTACTTAACACATGTCCGATATTAACAGTCTTTCAACAGGAAAATTTCTTCCAAGTCGATGGCGATATCCTGTTCATGGAATTCCTGTACCCGAAAGACATCAATGACAAACGGACCATTCTACTGCTTATCATCCATAGGCTTGGCACAACACGGTCTATGGTGTTTGAATGGGATGAAGCCAGCACGATCAGCCGCATGAATCCCAAGATCACCTCAACTTGTCTGCCTCACCAAGACCAGTTGCCTAGCATCGTCATCCCTTTGGCCAAAGAATCCTCCTACCTCCTGGTCACCACGAATTCCATGGCGATGTACACGCCCAATTGCTCGTCTCGTCCGATGCGATACCCGCCAATCATTCCTGATGCCGAATCATCAGACGCTGGACTGTGGACTCGTTGGGCCAGACCTTCGCGAAACTGGATGTACAGTCAGAGGTACGATGGAATCTTCCTTTGTCAAGAAAAAGGCTGGATCTATTATCTCGAGTTTGGCAACGATGGTGAACTCGAAACTCAGACTTCTTTGGGTCAACTCCACTGCGATGTTGATACGGCTTTCGATATCCTTGATATGGGCCATGAAGGTGGTGACTTCATTCTCGCTGCTGGAAGCCAAGGTGATGGTGGATTGTTTGTCCAGGAGGCACGGGATCACCCCAGATGTGTCCAGCGGTTCGTCAACTGGGCACCAGTTCCCGATGCAGCTGTTATTCCCTCAAATACCTCAGACCTCTTCAAAGATACTCCATATGACCACGATCGGCTCTTTGTCTGTTCGGCCTCTGCTTCCGGTAATGGAGCTATAACCGAACTTCGATACGGCATTGAGGCTCAAATTGGTGTCTCGGCAGAGTTGGGTGGATTGTCCAGCATAAGTGGTATGTGGGCTGTGTCACTTGGTACTAGGGATTCAATCTACCTGCTGGCCTCCGATCCTCTTTCATCGTTGCTCCTCCATACGACTCCCGACATGAGAGATGGCATTACTGCCCTTCAAAACGATGCAGAATTGGAGACTCAACAGACTCTGGCAATGGACTGTACACCTTCCGGTGTTATTGTTCGGGTCACAGAAAAAGTTGTGCACTTTTTCTTCCCTACTGCTTTCTATCTCAGCAGCTGTATTCAACACGATCCCCATGTATTTGTCACGGCAGCTATTGTGGACGGGCCAAGTTCCACTATTATTATGACTACAAGAAGTGAAAAGGGGAACTTTCTCCATCTTCTTCGGATAGTCGTGACTGAGGGAGGGAGTGCCTCTCTAACTGATCATGAAGCTCCATACCCGCTCCAGAAAGAGCCCATCTGCATCGCCTACCAAAATTGGGGGACCTTGGATCAATTTTCCTCGGCACCAGCGACGGCACAGTGCTATCATTCGAGGTTTACAACGAGACTGGTGGAATCAGACAACATGCCGACACTCGTATTTCAGTCGCCGACACTGCACAAGATATGTCAAAGGCGATTGAAAGCCTCGCTGTTATCAAGACTCTCTCAGACGATAGAATTCACGCGTTCCTTTTCTGTGGACTGCGCAGTGGCATGCTTGTTCCGTTTGAGATAGATACAAACATCACTAATGTCCACGGTGACCCTGTCTTCGGTTTCAGATGTGAGTCATATTTGGTTCAAAATATTGGTCGCCTTCATTAACCAGATACTTTCTCTTCAGGTTTGAATCAAAGGGCGCCACGCCATCTTGGGCAAACATCAATCAACATCAAAACCCACAATAAGTTTGCGTTCTTTACATGCGGAGATGATTTCTGGCGGGTGTCATTTGCCCCAGATGGCAATGGCTTTGACTATTTCCTGTCCCGTGTTTGGATCACAGATCAAAACTGTGTAAGTTATATCACATCCTGTCCTTCTGAGCTATGGCCTAACATTCATGCCAGCCCGCATACTTCCCGATCAGATTCAGCGGCTTCGACCTTGTTGATGTACGAGATAAATCGTCTCGGACTATAACTACATACATGTTTTGTTTCGCGGATGGTCAGCTTCTAGTATGCTCCCTAGATCAGGAAGCAAAGGTCGTTCCCCGACGCATCGACATTCCCGGAAATCCAAGCAAGCTCACCTACTCCGACCATCTCCGATGTCTTATTGTTTCATATTCTGTCGCCCAGCTCGGAGAATTGCCTCTTGATCTTTACCGCACGGCATGTGTCGAGTTTGTGGACCCAGACACACAGTCGCCAGTGGTCTCTAACGATATGAACCTGGTTACTCAAGGCCTTCTCCCCTGGAGACCACACGGAGTTGCCGGAGAGAAGATCACATGCATTCTTGACTGGATGCCGTACAAGGACGGCAATGCATACCACCTTATCGCAATTGGGACTTCAATCAATTTGCCTCATCAACCCACTACCCGCCAAGGTCGATTGATGCTCATCCAAGCGTCTCGGGATGCCATCGATCCTGAGAAAATCACTTGCATTGACAAGCACACGCAATGGTTTAATGACCCAGTTTATGCGATGACGGCGTACGGTGACAGCTTGATTATCGTCTCTGGGAAAAGGTTCTTCACAGTCTCCTCACGAAACTCTCAGACAAAATGGGTTCGAAACATTACCGGTGTTCTCCCATCTCCAGCTGTCGCAATAACGGTGCAAGGAGGGCTGATCTACGTCACCACCTCGAGACATTCCCTGCTGGTCTACAAGATTGTAAATGGGGACATCGTGATGCACGGTTCCGACCCAATCGCACGCGATGGTTTGTCTCACAATTTCTTGGATGCGAATGGGTTTCAATCGGACCTCCTTTTTGTGAGTACCCGAGGCGGAGCTATCCGGACGTTCACATGCCTGGATCAACCGGGAGACCTTGTGCCACGTCCGACAGCAAATCTCCCCGTCTCATTGATCAAGCTTGCTCGGGGCTGCAAGCCTCCAGCTGAACTGACGACCACCAAGACCTTCTATGGTTTTGGCATCAATGGATCGGTCTACAGGCTCTTGTGTCTGGATGAGAAGGAGTGGCACCTGCTTCGACTTCTGCTCAACATCTGCCTTAGGGATGAGGTCATCTGTCCCTCCCTGGCCCGCAGACATCGCTACCTTGATGCAATCTCCCAGGTCGAGAACAGCAAGCATATTGACGGCAACATTCTGGCTCGGCTTGCCAGTCGCGACTCGAAATACCTAGATGAGGTTCTCATGGCATGCAACAAAAGCCAGTTCAAGGACCTGACCCCCAATACAGTGCATATGTTCTTCGAGGCGGTTGAGGACGTGCTTGAGGTCTACGACAACCATACCCAGGCCGTCTTCAGCTGGCTTCGGAACATGCTGCACATTGAGATCTAAGATCTCAAGGGGATCTGGTTGGGGTGGGGAAGTGTGGAGGACCAAATAGGAAGTACATAGGTCTGTGAGGTTTGAGTCAATGTGAGAGTGTATGTATGCCATAGTCAGATTAAAATGTTAGTAGTAATGTTTGAAGTTCTGTTTCTATTAGATTAGCGTATATTCGGTATAACCTTGGAAGGTACCATAGAAAAGAAAAGGGGTCCTTGACAATATATGGGGGAAATCCAGCTGGTTCCAAGGTTGGTGGTTGTGGCGATTAGAGAGTGAAGTCCGATGCCATATTATTCCCCACTGGCCATGATTCTTCCCGAAATTCTTTTTCCTTCCCACACCCCTCCTTAGGCCCACCTTACAGAGAGCTCTATCTCTCGCCTTGAATTCTGGGGATCGTCCTTTTTTTTGGCTTCTGTCATCCTCTCCCTTTTAATACGTCTGCGTATTATTACGAGTCGCGAATAACCGGTTAACTCCGTTTGTGCGCCTCCATTTACTCCGGTCACCACTCCAATCGGATCATCAACAAAACCCCCCAATAGAAATCTATCATGGCGCCTAAGAAGAAGGGCAACAAGAGACAGGAGGAGGATTGGGAGGCCGATCTCGGCGAGTCCGCTCCCACTGCTGCTGCTCCCGCCGATGCGGAGCCCCAAGAAGATGCCAACGAGGACGCCGCGCCGGTCGGTGGTCTCATGGCTGCTTTGAGAAAGAACAAGGCCAAGAAGGCGAAGAAGGGCAAGGTCAATGACTTTGTCGAGGGCGAGGACCCCGAGGTTGCCGCTGCCGACGATTTGGCAAGCAAGCAGCCTGAGGAAGGTAACTTCGATGAGGACGATGTTTTCGCTGGAAAAAAGACCAAGCCCATCAAAGAGGTGGCTAAGCCTGCGCCGGAACCGCAGCCCGAGGGCGAGTTCCGAGTAAAGAGTAAAAAGGAGAAGGAGCGTGAGAAGAAGGAGAAGGAGAAGCAGCGCAAGAAGGAGCAGGTAGGTTTTTACATTTATCTTCATGCTGGAAATTCGTGCTGGGTGTGAAAATCATTTACTAACGTGTCTTCTTCTCGTATATATAGGCTGCCACAAAGAAGAAGCTCACCCCTGCTCAAGAAAAGGCCGAATCCCAGAAGACTACCGCCGCTGAGGCCAAGAAGAATGAAGCCGCCGCCGCTGCACCCGCCCCGGAGACCGGCAAAAAGAAGAAGCTTCCTCCCCATCTAGCAGCCCTCCAGAAGCAACAGGAGCTTCTTCGACAGCAACGTGAGGAGGAGGAGCGCATTGCAGCGGAAGAGAAGGCTGCCGCCGCCAGGCAGAAGCTCCTTGATGAGGAGGAAGAGAGGAAGCGTGCAGAGGCTCGTGAACGCAAGAAGGAGAAGGAGCGCGAAAAGAAGGAGCAGCTACGCAAAGAAGGCAAGCTGCTTACCAAGGCTCAGCGAGAGGCCAAGGAGCGCAATGAGTTGCGCATACAGCAGATGATTGCCGCGGGTGGCAAGGTTGCTGGTTTGCAGGAGGGTGGTGAGAAGAAGCAGCGCCCTGTATATGAGAACAAGAAGAAGAAGGCTGCCAAGAAGCAGGAAGAGGACCTCGAAGCCGCCGCTGCTCGAGCCCAGGCTCAGCGCGAAGCCGAAGATCGAAAGAGGGAGGCTGAGGAGAAAGCCAAGGCCGAGGCGGCCGCCGCTGCCGCCGCCGCCGCTGCTGCTGCTGAAGAAGATGCCGTTGAAGACTGGGAGCAAGCTGCCGACGAAGATGTCAAGGACAGCTGGGACGCGGAATCGGTTGAAGAAGAGAAGCCTGCTGAAGAGGCACCCGCCCAAAAGGATGAGAAGGAAGAAGAACCTGTTTCCGAATCCGACTCTGAGGAATCATCCGATGAAGATTCATCTGACGAAGAGCAATCCGCCAACCAACGGGCCATTCAGGCGAGAAAGGCCGAGGCTGCGGAGCGGAGAAAGCAAAAGCACGAGGAGGCTATGGCGGCTCGTTCAAAGGATGATCTTCGATCCCCTATTTGCTGTATTCTTGGTCACGTCGATACTGGTAAGACCAAGCTGCTTGACAAGATCCGACAGACCAACGTGCAGGAGGGCGAAGCAGGTGGTATTACCCAGCAGATCGGTGCCACTTACTTCCCTGTCGAAGCTCTGCGCACAAAGACCCAAGTTGTCAACAAGGATGGAAAGTTCGAGTTCAAGGTTCCCGGTCTATTGATCATCGATACCCCCGGTCACGAGTCCTTCTCCAACTTGCGATCAAGAGGTTCCTCCCTTTGCAACATTGCTATCCTTGTCGTTGATATCATGCACGGTCTCGAGCCCCAGACCCTCGAGTCTATGCGTTTGCTGCGTGACCGCAAGACTCCTTTCATTGTCGCATTGAACAAGATCGATCGTCTCTATGGCTGGAAGAAGATTGACAACAATGGCTTCGAGGAGAGTTTGGCTATGCAGAACAAGGGTGTTCAAAACGAATTCCGCACTCGTCTTGAGGCCACCAAGCTTGCTTTCGCCGAGCAGGGTTTCAACTCTGAGCTGTTCTTCGAGAACAAGTCTATGTCTCGCAATGTCTCTCTCGTTCCCACCTCCGCCCACACCGGAGAAGGTGTGCCTGACATGCTGAAGCTCCTGACCAGCCTGACTCAAGATCGTATGACCAGTAAGCTCATGTACTTGTCCGAGGTCGAGTGTACAGTCCTAGAGGTCAAGGTCATTGAGGGTCTCGGTACCACCATTGACGTTATTCTGTCCAACGGTGTCCTTCGCGAGGGTGATCGCATCGTAATGTGCGGTCTCAACGGTCCTATTACAACCAATATCCGTGCTCTTCTGACACCAGCACCGCTCAAGGAGCTGCGTCTGAAGTCCCAGTACGTTCACAATAAGGAGGTCAAGGCCGCCCTTGGTGTGAAGATTGCTGCCAACGACCTGGAGCACGCTATTGCTGGATCTCGTATGCTTGTTGTCGGCCCTGATGACGATGAGGAGGATCTTGAGGAGGAGGTCATGAGCGATCTGGAGAACCTGCTGAGCCGTGTCTCCACTGATCAGCGTGGTGTCACTGTCCAGGCCTCCACCCTGGGCTCGCTTGAGGCTCTCCTGGAGTTCCTCAAGGTCTCCAAGATTCCTGTTGCCAATATCTCCATCGGTCCCGTCTACAGGCGTGATGTCATGATGGCCGGTACTATGCTTGAGAAGAGTAAGGAACATGCTGTCATGCTCTGCTTCGATGTCAAGGTTGATAAGGAAGCAATGGCCTATGCCAACGAAATCGGTGTCAAGATCTTCACTGCCGACATCATTTACCACTTGTTCGATGCCTTCACTGCGCACATGGCTCAGATTACGGAACAGCGTAAGGAAGAGGCTAAGCTTCTTGCTATCTTCCCCTGTGTCATCAAGCCCATTGCTGTCTTCAACAAGACCGACCCCATTGTCATCGGTGTTGATGTTATTGAAGGAAGCCTTCGTCTCCACACTCCTCTGGCTGCGGTCAGGACCAACGCCGCTGGTGTGAGGGAGATTGTTGATATTGGTAGAGTGTAAGTTTTGATCCCCTTTCCTCTTATTCTATGGTTTTTGTCTCATTTCTAACGCAACCGTTTCCACAGCACGTCCATCGAGCGCGATCACAAGCCTGTTCCAGTCTGCAAGAGAGGTCAGCCCTCTGTTGCTGTTAAGGTCGAGGGTCCCAACCAGCCCATGTATGGTCGTCACCTCGAAGAGAAGGACCAGCTTATCTCGCACATCTCGCGTGCCAGTATCGACACCCTCAAGGAGTTCTACCGGTCCGAAGTCTCCATGGAGGAATGGGCTCTGGTCAAGAAGCTCAAGCCCGTGTTCGACATTCCTTGAATTCGGTCTTAGGGCTTCCTTCCGGTGTGCGGTGTCTTCATATCAAGCATCGTCGGCACCGGACCCATTCCAGCCTTGCGGTACGTATCCCCGGGCGAACTTGACGATCAAATGCCAGTAAGTGGCGAGCTTTGTTCTCCGTCGGCCCTCATGGCCTTCTGTTCCATCATAGCCATAGCCAGTGTGGAGGAAACGAATCGGAATCTACTGGGCTATGACAATAGCTGTCGAAAAGCGCAAAAGTTATTCTATTTTGACTACGATTTGAACATACAATGAATGACCATGACTTGATGGATGAACAGCGAAAGAAGTCGCCTGTACATGATATAGGAAAAGCAAGGCCTGGTCGATACCAGATCCTTTGTTTCTGTTATAGTGAATTGGATTCATACTATTCCAGTATTGCATTAGTGAATATAGATGTCGACTACTAGTTGACCTTTATCTGTCTTTCATGCGCGGGGGCGATGTGACCAGTCTGGAAACTAAATCAGTCTTTTTTAGGGCATAGACCAAATCAAAAGGTTGTTTCAGGATATCAGAATAGACCAGATGATCTACCTACCCTTCAATAATCCTATACGGAATTATGCAGTATGTACAATCCTCTTCTCGATCCACCACCCACCACCACACCCAGCAAGCCACCCTTATCCCCAAAAGCAGCTACAAGCACTTAACAAACGAGCATTACTTCGATTTCACTACTTCAAAAATCATCCCCCTCCCACTTCTCAACCTTCCCCCCCATGCCTCTCCCAATCCAACCAACTACCCATATAAACCCCAACATTAGCAGGGTCATATCCAGCCTGCACAGCCATCTGCGCCGCCGCCTTAGCCCGCACCCCAGCCTTACAATAGAAGACCATCTGCGCAGGCTCGCCCTCACTCTCCGCAGGATCAGGCTTAGGGAACCCGAACCGGGTCTCGAATTCGTCCGGCGTGAGGTACAATGCATCTCCCTGCGATGCAAGCGGGATGCAGACTGCGGATGGGATGATACCCGTGCCTTTGAGTTCAGCGGGCTCGCGCACGTCGATGAGGATTACGGGCTTGTGGGTCGGGCTTGGTGTTGAGGTTGGGAGGGCGGCGTTGATCTAGATTTCGGCTTTGTTAGATGTGGAACAATGGTTTTCGTGGCCGTTTCTTTGCGGTACTTGGTTTCCAAAGAGAATAGAATTTGAAGTAATCGGGGTAGAAAAGGAGGAATGACGAAAGACTCATCTGCTCCGGGGAGTACATACTTCTTCGAATCCCCATTCCCGGAGTTTGATTGGGCTTGTCTCATCGCTGTTCCACCGCGACTGCACTCGGCGCGGGCTCTTGGTGTTCGGGATGGACTTTGTTTGCGGGCTGCATGGTGGTGCCAGGCGGCTGCGCAAGGTACGGTTCTGAGGACAAGTGACCAGGCCTCTTGTTGGTGCGGAGATAGCTCGGTGCAAGGCCGCGGCGGGTGATGCCGTGCTGCGCGCCGGGGTTCTGACTGCAGTGGAGGACAGCACAATAGTAGACCGCTGGATCTTCGATGATAATGTCGATGCCATTGTTTAAATTCTGGATTTTATTGTCCGCGGAGGCGAGTCGGGAGTTATTATACCTCTGGACGTAACCGCGGGATTGTGATGTCAGTGTCTGCCACACATGACCGCCTACTGGTTTGGGGCTTTTTCTCGTTATGGGCTATTCTCGTACAAGCTTTGTTGGGCGATATTGGGATCTTGATTGGTAGGAATGGCTCAATTGGTTATATTATAGCTAGAAACTGTCATTTAATAATTAATATATAACCTGGTTGACTTTCATGTCACTAGATCTTGCCGAGATAGCACGGATATATAGTGGAGTGTATATATCAGCTAAATGATGACCTCGTGACTGGATATTTTATCAGAATCATACATATTGTACAGAAAAGACAAGTCAGGTCCTCTCTAGTAAACCAAAAAGGCCATGTTAAACCATAACCCTATCAGTTCTCATGACTATGTAGAAGAACTTGTGAAATGAAGAGAAAAGACAAAACAAAGAGCTTTAGCCTATATGTCGAGCCATGTGAGGAAATATGTGTTTAGTTAATTCAAGCAAATAAAGAGTTATTTAACATGTCATAAATATCCAAACAGAAAAAGATAATTAATATTGTTCTAATATGCATGGCTCTAGGAGTAGTCACTGAAGAATAGAAACAAGAAACCCCCTGCGACCCCTCACGGGCAATAGGTAATCATAATCGCAATAGGGGCTTCTTTGCAAGAGGGTATGAAAGGTCTCTCTAAAGAGAAACATATGCTAAAGACTTTTCCTGTATCGAGCTTTCATCATGCATCGAAATCGAATGAGAAAGAAGTGTCAGCGGACCACCCCATCTCCAGGACAGGAAGGCATCATATCAACGTAACCAAGCCCTCCTCTGTCCAGAAAATGGGGCTGGGTTCCGGCTTCGTTTTGGTTTTTGTACAAAAGACGAGAATTTAAGCACGGGCCGGAATGTAAGAAGACAGTCATCCTGATATATGTTAGCCAATTGATCATCGGAAGGGAATATAAGCTTGAACATACCTGAGGGAAGATAGTAGCAAACACCTTGATATCCTCCGACTCTGGGGTAGGGGTGTGCTCCCAGTCCATCACCATGCTGGCCTTTCCAATCATGGACATCAGAGAAAGTTGAGCGTAGGTCTGGCCCAGACAGTAGTGGGGACCTGTACCGAAGACCAGCCAGTTCTTGGTCTGCTGCTCAGCGGTACCGGTGATCCAGCGGTCTGGATCGAACGAGTCGGCGTTGGGGTAAGCCTCCTCGTCGTGGCATGCGGGCCACACGGAGGGAATGATCATAGAGCCCTTGGAGACGGTGACAGTCTCGCTGATAGGGAAGTCCTTCTTGACCAAGTAGGGAACCATGATGACAGGGGACGGTAGCGCAGTGTCTCCTTAACGACGGCGCGGGTGTAGGGCATGTTGTCGAGCATATCCATTGTGGCAGGGAGAGTGCGATCACCGTTACGGATTTTAAGGTTCTCCTCACGGACCTTGTCCAGGATCTCGGGGCGATCGGCCATCAGCTGGAACAACCAGGTGGAGGCGGCACTGGTTGCATCTTGAGAAGCGAACAGGAAGGTGAAGATAGTCTGGGCAATTTCATAGTCGGAGAATTCACGAAGAACCTGGCTGGGCTTCTCTGAAGAATCGACCTGGATTCCCTTCTCAATCTTCTCGCGGTACGCGGCGGAATCCAGCTGGGCCTTAACCCAGGCGTCCATGATACAAGAGATCTCGCCGCCGGCAGCCATGCGGGCCTTGGACTTGGCAGCACACTTGGTGAACTCCATAAGCACCATATCGGCGGCCTTCTTGCCGTACCAGGTCTTAGTGTAGGGAAGGATGATAGGGAAGTTAACCAGCTCAAGGGCGGCAGTGATCAGATAGTAGTCATCGGCAATTTTCTGGACACCCTCATCAGTGATGTAGTAACCGACAAAGGTACGGCAAGACAGAGCACACATGAGCTCACGGAACTCGGACATCCAGGGGGTCGGGGTGTAGTTGGTGGCGGCGGACTTCTCGAGGAAGCGCTGATTGTAGGAGTTGAAGACCTCCTCAGCACGGGGAAGGTACATGGCCAGAGCCTGGCGAGTGAACAATCCGTTCAGACCCTTGCGGTAATCCACATGGGCCTTACCGTCCAAGAAGACCCAGTTGGTCTTGCCGAGAAGCTTGTGCGCGGCGTCCACTACACAGGGCTTGACATAGGTGGGCGAGTTGAAGATTTTCCGGGACATATCACGAGTCGACGCAATGACGACGAACCTTTGTAGAATAGTGTTAGAGAACAGACCCAAAGGAAATAAGTACATATGGGGGGGCTTCTCACTTGTGGAAGACAGATACACAGCTGAGCTCTCCGCTGTCCCATTTGGCCTTATATTCGGTGAATTTGGGGTTGACTGATTGGAGGAACGGGCCCATAAAGGGGATCTTGTACATAGGGCCAACAATTGCACCCTTGAGGTAGTGGTACTTGACTGTAAATAGGGGGGTTGAATTAGTTTCAAGATGCGATTTCAGAGGCCACCCAAGTCGCATTCGTACTCACACTGGTCATAGATGACAGCGGCAACCAAGAAAGTCAACAGGCCCTTCCAGATAGTGAAGCCATCCAATATGGAGGCAACGAGACCGGCCGGCGCGAAAAGTTGGGGCGAGACCGTCGCATCCGCCGATGGTGAGACGAAGCTCCCGGTGAGGTTGGCCATGTCGACCATATTGGGGAGTCCACGGGGTCGAAGTTCCAGGATTGAAGGGAAAGGGGAATTGCGAACGGAGAAGGAAGGACTGAACCCTGAACAAAAAGGGAAAAAAGCGAGTGGAGAGAGGGGAGAAAGAATTGACTGGGGCTCAGGGGCGGGAACGCCAATTACACGGGACTCCGCGGGATGTTAGTCCAGCCCATATCAATGCATACATAAATAATTTGTGTTTCGAGTTATTTGGCATAATCAATATCCAATTCTGTTTTGAATTCTTATTATTACTTGTATCTTAATTATTACATATGTATTCTTTTGTACAATCTCTGCTTTAGCCTATAGTTCGGGGGGTTCTCAGTACTAATCTCCACGCTGGGCTTAATATGATGGTAGGGAGTATTGATGTAGGTTCAATGCTGATTTTTGTTCTCATTGAGAATTCCTCTGTATGATATACATACGGCATACGGAGTATTAGAATACTATATTGTAGAATATCCTAAAATACAGACAAGTGAGCGCAAAGCCATATCACCATTACTCAGCACGACGTGACCCCGGCTAGGGAATTCCCGAGAGTTGGATCGACGTTGATTGGTCAGATGTCAAGTAAGGGTTTCTATATGCACGTGCTTGTGCTTGTTACTACGACGTACATGTCGTACTAGTACGAAAGTACGAACATGTAGGCTTCAATAGGAACATTTGAATCAATGGGTATGGGTATTCGTAGCATGGCATCTATGAAACGGCCTTCAACGACCGCCAAAACCAAACCATCCACGACGGCCTTTCGTTTCTTCTTCCACAGGACCTTGGGCTTGAGCTTGTGTCTGAGTAGGAGCCTCCTGTCGCTGGCCACCTTCGCGCGGGTAATCAATATAGTTCCATGCCACGTCGAGGAACAAGGGCTTGACAGGAATGGGCTGCATTTGAGGTGGGTAAGGCACCAAATTATTGAGGTCCAGTCCCGATCCTGCGAAATGTTGTAGTCGTTCCACCACTGGTCGCTGGCTCGACTGTAACGCCTCTCCAGCAGTCAACTTCTCCAAAGTAACAAGTCCACGATACCGAGCAACCAATTCTCGTAAAGTAGACTCCAAGGTACTTGCTTGCACTTGGGAGACGTCGAGCTTTGGGACACCTTCAGCATCTGTTGCTGACTGGGGAGAAGCGGAGGCGGCAAGGCTCAGGGCTTGGGAAAACAGCGCGAGAGCCTCCTTTGACTTCGAAAGCACTCCATGGGATCTTCCTAAGGCAAGACATCTAAAGGCAGGGAATTATGATTAGTTGCGGGAACCAATGAGGATTGTGATAAGAGCCATACCTGAGAGCACGGAAGTAGTGCCGCTTTGCCTCTAGATCCTGCACGAAGGTCGAATCGGCCGCAACACCCGGAAGCTCGAGAATAAATTCCAAGCTCTGGAGTGTCGAATCATACAGGACGACCCGCTCACGGAGCTTGTTCAACTTCTTGCCATTGCCTGTTGCCTGCTTCGTGGTTTCCTTTCCACCCGTTGTGGGTTGCTGTTCCTCAAATGACAACCCGTCTCTTTCTCCACACAACACCCGGTTACGGCCGACTCGCCAGCCAACCAAGGTGTAATTAACTGCAGTTCGAGTGATTTGCAGTGCCTGCATTCTCTTATCACTGGGATCAACACCCTCACTAGCCAGGTCATCAATGGCAGATTTCGTAGCGTCGACAGCATCCTGGCTAGCAATAATCACGTTGTCATATGCAGCAGCTTTCTCCTTAGCAGTGGCGGACTTGCCTGAGTCTGTCAACCAACTAGTGAGGCGAGCCTCCGCGGCTGAAGCAGCAGCTAACGATTGAGAAATTGAGGCATCATCCAGTGGAACAGTTCTCGATCTCCAAGTGACAGATTGGGGCAATTCCTGCACCTCTCCTTCTGCAGTTCGTCGAGTACCGGCTGCTTCCTCAGCGAGACAAGAGGGATCGACCTTCTCAACCTCAGCGCGAATCTCAGAATGCAATGGAAAGAATTCAATGGCCAGCGATGAAGTAGGTTTGGAGCGGGGGAGCTTCATCTGATAAGCCGCGTATCGGAGACTTGGGTCAACAGTCCCCGATAGCAGGTCCCGAAAGGCGTCTTTCTTGACCCTCTGACCCAGGGCTGTGTAAATCACCCTTGCGATGGAGTAATCTTGGAGACACTGTTCCCATCTCCGCTTTTCAAGCCACAGAGTGCCGGAAATCATTGCCAAATAAGCCCGAGTCTCCAGGATATCCACATCACTTGCCCCAGAAAGTGCTTGTTCGTGAAGCAGCGAGACTAGATGCTGCGCATACCCAGTGGCTTTGTTCAGTCGAGAAATAATGTGACGCCGAGCAGCACCAGAGATGCCCTTTGTGGAAGTATCTGCGGAATGCGTGGACTTCATGTGCATTGCTTGTGCCCAAGCTCGTTCGGAACTAAGAAGCAAAAGATGTACATATCTGGCATCGGTCAGAAACTAATCGATGTAGCAATTGGGAAAAGAAATAAGAGTAAGTGACATACGATACATTGCTTCCAACGTTTTCAGCAGTCACAGCTGGTTTGGCAGTATACTTGCGGCCTTTGACAGTGGCCTGACCAAGCTTCTTGCGGAGTTTCTGCAGTTTTCTGGTAGTGTGCGCCCGGTAGGCATTGTAGTCTCCCACAAGGAGAACTTCCTCCCTTTCTTTGAAAATAAAGTCAGTCACCTCCATGATATGTTACCCGTCTTGTTCCTTTATTTGGTGTCCTCGTGATGAGAATAGGAGGGACACGGTTGAAGTGGGCTCAGCAAAGGCGGTGAAACCACGGCAATTTCATGCACCTCCGAATCTTTTGCGTTGTTTTCTCCAAGCTTATGGGACCTCGCATTTACCGTTCATTGCCTTTTTGTTCAAATCAAGGCGCTTGGATTTTGATTGGAAGCTTATGCCCTGGACTTGTATGTGAGCGACATTGTGACGGGTCCGGTTTTCCTTCCCTGGTACGAATGGCACCACCAAGGACAACTTGCTCAATTGCTTGTCGTGCTCAGAGCCAGGACAACTTTCTGACGCATGATTATCTATACAGATCTTTTGAACCAAATATAATACGGGAAACGAAATCATACCGGCATCCTACGGCTTGAAACTGCAGTTGGGGGTGATGCTCGAACGTGCAACAGGCTCCCTCGAGAACGCGGGACGGCTTTTCCTTCAAGATTCTAATTGCGTGATACGAAACAGAGGCTGCTTGTCTGGAAATTTCTGGAAGCACAATGATGCCGGAGCGGACGCTCCTCAATGGTTTGTCGCGCTTTTGCAGGCGTCGGGCCAACGATCATCCCCCATTCTTAGCACTCAGCGCAGAACCAGAGAGTCAAGCGATGGGATAGGGCCATCGCTCGAGTTTTTATGTCCTCGGCTGGCTCAAACTCTGGTAGCTTCGCGTCTGCCTCGCTCCCAAAACAGGACTGGATTTCGGAGAAGACCAAATTTGGGCTTTCCAAGGTCTTATGTTTCCATTTCAAGTCTTCCCCAAACTACATCAAAACCTTCACCCAGCCACAACGATGCATCCAAGGGGCAAGGGCCTCGATCTCCAGAATTTCTCGATAAGGCCGGGAAAGCGAGCGCATCGCTCCGTGCTTTCCTGGAGAGGACGGCACCGAATTCGATAAAGCTTGGGTGCTGTACGTCGCAGCTGGATTCCCATCGAACCTCAGGCCTGTACTCTGTGCTTATCTGAGTAAATCGGTTCAACCAAAACAACGAGAACGAGCATGGAAACTATTCAACGAAATTTCGCCTGAAGCTCGCACCAAATCAGACTTCGAGAACATTATAAGCTCACAGCTTCTTTCACCCGGAAAACCCTTGCATTTGGACTTGATCTGTCAGAAAGCCATTTCCACGCCATTTGCTCAAGACATAATCTCGCAGTGCCTGGTGCACATGGTGAAACATAGACAGTGGTCCAAAATTACCTCGCTTTGGAGCTCGCTATTGCAGACCCCTGAAAACGAGCGACTGCCATTGGACTCTTTGCTGGATCGATTTGATCGCTTTCACTTGCCTGAGTATTCCTTTTCTAGGCATATCTTAGCTTTATTTGCCTACTTGCAGAAGGGTACCGGGAAGCTTAGTGCTGCAAAGGAAGACTTCTCTCGTCGTCTAATTAAGCGCTTCATCGCCTCTCATGACATGGTCAAAACCACACCGCTACCAACTTTGCTTTCGCTGTTGCGCGGATCCCGCCCTCTTGGTCTTTTCACCAATAGACACTATTTTGATTTGATGGAAGTCTTCCTAAAATCAAAGCACAGGTCAGAATTTGTCAAGTGCATTCTTGTTTATCGCCAAATGCGATTAGAATCTCCGGATGCAACGCCGTTCTCGTACACGATCCGTGCTATCCTTGATCGCTTGTTGGAGTTCAACATGACCGAAAGCATGATATACTTTTTGGACGAAGAGGCGCACTTTGATGAATATAACAGACCAAGCATCCGCTCATACCATGAGATTATGGATGCTTTTTCAAAGATTGGGGATGTGCGAACTGTCCAAGACCTGTTCGATAGATTGCTGGCTGATCACGGCTCCCCGAAGACTCAAAGGTCGGTGGCCCCACTTCTTGCCGTTCATGCGCGGCTAGGTGATGTGGCTGAGACACGGCGACAATTCGAGCGAATTCCTATGGAATTTGGTCTCCCGCTGAACACAGTTTGCTGGAATATACTGCTTCTGGCGTACACTACTGCCAAGGATTTATCAGGTGCTGTTTCGACCTTCTCGCAAATGCGAGAAAATTATGTACATCCCAACTCGTACACATTTGGCACACTGATGGGGATTTTCGCCGAGCGAGGCGACGTCGAAGCTATCCGTCAATTACTCAAAGAGGCGCAGAAGAGTCGAGTACAAATCTCGAGGCCAATGCTTGATACGGCTGTTATGGTGTACTGCAAGAATGGGCAATTGGGTCATGCGGAAGAGCTCGTCGCAAACAGCTGGAATTTAGCGGTGGGAGGATCTCCCTTGCGAATGTGGAATTTTCTTCTAATGCGGTATGCATTCAGGGTATCAAAGTTTTCCTTCCGACGCGTCCTTGACCGCATGGGACGGCTAGGCCTGAAACCGGACCAAATGACTTACGCGGCTGTTATGGCTGCTTATGTCTATGCTAAGCAGGTGGATCGTGCACAAGATACTCTCAGGAAGATGCATGAAGCTGGTTTGCAAGCCACCGAGCATCATTATTCCATTCTCTTGCTTGGGTATGTGAAGCAACGGAACCGTGATATGGTGCACGTCCTCTCCCGCGAAATTCAAGCACGCTTCGGTCGAGTTGGGATGGAGGCGAGCCTGTTGAACCTGAGGATGCAGACTGCGAGAGACGTGGAAAACGCAAAAGATCTTCAGACTCCCGTTGAAGACATCGTCTTGGAGAACGCAGAAAAGAGCACTTTCTGAATCAATCGCACAATTTAATGCCAATCCGGCACCAGTCGACGGTCGACGGCCAGAGGGCTCTGCTGTTGAGTCTTTCACTGCAACGCATTATCAACGTCTGATCGACGCATACGGCACGCAAGGCGGCGCCGAAAAGGCACTTCAGATCTTCACCCATTACATGCAACTCAGACGAACTGCGGGATCATCAGACGGCGATGCATTGGGATCCTTGCCGATAGATTTCATCAAAGCCGTTATGAATGCCTATGCGGAAACCAATAACTATGAGAAAGTGGAAGAGTGCTGGAACAGTATTATGGAAAGGGCAAGCGAGGAAGCGAGAACCTGTGACCTTGACAAAACCCTCTTTGCACGATCGTCGACGTTACCCCAGCCAGCGCCAACCGAGTCCCCTCTCCCATCAATTCTTTCGATGTCCACCACACAAGCAGAAAAGCCCAAAATCATTCCCGCCCGACGCTTCATCCTGGACAATCCACTTTCGATTTACCTAGAGTCTTTGGCTCGCCGAGGCATGTCCGAAAGAATGCATCAAGTTGTGGCTGAAGTTCAGGCAGCTGGCTTTGCATTGACTGGTTTCAATTGGTCAACTTACGTTAGAGTACTTGCGACATCTGATATTTATTCCGACAATGTGGAGGCTTTTAGACTATTCGAAGAGAAGTTCATTGCTCATTTCCCTGGTTGGTCATGGTTTCTCAAGGGATATGGCGTGAGACCAATTAATGCCCCGGTGACAATCCTCCATCTTGAAGGTCGCTCGGGTATCACCAAACCTCGCAGGATGATGGGAAGATTGGCCCGAAGGCATTGGCGCAAAATTGAGCCCGATTATATGCACCCTCATTACCCCACCATGGTGCATCTAGCCAGCACACTGCAACGGCTCCGGCAAACAAGTATTGCGCAGGGGAATGAGAATCTGGCGAATATCTACAAAATTGCACCAAAGACTGTTGATGTCCTTGCCGCGATGCCATACTCACGTGATAAACATCAGGGTGTAATTCTTCGCGGCAAGGCACCGAAAAGCCATCCCCTCCCGCGCCCAACCCATCTGTTCTCCTCGCGCTCTGGTGCTCTTGGCCCCCGCCGCGACATGCGTGAGCGCAGCTTTGATAATGCGACTAAGGAGCCTCTCAAATTGAACAAAGACGAATACTCCGAGCCTTCCGTGAACGAGTGGAATATGTCTGGCTTACTCCCCAGTGGCCATCAGAAAGTCTTGGGTCCTTTGGCGAGCATCCTTCCTCGCGAGGACCGAATTGACCTGGAAACCACAGTTCGCGAGCATTTCGAGGAGACAATTTCCTGGGAGGAACGATCCGAGAGGTACAAGGGCATTATTGCTAAGGCGTACAAAAACAAGGACATCGCGCTCGCCGATGTCTACGAACGACGTTTGGCCAAGATGCAACGTGCCAACACCAGGAGGCTGACCCCCGAGCGGCAACTGTTTGACAAGTATAATCGCAAGTGGAAGCTGGATACTTCAAACCACCTTCTCTTCAAGACCGATACTGGGCTCCATGTGAGACCCGGACGGACACCATCGCAACGAGACTCCGTGCGAAATAGACACAAGGGACCCTGGACACCTAGGGACGGACCGGGCGACGACCGCTGAGCAGTGTGCTCCATGTATATATAGTCACTGTAATTTTACACTTTTTTATATATCCTGTTTTTATTATTTGATTTTGTACAATATATATGAGATTATCCAACTTTCATTAAGCATCACTGGCTATATAACTTGCCCGTATTGTGTAGCCCAGTTTCTTTCGTCTTTCTACTCATAAGAGAAGGGAGGAGGGATCCAAAAAGACATCGTAGTGCCTACTAGTATCTTAAATGTAACATCGAGGACAGAGAGGGGATATAGACAGTCGGCTTCTCTTGTCTTTCTGAATCTTCATGTAGTACTATTTTGTCTATGCTCGGCTACCTTGGACTGACGCAGGCCGGTGCAAAGAATTATGCATCGGTACCTAGGTAGTGATCCAGCAGACCTCACACAGGTGCACTTGCGTACTCATGTGCTAAATATATTGTTGGATAGCTACAAGTCTACACAGCGCTAACGAAACATTCAAGGGATCTACGAAGGTTTTTGTTTTCGAAGAGGATTTAAGTGGAATTGAAAATATTTTCATTGTGGATCGATACCGCATAGAATCAAGGGACCTCACACAGCGCTCCATACCATCAACCAGAATGGAAGAGGACCTTTCAGACCTCCTCGACACCCACCAGGACCGACCGACCGAAGTCAAGACGTCGAGACCAGGTCAAGATCATCACCACTCCCTAGACCGAAACACAGACACTGCGGACAGCACGCGTGACAGTCGAGGCGGGAGTAACAAGGTTTCACTTTAGGGCATCGAGGACATGTAGTCATCAGCAAGGGTGGAGATTCTGTGGCTCTTTTAAAGAGTTTAGAAAGGGGACGTCTACTCTAAAGTGATTCTTTGAACTGTGGGAGGAAAAAAAGTCAGCGGAAAAGTTCAAAATGCCAAAGTCCAATGTGAAAACCAAGAAGGTTTCCAACTGTTGGGGGGGAGGAGAACGTACGTAGAGTCGCTTGAAGAAGAAGAAAAAGATCGGGGGGGATGGCGGCTTATATAGCCGGTTGAAAAATTATTCGCTGACTCAGCACGGCACGTGGTATCCGTGGGACGCGCCTTCCTCGCGTGCAACTTTACGCGTTCCACTTTAGCAAATCGGGAAATCCCAAAGCCCTCCCCCTCGAATCCCTCCTTCCCACCACACTATATTGCATCACACATCATGGACGGTTTACAACTACGTGATGAGGCCGCGCAGGATCGCGTGCGTGCCGCAACTGAATTTCTTGACCCTAGTAAGTCCATTGAGTTGTGTGTTGTCGTCCCTTGAGCTAACAAAGTTGTTTTTCTTTTTAGATGATGCACGGGCACGCAGGTTCGACCTCGACGATCAATATGCTATAATATACATCTAACAGATTGGAACAGTTACCGAGCGGATATTGTGGTTATGCTGAACAAGGGTGGGCGACGATTGACGGTGCGTGGATATGCGAAATTCCTTGCCAGGAGATGGTGCTGATAATTCTGGACAGGTCAGCATCGATGAAATCAGAGCACACAACCGGGAGCTTGCCGATGGGTAAATTACCCCTCTATAAGATGTGGAATTGGGTTCACCGACTAATGTATGTAGGCTGCTTTCTTCGCCGTTTGATTATTCACAAGCCTTTGACGCAGCCTTGAAGGCGGTTGTCAAAACCTTGCCTGGTCGGCCACTTAGAGAAACCTCGGATGATGCGGTGTGTATTCGGTTTTTGGACGATTCTTAGCAGACATTGAATGTCTAACGATATCGACAGAACTACTACTGCGCTTATGTCGGTGCATTCGGAGAATTTTCTTCCAATCCGCGCACGTTGGGATCAGAACACTTGAACCACATGGTCTCTCTCGAGGGCATTGTGACAAAATGCTCTCTCGTACGCCCGAAGATCATCCAGAGTGTTCATTATGTCGAAAGGAAGGATCGGTTTGTTGCCAGAAAATATCGTGATCAAACTATGGGTGCCAGCGGTGCAACCAGTTTGAACGTTTACCCTCAAGAGGACGATGAGAAGAACCCGGTGAGTCCAGCTTGGACAATCTGAATGGATTATTTGAGACTAATGATACAATTTCTAGCTTATCACCGAGTACGGTTACTCAACATATCTCGACCACCAGTCGATTTCTATCCAAGAAATGCCCGAACGTGCCCCGGCAGGACAATTGCCCCGAAGTGTCGATGTCATTTTGGATGACGACCTCGTCGACACTGCCAAGCCTGGCGATAGAATCCAGTTGGTGGGTATCTACCGTACCCTTGGTAACGGAGGCAGTGGCTCGTCGACTTTCCGCACCGTCATCATGGCGAACAACATTATCCAGTTGTCTTCGAAGAGCGGTGGAGGCATTGCAGAGGCAGTGCTTACGGATACCGACATTCGAAACATCAATCAGATTGCCAAGAAGAAGAATGTGTTTGACTTGTTGTCCAAGTCCCTGGCTCCTAGTATCCACGGGCATGACTACATCAAGAAAGCCATTCTCCTGATGCTTCTCGGTGGAATGGAGAAGAACTTAGATAACGGAACTCATCTTCGTGGTGATATCAACATCCTTATGGTTGGTGATCCCTCGACTGCGAAGTCCCAGCTTCTTCGTTTTGTGTTGAATACGGCGCCATTGGCGATCGCTACTACAGGTCGTGGTTCGTCCGGTGTCGGTTTGACTGCTGCTGTTACATCCGACAAAGAAACCGGCGAACGTCGACTGGAGGCTGGTGCAATGGTTCTCGGTGACCGTGGTGTGGTGTGTATTGATGAGTTCGACAAAATGAGTGATGTCGATCGCGTCGCCATCCACGAAGTCATGGAACAGCAGACTGTTACAATCGCAAAGGCCGGTATCCACACAAGCTTGAATGCTCGCTGCAGTGTCCTTGCAGCAGCCAATCCGATTTATGGCCAATATGATCCCCACAAAGACCCGCATAAGAACATTGCTCTCCCTGACTCCTTGCTTTCTCGTTTCGATTTGCTGTTCGTCGTGACCGACGATATTGAGGATACCCATGACCGAATAATTTCAGAGCACGTTCTACGCATGCACCGTTACCGCCAGCCTGGCACCGAAGAGGGTGCGCCGGTTCGGGAACAGCTCAATCAAACATTGGGCGTGGGAGGTGAAGACCGTCAAGATGCCAACGCGCCAAGTGAGGTCTTCGAGAAGTTCAATGTTATGCTCCACGGTGGCATGGTCGACGCTGCCAATGCTGGTCGCCGCCGTGGTAAGAATGTGGAAATCATTAGTATTCCCTTCATCAAGAAGTACATTCAATACGCCAAGAAGCGAATCACGCCCGTCTTGACCAAGGGAGCTGCCGACCACGTCATCGCCACATACTCTGCTCTGCGAAACGATGAACTCACTGGCAACAAGCGTCGCACATCACCCATCACCCCGCGTACCTGAGAGACGCTGATTCGTCTGTCTACTGCACACGCCAAGGCTCGCCTGTCTAATCGCGTAGACGAGAAGGATGCTAAAAATGCCGAGATCATCCTGCGTTTCGCCATGTTCAAGGAAGTGGTCGAGGACGAGCGCCGGAAGAGACGTAAGACCACATTTGACGATTCCTCCGACGATGACAGCGAAGCCGAACTCGATGACGACTCCGATGATGACACCAACGCCCGCGGCACATCGACCGCCACACCGGGTAGACGCACTGGCACAGCACGCACCCGCGGTACCGCAACGCAGTCTAGTGTTCCAGTCCCGGACGAGGACGAAGACCCAGACAGTCTATACACAGCCAGCCCTCGCGCTCAACGCTTGCGTTCGAGCCAGACAGCTCGCACCCAAACCCAAACTGACTCCCAGATGTCAATGGCATCCTCGCAGCCAGCCTCGCAACTCATCGAGTCCCAGACAGACTCGCAGTCCACTTCCGCAGACGTCCCGATCACGCCTGCGCGCATGACAGTCTTCCGGCAGACTCTGGGCCCGCTCATGGGCAAGACGGTGTTCAAAGATAGTGACACAAGCAAGATTGATGACTTGATCAATGCTGTTAATACTGCTATCCGGGAATCATCCCAACTTGGCGCTTCGCACGTCTTCTCCCGCCCCGAGGCTATCCAGGCCTTGCGGGTCATGAATGAGGACAATATCCTGATGTACCTCGAGGATGACGAAGATGTGTACCGGGTCTAATTTATCTGGGTTATGTGGCGCTGTCTATATTGTTCTTCTCCATGTGGAAAATAGCTAAAGAGGAGAATGCTGGATCTGCCTGCATCCAGTTTTACGAGCATGCTTTCTTGTCATTGCATTGGGATCGATATCGTCGCATGTTTTTTTTTTGGGGTTTGGCGTATGGCGTGGGCTTTGTGAGGGAATATTAGTGACTCAACACGAGAAATACGAATGAATACTCGATCCTTGACTTAAATCAAGACCTGAATGGTACATAGTCCTAGGCTAGCTCGCCTGCAATTGTACTGCCATGTTATGCCATGTGATCTAATTGGCAGACGTTTGTTCATTTGACACTGTAAAATGCAGTAAAATGGGAGATTTCCAAAGGAATCAGATGCAACACAACAGCATACATAGGCGAGGCAACCGAGTTCGTCTATAAGCACCGGCGACACCGCGCTCTAGAGATATGCATACACAGCTAATGCAAGTTTCCAAAAACAGCAATCTCAACAAGTGTCTGGCAAACATGACAAGAGAGAAGAAAAAACAGGGTATAGAGATATGAACAGCATAAGCATGAACAACATTTCGTGCTAAGGTGCAGTATTTTCCGGAACAGAATTCGGTATAGCCTCCTCTTTATCTTTCTCAACCATACCCATAGGCAGCACAGAGTCGTCAGACGAGAAGGACGGTGTACGCACACCCTCTCTGATCTGCGCCTGCGTAAGAGGCGACAGGCCCCGCCGAAGCGTTGAGCCCTTCCGTTTCCGCTGTTGAGGGCTCGCGTCCTGCCCGGAGGCGGTGCTTCCGCGACGGGGCCGACTAGAAGTGGAAGAGCGAGAGGAGGGACGGTCTTCGAAGCTGGTGTCGACGGGGGTGGTGCTGCGGGATGAAGTGCGCGAATGGGACTCGGAGCGGGTATTGCGGCGGGAGGAACCACGCTGCTCCTGGTTGAGTTTCGATATAGAGGGGCGGTGGCCGTGGCCTAGGCGGTGTTTGAATTCCGGCTCGATTGAGCGATGCAGGGTTCCTGCGACGAGGCGGCGGCGCTGGGAGGCGCGCCAGCCAAGCCCGAGTCGGCCGAGCCAGCCTCCTTCGGTTCGGGCGAGGTGCTGCTCGCGCTCGCGCAGTTTCAGGCGTAGCTGGGCACGGCGCTCGTTTTCCTTTTCCCAGAAGTCTGTGCGGTAATCGTCCCAGTTTTCGCGGAATTCTGGGGAGAATGACTTGGGTAGGAGGAGGAGACGGATGTAGTCTCCTCCCGGACTGAGGTCTTCTTCTACTAAGCTGGACCCGTTGTCGGTGCCGTTGTAGTACTGTTGGTAGTGCTGCCGACTACCACCAGCGCGTTTATCAGCGGGGCTCTGCTCCACAAAATGGTAATTTCCATTGGGGGGAGGGTAAAAACGGAGCGGAGAAGGGGAATAGGAATGAGACGTAAGACAGTAGCTCCTGCCAGAAGGGACCGCGGATGATGATGATCTTGGTGTTCATCACACGCAGGCCGCGATTGGAGACAGCGAGCCAGCGCCGAGGCCATCTGATTCCTCGTTCCCATTGCCCTGTACCCCAGACGAGCAGTGCGGTAACCACCCCGCCAAGCAGGGCGACTTTCTCCCCCATCTCCACCACCCAGTAGACGGAGCCGCCGACCCCGCGGCCATCTTCACGCGGGCGAAGGAAAAGGGCATATGCAAAATGGGCAAGCCAAGCGGCCAGTAGGAGTAGGGAAGAACGTATTCTGACGGCGACGTTCGCGCAGAGCCAAATACTGGGCTCGCAGTGAGGTTTCGAGTATTAAGAGGTTAAGGTAGATCTGGGGAGGGGAGGAGGGCAGGTGTGCCAGCGGGTCTGGGGTCGAGGGACGTTGAGGGGAGGAATCTGGCTGGTGAGCTTGAGATGACCGTAAGGAGCTCAATGGCTCTGGGGTGGATGCGCGAGCATCCGGTGTTGGGGCACCCTTGACCACCTGGTCTAGAGGCGAGGCCATGGTAGAGGAGTCCCAAGTATGAAAATAAATAACAAAAGCAAAGCTCGTCAGTTAAAGTCAAATCAAAACTTGGCCGATCCGGCCCAGGAGTGTCATTAGTGTCATCGCATGTGAAGAGGAGAGAGAGAGAAAGGCGGAAAGTTGAAAGCGAAGTTGGATCGACATCATCTGCCCAGTTGACTTGACTTCATTTTCTCTCTACAATAATCCTGCTTTGACCATTGCCCATTGCCCTCAACGAGGGGTTTCAATCATCATATTTCTTCTTTTCATCAGCTCTTTCCCATCGGATATTACCTCTACTGCCCGGTTTTGCGCATGCCACGCCTATCGGGGTTAAGCGGAGTGACCGATTTGTCTCCGTGCTCCCTGCTTATACGTCCATGAGCGCCACAGTCCAACTTTTGCTAGCAGAAACTGTCTGTTTTCCCAACTTGCGAACCGCAGGCATAACCTCACGACTTGCCTCTCCCTATTCAGTCCCTCAACACCAGACCAAACCTCGCTCAGCCGTTTTTGCCACCCTCCCTCGGGGACACCGACTGTCTTCAATGGCGTCAGAATCACTCAACTCGTCCCATGAGGACGTCCATGGGCGTCACCAACGTCCAGTTGAAAACAATACCGAGAGGATCTCGAGAACTCCATATGCGGCTCAGGCTGCTGCAGGCGCGGCAGCGGCGCGCGCATTTTTCCCATTGGGATACCGAGAAGGCTTCAGTCAATGGGTAAGCCACAACCAAGGAGCCCCCATTGCCGCATTCCCGCTGATGATTTGCTTTGTATAGTGGGCTCGTATACCTGCAGCAGCAGCCGAACACAAAGTCCTCTCTTATCTGCCTTACTTGCATCACCAGCCCCCCCACCCATCTTCAGACTGGAAACACAACAGAGCTCCCTGATGGCACTACTCCGACCAGCCTCGAGAGTGCAGACCCCAATCAGTTGGGTGAAGTTACCACCAAATCCCTTGATGACCCTTATGGCCCGCGCCGATGGCGTTCCAGCATGGTAGAACTGAGCGGGCAAGACCGCGCGCTCAATGAGTTCTCAGTGGAGAGGATTGGCGAGGAAGCAGACCAACATTTGGTTATGCTCCACGGCTACGGCGCCGGACTTGGCTTCTTCTATAAGAACTTCGAACCACTGAGCCGGTTGAAGGGCTGGCAACTCCATGCCTTGGACATGCTAGGCATGGGCCGGAGTACTCGACCCTCATTCAAAATCAAGGCAAAGGAAAGAGAAGACGCCATTAGAGAGGCCGAGGCTTGGTTTGTAGATGCCTTGGAAGAATGGCGCATCAAACGCAAAATTGACCGCTTTACCTTGCTTGGACACAGTCTCGGCGGGTACATGGCGGTTGCCTACGCGCTGAAATACCCCGGTCATCTGAACAAGCTTATCCTGGCGTCTCCGGTTGGAATCCCGGAGGACCCATACGCTGTCACTGCAGATGTGTCCGAGCCTCCGGCATCAACGTTGGCCAACGAGGTTACTCAAGACGAGCGAGATATCGCTTCATCTGCTGCCATTCTGGAAACAGCACCGAAGACAAGCGACGGTAGCTTTATCACTGGGCGCCAACCAGTTCAGGCTGATTCCGCTCCAGCTCCGCGACGGAATCTCCCTAAGTGGTTCGCGTATTTATGGGACGCCAATATCTCCCCCTTCAGTCTGGTGCGGTGGACTGGTCCTTTAGGGCCACGTATCGTGTCCGGATGGACTTCTCGTCGATTCTCCCACCTACCAGCCGAGGAAGCTAAGGCACTCCACGACTATTCATACTCCATCTTCAGTCTTCGTGGTAGCGGCGAGTACGCTCTAGCATACATTCTTGCCCCCGGTGCTTTCGCTCGCAGTCCTCTGATCCACCGTGTCCATGGTCTCGGGAGACAATTGATCCAAAACACAAGCGCCCTCCCCATCCAGTCGCCGCTTCCACCACTTCGTCTGACCCTTCGGCGCCCGCTCGGCGCGAGAAGGGTTTCCCCGTGGTATTCATGTATGGCGACCACGACTGGATGGACGTCTCTGGTGGCCATGCAGCAGCAGCTAGATTGGACGCAGAAAAGCGCAAAGCCCTAGAAAAGGCCACTCCAGAGGAGCAACGTACCGATGAAGGTTCCTCCAAGGTGGTCGTCGTGAATAAAGCTGGCCACCACTTGTATCTCGATGGCTGGGAGGAGTTCAACAGTATTGTGCTTACCGAGATGGAAGAGGTCAGCCAGAGGGAGAGAAGTCGTCAATCATGATGTGGATAGGAATTTCTCATTTTCGTGAATAAATGTCCTATCAAATATAGAGCTGGAGCGTGATGTTGATATCTTGTGGTGGATACTTTGTCCCTCCTTTATTGTGGCTTTTTCAATTTTTTTGCCCCTGGTATCTATGTGCCTCTCTCCCTCTTTTTATGGCTACAACTCTGTACGGTACATATTGACTAGATAGACTTGGACAGAATAAATGACACTTGCCATGAATACTCCAGTCGGAGAAGCAGCTTTCATGGCACTTTATTTATCATTTGTGCTGCTTGCGCCTCCCAAAGGAGGACACAAGAACCTCACCCTTCATCCAGCCCGATCCCAAGCAGTCTGGCCCCTCGAATTCGGTCCAGAGATACTTTGTCTCCGATGCCTAGGGCTGGTGGAATAATGCGCCATCAACCGCGCTAGCCCCGCCGATGAAGCCTCACGCTCTTCAGCCGAAGGACCAATACCGGGGGTATTATGCCCACTAGCACTAGGGCTAACTCTTCCAGAGAGAATGTGGCTACCAGAGGACCCAGGCCGTCTCAAAGAGAAGTACCCACCCCCGCCTCCGTTAGCAAAGCTCCCGCCACTACTATTGCTCCCAAAGCTGTGGCCCAGGCCATCTCCAGAGCTGGGGAAATGGGAGCTCGTGAACGTTGCGCCGCTGGTTGGGAAAGCTCGCGGGAGGACCCGTGACTGGGAATGCGAGTTCGAATCCAGCCGCGCGTATGGCTGAGGCGTCATGAACGGGGCCGTGAGTCCTGACGTTGACGACAATATCGAGTGGCCGTGCTCCCTCGAATGAACAGCTGCATTATCAGGTCCCGCTGACAGCGCCAGGGAGAGTCCCGTACCCGTGCGCCGGTCAGAGGTCGTTAGTGAGGAAGTCGTGAGCGAGCGGTGGTGGTGTCTAGAGCCATTCTGTTGCTTCCCGGAGTAGATGCCCTGTGAGCCCGCTGCTCCCGTCAGTGAGTGGAAATTGCTTCGGCCATTGCGCCAGTCAGCGCTTTCGGGGCTGTTTAGAGTGCTTCCGGCGTGTACACTTGTGCATAGCGTGACGAGATGCGAGGGGAGCTCGAGTCGGTTGTTTAGTGAAAGCCAGGCTCGCTCGTCCGCGTCAATGTCTACGTCTGGATTGACGTCGCCGCCAGTGCTATGTGTAGAAGAGGATGAGGTTGATATGGTGGCTTTCTCGTGCGGGATATGCGAGCTGCATGTTTTGGATGCCCGGTACGAGCGCCATCCACCTACGCCTTCGAAGTCTCGCCTTTCATCACCGCTTATGGGCAGGCTGTAGACGGGCGTTGGGGTAGATAAATTGTGGGCCTCGATCATGCTCCGTGCATAAGAGTTCATTTTACGGTTTGCTGGGTCATCCAGACTGGTACCAATGGCCCAGGACGTGAGGGAGTCATTTATCTTTCGAGGATGCGTCGTTGTTTGGCTGGAATTCCTTCTTGATCTACCAGCAGCTGGGGTTGTAGGTTCTGATGCCGTGAATGTCAATAACGACGAGGTAGGTGATGTTGGCACTGAGAAGAAATGCATGACCAATCCACAGAATAGCTCAACGCAGACTACTGATAGTCTGAGTATTAGTGCAAAGAGCGCAGCGGAGATTGTAACCCATGCTGAGAGAATGAGTGGGATAGAGATGAGTGCCAGGATAGGCAACCCGAGCAACGTTGATAGAGAGGACCACATTTGATGAATCAGTCTATATCCCCATAAAGGGACCAAAAGACCACAAGTCCATGATTATAAGACATTCGGCATTTTAAGACCAAACTCACCAAAAACAACAAATTGCGGAGAAAGCATGTGATTGATGCCCCAGGCACAAAACGCCAGTTACATCATTTCGGCAACTTTCAGCCTTGTATATCAAAAACTTAAGAAGCGAGCTCTAGAGGGCCTATTCTGATTGCCGTTGAAAATCCCCCAAAAAAATGCCAGAGGAGGAACCCTTCCCTTGGGATATTGGCATTTACGATGCCCACTGCCACCCCACCGACACATTGGCCTCGGTGGCCGACATCCCGCAAATGAAAGCGACAACACTGACAATTATGGCCACGCGCGGGGAAGATCAAGACCTCGTACAACAAACAGCAGTGTCACTCTCAGCCAAAGAAAGCCAATCAACATCAGACCGCGTAGTGCCCTGCTTCGGCTGGCACCCGTGGTTCTCGCATCAGATCTTGGACGACACTGCACAACCAACAGCTGCGCAAAACCCAGCTGACCACAAGTCCGCCCACTACGTCGCCGTCCTCACACCATCTCCAGTCGATGACCAGCCATTCATTGATTTACTTCCTGTCCCCAAGCCCCTCTCAGAACTAATATCTGAAACTCGAAACCGACTCCAACAGTTCCCGAATGCGCTAGTCGGGGAAATCGGCCTGGACAGGTCATTCCGACTCCCAAGTCCATGGACTCCAACGGACATCGAAAACAGAGATGACCAGCTTACCCCCGGCTCACGCGAGGGCCGGCGTCTCTCAATTTACCGCGTCAAGCCGGAACACCAGCGCACCGTGCTAAAAGCGCAGCTACAGCTTGCGGGAGAAATGAACCGTGCCGTCTCGCTGCATAGCGTGCAAGCGCACGGCGGGGTCTTTGAAGTGCTCAAGGAGCTCTGGGCAGGACATGAACGGGTTGTGCTGTCGCGACGGAAGAGGGACAAGCAGCGAGATGCAGAAGGCGCTGTATTTGATGATGACGAAGATGACGAAGAAGATAAGACGCCCGACAGATCTCAGCCCACTAAAGTAGCCGACCTCAGTGGAAAATCGTATCGGCCGTTTCCGCCTCGCATCTGTATGCACTCTTATACCGGTTCGGTTGAGCCCATTCGCCAGTTCTTGCATCGGTCGAATCCGTCGGATGTTTATTTCTCTTTCTCGAAACTTATCAATTTCTCCGGTACTGCTGGGAAGAAGGTCGGTGATGTTATTAAGGCTTTGCCTGAGGACCGCATTCTTATTGAAAGTGATCTCCATGTTGCAGGTGTGCAGATGGATGATGTGCTGGAAGACGTGGCTCGACAGATTTGTCAGTTACGTGGATGGGAGTTGCGCCACGGTGTCCAGGTGCTTGCGGATAATTGGCAGCGGTTTGTGTTTGGCTAGGCCTTGCATTTCATTTTTTCCTATTCCTGCATGGGGTGAGTTTCAGTTCGATTTCTGATTTATTGCAGTTTTCTTTGGCGGTTTTCTTAAGTTGTGCGATTAGCGAATACGCATATATGGCGCTATCTGGAACACTCTTGTACGTACATCCTTAGATATTGCCTAGGTGATTCATTCGAGATACAAAAAGGCCCCAACTAATTTTATCCGATATCACTATTTGCAATTATATGACGTGGTATATCTCTATCATTGTATGTGATCGTCTGTGACATGGTATCATGGGCTGGGCCTGTAGGTGTCTGTGGCCTGACATGGTCTCTAAAATGTATCGTGTATCTGCGTGCCCTGGCATGGCTCGTCTCGTCGTCAAAGTAGAAAAGGTGTGTGGAGAGCAGGCGATGGAAGAGATGACAGCTCTATACAGTCATCAACCAGAGGTAGCGAGTCAAAGCTAGCTATGTATCCATCCTCCATCGTGAATAAGATCGGCCATCGGGGCATCCTGCCAGTATATCTGCCGCCATTCATCTTCAAGCTCGGGCAGACCTTCCACGCCCACAGGGGAGGTAGGTCTACATCACCGAAGGCAAACAACTGTCGCCAGTCCGGGTAGTCGCGAGCTGGCTCAATGGAATCCACTTGCATGCTGCTTGAGAAAGGATCGTTCCTTTCTAGCGGGCCAACATTAAGCCGGAGAGGGGCAATCCAATTATTGAATTGAGGATTGGGTTGTGGTGAGAGGGTCGTCTGTTGGAGAGGGGTAGATTCGGGAGTGGCCACACCGAAAGAGAGTGGTCCGGGGGTTTGCATGGTAATTGATGGAACAGGAGAGGCAACGGGCATCTTATGCGCGTGATGAGTGTCGTTAAACGGCTTGGGTCGTTCCGTAGTTGCCATCCGAAGATCCTCTTGCAGACGCTTAGAGTCTTCGAAGAGTCGCAGGATTGTGCCAGCATGAACCCAGTATTGAGCTAACTCGCGCAGCGAGTAAGAGGCGGAATCAAAGCGGCGTAAGGCATTGATGGCAAGAACAGGATTGGAGAAGCGGAGCTCAACTCGGACTTGAATCATGGCCGTGAAGAGTGTATGGACGCCAGTGTACCAAAGGAACTTCAAGCGCTCATGCATCCTGAGCTCTTCGAATATTGAGGCTATAACCCCGGCGGCCGCACTACAAATTTCTGCATCGTGAGGGCCATAATCATCGGAATAGGCCGAGGCTCTTGGATGGGGCCGATGCAGCAGAATGAGGAAGTTGTTGTAGGTCAAATGGAGCATGGCGGACCAAGGGTCCATATCAGACGCACGAAGGCGAAGATTATCAGGAAGTTTCAGAGACCAGGTTGCCAGTGATCCGTCGGCTTCCTGAAGGACGGCCTTTCGCCGTTCCTCGCTTGCCCGAAGTCCAAATCGATCGCGAATGAGGTACGAAATCATCGTACATAGTTCGGTAAAATGGATCACATAATCTGCTTGTACAAGAGGGCCGCAATTCTCAAAATCGGCGGGCGTCAACGGAGACACATCGGAATCGTCCAAATTGCTAGATTGAAACTTGATTAGTATTTGCTGCGAAGTTGGTCGTTTGGGACGACTTACATCGCTTGAGGTCGGCCATATGACAGGGAAATCAACACATCAAATTGGACCAGAATGAACCAAACTCTCCGCCACATTCGCCGATCGCGAGTCACGAAGCTACTGGAGACGGGATTACGGTGCATTCCAAGTCCCGTGGCGATACGTGCAGCGGCTCCAACCCAAAAGTGAGCATCTGCAGCAACATCATCATCTGCGCTATCAGAATGCCACGTCAAAAGAAGGGCCGCTTGAACAAGAATGTCGCGATTTCGCTCGATACGATTGTCAAACAGATACTTGGTGCGGCGGAAAAAAATTTCTTTGAGAGCGTCTCGCTCTGCTTTTCCACGAGAAACATGCGCCCCAACTAGCAAAATTGCTTGAAGAAGTAGAACTGGCGGAGGATCTGCAGGATCTCGATTTCGGTATTGCGTCATGAATAAATCTTCGTCGACGATAGGGTACCCCGGATTGACGTATGTGAAATAAGCCTGGACCAATTCATCTGCCAGAGCCGGTTCTGGAAGTGTTAGAGCATCCATAAGAAGCTGATCGTGACCCGTCTTCATTTGACGCCGTGGGATTTCGTTGCTCGCAAAATGGTATACATCGTCATCTTGTTCTCGTTGTTGTCGGAACAAGAATGACATGTTGGAATGTTCATGTCCGACATAGAAGGCGCGCACGCCTCTTTGGATCTCTCTTCTGCCGGATTCCTCTTCATCTATCAATTTGACGAGATGTTGCTCCATCTCCGTGTGTGCCTCGTGGGCATGCGCCATATCGGGGCCGTGGCGGCCAAATGTATCCGATCCCGTGCCTTGCTGAAATCCATGTTGCGGAAGGCCTCCAGATACTGGTGTAGCATGGCCACTCTGGAATGCAGTTGGAAAACTTGGTGGTAGTGGTGTCCCCGCTGCAAGGGTCGGGTTTGAAGTGGTATCGGATGTGGGTAGAGGCCGAGATCGGATCGGAACGGGATCTCAGGATTGAGCGTACTGCAAGACGCTTTTTCTTTTCGTGTATGCGACAGTCGGCCTTTCCGGAGGCGCGACAGTTAGTGCAGGGTGTCCCGACGGTACGGGCATCGCAGCGAACCTTGCGCCGGTGACAGTGGACACAAGCTGCGGAGCCTAAGAGTTTTTTTGAGTCACCGGTCAGCGAGTCTGATCGCGGAAAAATAACCGATAACCGAGACCAAAAAGAGACCACAAATTAAGATGCACAATGACAAGGCAGACAGGGCATTGCAAGCGCTTACCTTGTTTGCGCTTGCTCACCCCATCCGCCGGGAGCGGCGAGGGGGCGTTATCGTTGACGGAGGACATGGTAGGAGTACCATCGACATCATTCGTCCAAATCGGCCACGATTCTGCATTATTCGAGTCACCAACACCAGTCACTTCAAGGCATCATGGGCGAACTCCGAAACGATTGCCGAGGATAATGCGACAAACAACGAAATCAAGAAACAAAAATGTCGGGAAGTTGAGGGACTGCGGGATCGGGTCTTCTGGTGGAGACTCACGTGGATGCGGAGAAGCGGATTATGTAAAAAATGGGCCTTGGAAGGTCATATTCTTGGGAATTGCCTTAGGATTTGATATATCGTATTCTCGATCAATGCATGTCTTAAAATTTATAGAATATCACTTTGTTGGGCTGAATATTGCCATTCCTCTAGTCCACAGGTCGATCTATGTTTGCTCGCACAACCGCAATATATTACGGCAAGCCACAGCTTAGGCATTGAAAGCCTTGTTTCTAATTCGCTATAAGTCAATACGATCTTTCAGCCACGGCCTTGTAGAATCAGGCTGGATCTGATAAGGCTAAGCTTTATTACTACTATGCCAGAAATCTAACAGCCGTGTTATATCGAATGGTCGGAGATCACTGATATTGGGAACGATGATCTTGTCCTCGCAGAATCTAGGAAGGGCCTATCCTATACGGCTGTATATCGCTGGCTTCCACTAGTCATTAGTGGCTGTGCTATCCTAGCCAGCTACTACGATATGGATGCCCTAGGTACTGTCCCGGGGTGGGCGGCGACTCACCTGGGCAGAATACCCCTCCACCAAATTTGAAATTTGTCTTATCGCCCACCTTTTTTATGCTTTACGCGTGAAGATTGTCAAGGCGACTGTCACTGGTTGTCCCGCTACCCCGTACACGGAAAAGCGCTCAAAGCATGTCAAAAACACCGCTCTTGGCGAGAAAGTGGTTGCTTTCTCCTCTTCTATCGTTCTAGAGCAGGTTGATGCCAAATCCTTCAAACAGGACGAGAGATCACGCTGATGAACTGGGGTAATGCAATTGTGCGCAAAATCTCCACTGATGACGCTACCGGTAAAGTGACACATCTGGAACTGGAGCTGCATATGGCTGGTGACGTGAAGAAAACCGAGAAGAAGGTGACCTGGTTGTCCGCCGAGGGCCAAACTCTGGTTCCCGTCGAGTTGGTTGACTACCTGCTTAAGAAGGACTCGTTGAGTGAGGATGATATCCTTGAGGATGTTCTCAATTTCAACACGGAGTTCCGTGTGAGTGGACTGGCCGATTGCAATATCTCCGAGGTCAATGTTGGCGATATCCTGCAGTTCGATCGCAAGGGCTTCTACCGTGTGGATCAGATTCCTGCTCCTGGCGACCCCGGTGTCTTCTTCAACATCCCCACCGGAAAGCAAAAGTAGATACCAAGGATATCGGACATGGCACTGCCCTATGTGGATAATGGATAGGTGAGCATTTGGCGCATTGCCTCTTAGACCCCGCCCATCCTCAGTTTGAGTGCCGTTTGATCTCGAGCTGCCGGATCGCCTGCGGGCGATGGCTTTTTTTTTTAATAATTCATTTCCATAGCAAATCCAAAAGTATGTACACCGTATGCGTATGCCGAAGACTAATTTTGAACAACACCATTAAGCCTAGCTTGCCCTTCCAGACCTGCCTTCATAATCATACCGAAGATCTCAAGATCTTTCTTAGCATCCTGTGAAGTGGTTTTAGCCGGCTTACCCTCAACAACAAATGCGTAAAGCTCCTTCATTTCCAAAGTATAAGCATCCTCGTACGTCTTCCGAACCACAGACTCCCGGAATGAGCCATCTTCCAACTTCTCACGAACGTGCATAGTTGTAGGCAACCCCTTGACGTAAGGCGAATCAAAGCAGATCTTGACAGTCTTATGCCCACCAAAGACCTCAATAGACGCATCGAAACGGGGGACGTCATCAATTCCGGACTCATAAGACACAGCAAAAGAGGGATATTGGAAAAGGGCACTAGAGGAGAAGAAATTAACATATCACCCGGAACCACAGATATGGAATTGGAAACTTACCTCCAGAATGGCGGTCCCTTCGCAGAGCATAGAGAAGCACCAAGCACACCCGTCGGCATACCAAGAGCCTCTCTCATGGCACTAAGATCATGGGAGCCAAGACTTCCCAAGTTCCTCCACTGAGCAGCAGTATCAGGTGTAACCGGAATCCCCAATTCTGCCGTCAAAGCCTGTTCAAGGAACTCGCTTGTCCGGCTCGACAACTCCTTCACATCCTCTGCTCTGTAATCAGAGAAAACCTTAGGAAACGTACCGGACTGACCAACAAAGTTCGAGTTCGGGCCGACGATATCGCGCACGCGCGCATAGCACACTTGATCAAAGCTTCCTATTTCCTTGACGGCGTCGATAAAGGCACTCGCATACCGCCGCATATATCCCACCATCAGCTTTCCGGAAGTTTGCTGCTCGAGCTCGATGAGCTGGTCCGCGTCTTGCAGGGAGAGAGCCATGGGTTTCTCGACGAAGACGACTTTGCCGTGTTTCAGGCCCAGTACGGCGTGGGGAACGTGGAAGGCGTCGCTGTTGGCAATCATCACGATGTCTACATCCGGGGAGGCACAGAGCTCCTCTGCCTTGCGAGTCGTTTTGGGTATGCCTCCAACGACCTTTTTGGCACAGTGTGCGAGCGCATTGTCGGATACATCACACAGGTAGGTGACTTGGAAGTAATCCGAGAGGAAGCCGAGAGTTGGAATGTGGGCAACTTGGGTGATTTCGCCACACCTGACTGGAGTATAAGTATCAATTGGTTACAGGCTGTACCTTTGGCAATGCGCTTCTTACCCAATTATCCCCACGTGAAGGATCCTGTTGCCGGCTGTCATCTTGAATGTGTGAGGTGATTCCTCAGCTTCTCCAATGACGTAATAGTTAGAGAACCTTGAGGTCCCAAGTCCGAAAGCTGATTCTAACAAAATCTCAATATAATTCGCGTATGATAATGAATATACCAGGTCGGATGCCTCGAATGAATGTGTTGGGTGAATTGAACTGACAGATCGCCGATCTGCTGCCCCGCGAGGTGGAACAGCTCTGGAGCCCCGCTGAACTTGGCTGAACTTCGGTCTGCGCTTTTTCTTAACACATTGGCCGAATACAACTCAACATGGATATGCGGAGTATTACAGGCCCTAAGGGAGAATATTTTATTGATTCCATTGGAATGTACAGATTGTAGACTTAGTCTTGGTCCTATACAAAACGTCCTGGCAGATCAACACTGAGTGGCTTCGATCACTAGCATCAATACCTACAATGCTAGAATCTTGTACAGGCTAGGTCAATACTCTGAAGGCATGGTCAAAGGCGCCGCAGTGCAAGACATCTTTTAAAGAATGCCGGGAATATGATAAAACCACCAAATATAAGCATGTAGATACCCAGGTAGTTTAACCATTCTCTTGCTATAAGCATACTTGAGATTTTCTACTAAAAGTTGATAGGTACATTACTAGGACTTCGTTTACACTATTTACGCTATACTTTCCATGTTCCCCAGAATTAAGAGTGAGAAAATTGAGGTTATGATTATTTCGTGTTCAAGTACCTTTTGCATGGAGTTGCTAACGAAAGATACATAATCCTTCAATTTGATCCAGTGCGTAGGTGGCTTCCGCTGTCAAGTCAGACATCACTTGGAAGGCTTGCATTCATAAGTGTCCATAAGTACATCCAGGTTTGTACGAACCCTAAACAATTGACTGGTAGATGGCTTAAGTTGACCGTCAATTACAGCTTTCAAGTTATCCCGGGCTGATATGCAAACTCGACACTGCCGTCTCATGACACTACTGAGGTCCAAGATACGAAGTTGGAACATCAACGAATCAGGACTGATGGGCATTTCTTTTTTACTATGATAAGGAGCTAACCTCGCAAGTTTGGCATCAAAGCACAAATCAACGCTGCATTATGTCTAGTCTTTTGCCGTCCTAGTAACGCCGGTAGCCTATTGCTCTGACACTCAGATAGCACCACCCGGAAACACTTAAATTGAAAGTATACAAAGAAAAGGAAGGCAACTAAGGCTGTACAACCTGGATGTTGTTTTTCTTCTGCAAAGGGGAAACTTAAGTCAGCACTGCCCGTATCGCAAACTCTCGGATATGGTTTCAGGCCCAGGAACGACCATGAAACATGAGATGCGCTTACCTTCCAGGTATCCAGTTCACTCTGCTTTGACTTGTACTGCTTGAGCATGTCCTCCAATACTTGCTTCAACCCATCTGAGTTGGTCTTGAGTGTAGGAAGCACATCTTTGACAGTGCGCTCAACTAAGACGCCATTCACCATGCGGAAGCATTTGCGGTCTGCGGCGAGAGGGTCGAGCGTCTCAATCACAAGTCTGAAAAAAAAATAGATGTTAGCATTGTACATATTCGTTGGGACATCGCTGGTTGTGCTAGCTCGTGGTGAAGCCCCCGATTCAATCCCAGCAACATCCCAATATGCTGGGACAGCGCATAACCCTGATCATGACTCACTTGTGTTCTTCTGCCTCTTGCTCAATATCGCCAATCTTTTGCGCTAATTGCTGAAGGGTATTCTTGAAGTTGGTGTATTGGTTCTGAAGCTCTGGATTGAGAGGTTCGCATCAGCTTTTGTGAATTCTAAAGGTCTGAAGGGTCAATGGAAGAAGCATACCTTGCTGCTTCTTAGGGTCAATTTGTTTCTGGCTAGACATGATGGCTGTTTGATACGGTGTGGTCGGAATGAGGGAGCTCGAGAAATTGAGATGACGATGCGGGGCGGTTGCTTTTCGGTGTTGGCTGAGGCCACTACTATAGAATTTTTGATGCACATCAACAACCCGCACACAAGTTAATTTAGCTTTAAATGGCAGATATTTACTCAAATACCCGAAGGAACTCCAATACTATTGTAATAATTGTTGATTTACCTCTACGCTACCAATTTATATGCTATTCATGAAGTAAGTTATTAGCCACGTGACTGATATCACAGTTTGCAATGTTTGATTGCGATAACGATCAGTTCCACCGCTTTCCTCTACAATATAAAGAAAAGGCTCTTTCAGATCAGCAAGGCTGCCAAGAAACTACCTCCTTAAGAAAACGAGGCTGAATATTGCCGATAACATTGCCTTTTTAGAAGACTAGGTTCCTACCTAGAAGCTAGACTGCCAGCGTGGTGGCGTTCTTCAGGCAATAAAAGGCGGTAAGACTTTAGAGCGCTAGCCGATAGGAAAGAGGTTCGACTCCGCGGAATCACTTTCTCATAGACTCAACCACACGCAGACCAGACGGGGTCGTACGTTGCGAGTCACTCAAGCCTTAAACCTGGATTACTAGCCCGGCTGAACGACATGTCTCGCAACGATATGGGCCCTTCCGGCCAAAAGGCACAAGGGCTTTGGACACCTGCCACCAGGCCTACGCGACGCAAAGCGGAAGGACATTGACAACTGGGAGACCAATCGAATGCTCACTTCTGGTGTGGCACAACGACGCGATCATGACGGCGACTTCATGCCCGAAGATGAAGAAGCGACTCGAGTACATTTGCTCGTCCACGACCTCCGGCCGCCTTTTCTCGATGGTCGCACGATATTCACGAAGCAGCTGGAGCCGATCTCCGCTGTTCGGGATCCACAAAGTGACATGGCGGTATTTAGTCGGAAAGGAAGCAGGGTCGTTAATGAGCGCCGGCAGCAGCGCGAGCGACAAAAGCAAGCACAGGAGGCGACAAATGTCGCCGGCACAGCCCTGGGAAACTTCATGGGCGTCAAAGAGGACGAAGGAGACAGCGCAGTCGCCATGCCTGTCGAGGAAACCTACAAAGGAGGAGGAAACAAATTTGCCAAACATATGAAGAAAGACGCTGGCTCCAGCGCTTTCAGCAAGAGTAAGACCATGCGCGAGCAGAGAAAGTATCTGCCCGCCTTTGCCGTGCGCGAAGATCTCATGAGAGTCATCCGGGATAATCAAGTTGTGGTGGTCGTTGGAGAGACCGGATCTGGGAAAACCACCCAACTAACTCAATTCCTACACGAGGATGGCTACTCTAAGTTCGGTATGATCGGATGCACGCAGCCTCGCCGTGTGGCTGCTATGAGTGTCGCGAAGCGTGTCAGTGAAGAGATGGATGTTGAGCTGGGTGCACTCGTTGGATACTCTATCCGTTTCGAGGATTGTACGAGTGATGACACGGTGATCAAATGTGAGTTTCTCCCCTTCCGCTTTGGTGTGATCATGTAGCTAATCTATATACTAGACATGACGGATGGCGTATTGCTGCGAGAATCTCTCACCCAAAAGGATCTTGACAAATACTCGTGCATCATTATGGACGAGGCACACGAAAGAGCTTTGAACACCGACGTCTTGATGGGTCTTCTCAAGAAAGTCCTCACTCGGCGCAGGGATCTGAAATTGATCGTGACCTCGGCAACGATGAACTCCGAACGATTTTCGCGCTTCTTTGGCGGTGCCGCAGAATTTATCATTCCTGGCAGAACTTTCCCTGTTGATCTTCACTTCTCGCGCACACCTTGTGAAGATTATGTTGATAGTGCGGTCAAGCAGGTCTTGGCCATTCATGTATCTCAGGGCGCTGGTGATATTCTTGTCTTCATGACTGGACAAGAAGACATCGAGGCAACCTGCGAGCTGGTCGAAGAAAGGTTGAAGCAGCTGAATGATCCGCCAAAACTCAGCGTTTTACCCATCTACAGTCAAATGCCGGCCGAGCAACAAGCAAGGATCTTCGAGAAGGCCGCCCCGGGCGTGCGCAAAGTAATCGTGGCTACGAACATTGCCGAGACAAGTCTGACGGTCGACGGCATCATGTTCGTCGTGGATGCAGGTTACTCAAAGCTAAAGGTGTACAACCCGCGCATGGGAATGGACTCTCTCCAGGTCACCCCGATTTCCCAAGCCAATGCAAACCAGCGATCTGGACGTGCTGGACGGACTGGGCCGGGCAAGGCCTATCGTCTATACACGGAGACAGCGTATAAGAACGAGCTTTACATTTCAACAATCCCGGAGATCCAGCGTACCAGTCTTGCCAATACCATACTTTTACTGAAATCCCTTGGCGTGAAGGATCTTTTGGACTTCGACTTCATGGATCCTCCCCCACAAGAGACCATCTCCACCTCTCTTTTCGAGCTTTGGTCGCTGGGTGCTCTGGACAACCTAGGTGAACTTACACCTCTAGGACGTCGCATGACGCCATTCCCCATGGATCCCCCTCTTGCCAAGCTCATAATCATGGCCTCCGATGAATACGAGTGCAGCGAGGAAATGTTATCCATCGTCGCAATGCTCTCAGTTCCAAATGTCTTTTATCGTCCCAAGGAACGACAGGAGGAATCCGATTCTGCCCGCGAGAAATTCTTCGTTCCAGAATCTGACCACTTGACTCTTCTCCATGTTTATACTCAATGGAAAACCAACGGTCACTCTGATGCTTGGTGCACCAAGCACTTTTTGCACTCCAAAACACTGCGCCGCGCTAAGGAAGTACGGGACCAACTTCAGGACATCATGACCCAACAAAAAATGCCCCTCATCAGCTGCGGCACAGACTGGGACCAGATCCGCAAGTGCATCTGTTCGGGCTTCTTCCACCAAGCCGCACGACTAAAGGGCATCGGCGAGTTCATCAACCTTCGCACCAGCGTGACCATGGCGCTCCATCCCACAAGTGCCCTTTACGGTATCGGCCATGTGCCCGAGTATGTCGTCTACCATGAGTTGATCCTGACAGCCAAGGAATACATGTCCACAGTGACAGCCGTTGACCCTCATGTAAGTTACCCCTCCCCTCCCCCTTTTCGCCTGTATGTCATCTGGTACTATACTAACTTGTTTCTCTCAGTGGCTCGCCGAACTCGGTGGTGTATTCTACTCCGTCAAAGAGAAAGGCTACTCACAGCGCGACCGCCGCGTGACAGAAATCGAGTTCAACAAGCGCATGGAAATCGAAGAGCAGATGGCGGCTGACCGTGAACGCGCTGCTGCTGAGAAATTGCGCGAGCAGGAACGCAACGACCCCACCCGCCGCAGAAAGGAAATCGAGGTTGGCGGAAAGTCCGCCGTGCGTAAACCTATCATCAAGCCAGGACGCAAGGTCGGTGGCTTGACTGCTTCATCTTCTGCTTCCTCGCGGCCTGGAGGGAATGTTGATGGAGGCGGAAGTCGTCCTGGAAGCATTGTGGTCAAGAGGCCTACGGTGCCCCGGAGACCAGGACGTGCATTCTAGTCTTGCGGTTGAAACAAAAATAATTAGGGACTTGAGTGCCCTGTTTCTACAATATCTTTTTGTCTTCTAGAACCATTTACATGCACTGTTTAATCGATACCCACAATTGCTATTACGTTCTTATTCTCGTACTTCTTTCATTCCGGCATACTGCCCACCCTCGGTAAATATATAATGGGCTTTTTTGTCACCAGAAAGACAAACAGGAAAAAACAGGAGAAGAAAAGAAACCGCCGGAGATTATTTCTATGTTCAAGTAACACGTTAGCATGCGTCTCTTCGAGGTGGAATTGAAGAAGTAAAAGGGGGCTCACATTATATAGTTTAGATATTGAAAAAAATGGTTGTCCTAGATTTTACTTGGTGATCAGTCTTCTATGTGCACTTACTTCAACGGCTTACTGGCGCCGGAGATTACCAGGCGAGGGGGGAGAGGAGGGTTAGGGACGAGGGTTGGCGAACCCGAATCAGGAACGGGACTATCAAGAAGATCTGGCGTTGAGCCAGAGACTGGGAGGGGAGGAAGATTATTCAGTTCGATGGCTGTGCCATCGGATTCTGGGGTAGGGTCGGCAGGACGGGGGACGCGGGGCTGAAACAGGCGGCTTGAAAAGCTGTCAGCGTCATGTTTTCTATGTAGTAATCCACAACATACCGGGTGCAGTACTCCATGGCGAGATGGGAGCAGAGGCGGATTGCGGCCGTCCCAAATTGGTAGAGCAAGACCGAAAGAACAACCACGGAACGCAAGCCAGGGACTTTTGTCCAACAGGGCCGCCCAATTAACAGCGGGGGGAGCAAGGCTAGAGGTTTCTTCGTTTTGGGCCGAAGCCCCTTTTTGACTATGTTAGCAAATCATTTAAACTTGGGAAACCGTATTGAAGATGCCACAAGGCTTCAAAAGAAGGTAGACTCACCCACAGCAAAGAACACGAGCGTAAAAACAGAACAGATCATAAACGCCATGATGTTGATGTATTTTTTTGGTAAAGTGATGTTCCTACGAGTACGAGACTGCTTGATGATCTACGACAGAAGCCCAAGGCGACTATGGGGAAGGTGCCAGCCTGACTACGTGCGTCATAAACGGAACAGTAACAGAAACCACGATAGAATTCGAGGTACCAGTGTCGAAATAGAGGCATTTCTAATCAGGTTTGGAGTTCCAAGGATTGATTTGGCGTTCAACCTATTCAATCTATATTCTCAGACCCTTGATTTAGAATCCTATTTGCATTTATCAGGGTTGGCAGCTCTACTATTGTCTCTTGCCACAGAGTCAGCGTTCTTACCCAGTTGCCCAGGTGGCTATAACCAAAATCATCCATTGAAAGGACGTTCGGAAGGAGGTTTTACTCTTTTGTTTCCTAAGGTTTACCGTGGAACAGGTCCGACCCAAATTGAGTGTCGGAGGTCAACCGACCCCCAATTGGGAGTCGGAGGTTCAAGTCAGAGCATGAGCATAAAAACCCCTCCAACCCCTTTCCTTTACTACTCACAACTCAGAAATCTCAAGCATCAAGCACAAAATACCAAGCATCAACATCAACACCAAACATCAACACCAAACATCAACACCAAACATCAACACCAAACATCAACACCAAACATCAACACCAAACATCAACACCAAACATCAACACCAAACATCAACACCAAACATCAACACCAAACATCAACACCAAACATCAACACCAAACATCAACACCAAACATCAACACCAAACATCAACACCAAACATCAACACCAAACATCAACACCAAACATCAACGCCAAACATCAACACCAAACATGCCATCCTCTTCACTCCGCCCGAGTTCATCTACCAAGCAGGCAACACATCACAGCCTGATAGACATGGTCATGGGCGACGAGAAGCCATCCTCTTTACTCCACTGGTCGCCTACTAAGCATACACCTCACAACCCGACGGATATGGCGATAGGTGGCGAGAAGACTGAAACGGAAATCAAGCTGGAAAGAGATGGGAACACCAATGCTCTCCAGCGATATCGATACCTGACTTGGCATGAGGACCCATTTGACATGATTGATGCACCGCCGAGCTACGATCAGATTGAAAAGAAAGGCGTGAAGGGACTGCTTGACTGGGTCCAGGCCAAGGTCTGAGGGGGTCCTGACAGCCCACGCCTCAAGGCTCTGTTGGACTTGATCCGCGATCCCCAGGAGATGTGGAGTGACTGAAAACTCGAGTGGTTATTGTGGTTATTGTGGTTATCTTTATTGGGACTCCTGTACTCTACTATTAAACGCAGATGGGAAAATGAAAGTCCTTCGGCCGTTTCACACACTATGTACGAAGACGTATAGGCGCCAGCTGCCAAAACCCCATTTCCGGGAAATACTGATGCCTTAATGCCTTATTTGGCCTAGGTGCCTGAATTAAAACCGGCAGAAGAATTAAAATACCTGGATTACTATTACACTTACCTCAATAAGTAAGGTACCAGGCCTGGGTAGTTTTCCAAGGTTGTCAGCTGTTTCTCTATATATGAAAATGAAGCCTTTTTCTCCTATACAAATGTATGCATCTTCAATTTTTGAGGTGGTTTACATGCCTCCATAACTAGTTAACGTATTCCACAAGCGAGTGGCCATCACAAGCGAGTGGCCACCCCAAAACACCATAGTAAATGCGATATATTACAACTTGATATCTCAACAATGGTGGTCTATAGAGACTTTTCTTTATAGCATAGTGCTCTATATATGATATCTAGCATATCTAGGGAGCTTTGGGGACATTTATGGCTTTGTGACTGCGTTATATATATTTCTAGTTTTTAGACACGTAATTTTCGGTAATTTTTGAAATGATAGTAAGATAGTATTCTACTCTCTTTGAAATTGATTTATAGTGCTAATAAGTCTTATCAATGACTATCAACAAACGGGGAGATAGGATGAATATATGGTTGTTGAGATATAAATGTGGAATATATCGCATTTACTATGGTGTTTTGGGGTGGCCACTCGCTTGTGGAATACGTTATAACGTATTTCACAAGCGAACGGCACTAATAATAAACCAACCCCGCCTTGACTGAGATACTGTAAGGATCGCATGGTTTTCATTAGATAGCTCCTAGCTGGCAGATATACGTAGTCTAATTATATAATAAAAAGCCCTCGCTTCCTAGCCAATGAAAACCCCTTTTTACTTTCTATACGCCTGGGCTACTTCCTAGGCTATAGTGGCCTTAGGTAGTTCACTTCCTATAGGCTGCCTAAGGTAGCTAGGGTAATGCAAACCTTATAAACCCTTCGGGACGATATCCCTCCCTACTTACCATAAGATACCGCCCTCGGTATTATTTATATAAAGCCGTATATACTTCCGGATCGGGTAATTCTTTACTTTCTATATAAAGAGGCTCTATTCTAGCACTTTCTAAGTAGTAAAAGCTCTTTATATTACCCGAGAAGCCGTATAAATCCTACTTACTAAAGGGTAGATATAGTTTACTCTAGTAAAAGGGAAGTAAGAGATAAATAGAGGGGCTCTCTATATAAAACCCTAGCTTTTCCTCTTAGAAAATCTCTTCTCCTCTCTTTTCTTAGGCACTTATTAGAGTCCTACCTAAAGCTATATCTATTTTTTATTCTATATATTATCTACTTCTCTACTTTATAGCCCCTTCTCTTACTAATAGATAGGCTCTTTTTACTTATCTCGTTAGTTAAGAAGCTAAGCTAACTTACTTATTAATAGGTTTAGGATAGCTTTCCCTAATATATATTCCGGTTCCTAGGACCCCTAGGCTACTCTTAGAGCCGCTATTAATTTATCTAGCGGTAAAGAACGAAGTAAGCTCTCCCCTCCCCCTATAAGTAAGCTTACCTCTTTTAGGGGTAAAGATAGTAAGATTAATAATAAGATTAGTAAGTATTCCCGCTTCTCTATTCGCCCTAGCCTATAACTAACTTATTAGCTTACTATAGCTAAATTTATTAATCTTAATAGAACCGATCTTACTCGCTTCCCTCTCGGTCTCGACGATAACTCTAATATTATTATTAAAGGCCTCCTATCCGGCCTCTACTAGCGGCTTATAACCGCTATCTTTATAAAGAACGTTTAGGACCTTAACTAGCCTATAGTAGATAGTAAGTTATAAATATAGGACGTAGGTTCGGAGAATTCTAACTATATTATAGGGGCGTTTAGCTAGATTATTAGCTTTACTCTCTTAATAAGGGAAGCTTATCTATACTATTAAAGTCCTTCTCTTTCTACCTTTTCTTCTTATCGCGTTATTATATTTTCTTTAGATAGTCGGGGTAAGGTTATTTATCTTAAATCCTATATAAACTACTTATTTTCTAGTATTACTTCCCGCTACTCTCTCTATATCGATTAACCTACCGCTACTCTCTAGTTCCTCTAAATCTATATTACCGCTTTCTAATACCCTCTCGCTCCCTTTTCTACTCCTATCCTACTCTATCTAAGTACTCGCTATAAATAGGCTTATATCGCTTAATCGGAGTCCTTTAAAGAAACTATTATAGAGGAGACTAAAGTAGCTAAAGGTAGTATATAATAAAAGGAAATAGTTATTTAGGAAGCTATTATAGAGGAGGACCCCTTTATATATAATTCTATCTTTACTCCTAAACTCTTTAATATCCCTTTATACAAACTTACCGCTCTCTTCTAGTAAATCCTTATCCGATATATCTATACCTATTATACTATCGAGCTAATAGATATTAATTTCCGGAATATTACTAACCGTTTAAAGTAGTTTACTAGCGAGTCTATTTATAGAGGTACTCTTTCTCCTACTCTTTAAAGCTTTTAATTATTTCTTCTTTTCCTTTTATCGCTTTTTTAATTCTACTAATATAGATAGTTCCGACTAAATTCTTCCTCTATAGATTATAGATTATAGAGTATAAAAAATAATCTATAGTAGCTATTATTATAGTATATAGTAATCCTAATATTTTTCTTATATCGCCTCTCTATTTCCTATTCGGCTAGGAAGTTAGGGGATACCTTTATATTTTATAGAAGAGGTATAGAGCTTCTTATATCTCCGGAGTATCCTCTATAGATATATCCTCTATTTCCTCCCCTCTAGTAGGTAACTCTTCTATTAATAAATCGACTTCCTCGACTCTCTTTACTATATATCTAATAGATTCTATATCTAAAAGGACTTTTTTCTAGCCCCCGCTTACTATTAGTAGCTCTTCCGCTAATAAGTCGACTTCCTCGATTTCTTTTATTATATATCTAGTAGATTCTATATCTAAAGAGACCTTTTTCTAGCCCCTACTTACTATTAGCGGCTTTTCTATTTTTAAGGACTTATTATTTTACTTCTATTATTCCGCCGCTTTTAGATTCTAGTCGACCTCTATTACTTTTTAGATTCGGTTTTCTAATAGGACCCTATCTTTTTATATTATTTATATTTATTTCTTCTTACTAGACGCCGCTTTCTATATAATATATTTTATCGCTTCTTCCCTTCCTATTAAATAAGAATATACCTCTAAACGTTCTACTCCCCGCTAATTAGCCTATAAGATTATAGAGAGTTCTTAGTAAAAAAAGGGTTTATTAGAATCGATATCTACTTACTCCTTACTATTAAAAAGATAGCGGATATCTAGCTCCGTTTATTATAAATAATACTTATTTTTAGAAGATATCTATAATTAGTTAGGATTATCGACCTAAGCGTTTATAAACTAGCGGCTATTAATTAGATTATAAAGTACTTAGCCGCTAGGCTTAGTAAACGCGTATATCTCTAAAGGGTAGCTTTTTAGGATCTTATAAAGCCTAAATTACTATAGTTCGAACTTCTATTTTACTTTATTCTATACTAATATCTAAGTTTCTATTTCTAAAGGCCTAGTATCCTATATTAGGTTATCCCTAATCCGCTCTACGCGAATTGCTTTCTATAGTAACCGCTTATTAGCTTCGGCTTTAGTATAGTTTATCGCCTAGATCTAAATATCTAGATCTACTATATTATATCCTAGTAGGATTAGCGCTATATTATCTAGTAAATAGGGATAAGTCTTATAAACTAAAAAGAGAGGGCTTATCCTATTTATTATATACTTATAGACCCTCGTTATAAATAGCGCTTATATTAGGTATAAATCCTACGCTTTTATTAGTTTTCTAATATAGTATTTAGTAAGTATCTTACTAAATAAGCTATTAAAGTTCTCTACTTTCCTATTTATCTATAGGTAGTATAGTATTATTAGTCGATATTTTATATTTACTAGCTTAATATAATACTCGATAGAAGCGGCTAATAAATTCGCTCTATTATCTATTAAGAATTCTAGTAGGGCTCTATATACTATAAAGATATCCTTATATAGGAAGCTTATAATAGCCTTCTCTATAGCTTTTAGGAGCGTTTTAGCTAGCGGCTAGCTAGTAGTATAGTCGATAGCTATTACTATCTACTTATTACCGTTTAGTATTATAGGTAAAAGGCCTATTAAGTCTAGGTTTTAGCGCTTAAATAGCTATATACTAGCGTTTATTATATATTTAATAGACTCCCTTTCGAACTTTTTATTCTAAGACCTCGATATTTAGTAGTTTAGGTAAGTCCGAACTACTTCTTTTATATCCTACCGGATACCTAGCTACTATACCTTTATCTATAGTACTTTATATAGGCTAGAGTAGCTTAGGTAGCTATACTCCGCGTATATCTTTTTTAGAAAGTCCTTCTTAATAGTAGCTTTAGATAGGGGGCTATTATCCTATCTCTATTCCTAAATATTAGCTTTATATTCTCTTTCTAGAAAGTAGTATCGAGAAGCGGGGACTTATATATTACTAGCCTCTTTATATACTATAATACTTCTTTCTATAGTAACTTATCTTTAGATAGGGTTCCTATTAGTAAGTACTATACTATAGCCTTATACTACTCTATTTCTTCGAATCCTCCGACTTTTATTATAAAGATAAGCTACCCCTATATTAGGGGAGTCTAGGCTATATTTACCGGCCCCTCTCCTAAAAAGTTAGGACGCTTACTAATTATATTAGGAATAACTACTTCTTTACCCTTCCTATACTAGAGAGCGAGGTTATATAATTAGAATTTATCTACCTACCTCGCTAGACGCTTACTATATTCTTATATTATAGCTAGGTATTAAAGACTTTTATAGTCTATAATAATTATAGTAGTAGTCCTATTTTCTAGATATCTCTTCTATATATATAATATTTCCTTAATTACTAGTAGCTCCTTTTTATATATTAGGTAGTTTAGCTCGGTAGCTTTAAGCTTCCTACTATCGAACGCTATTAGATATACCTTCTTATCCTCCGCTTTTTACCCTAGTATAAAGTTAATAGCCTACTCGGAGATATCTATTTTAATAATAAAGGGCTTCGCTTAGTCTAGCTAAATAAAGATAGATATATTAATAAGCACTTCCTTTAGCTCTTTAAACGCTATTTTATATTACTCTATCTAGTTAATTAGGCGGAACTTCTTTTTATAGAGCTCTTTATCGGCTTTTTTAATAAGATTATATAGCGGAGTAGCGATCTTAAAGAAGCTATATATAAAATAGCGGTAGTAAGTAGCGAGTTTTAGAAAGTGTCTTACTTTATTAATATTTATAGGTCTTAGCCACTCTATAATAGTTTTAAACTTAGTAGGGATAGGTCTTACTTCCCTATTCCTAATAATATAGCTATAGAACTCTAGCTCTATAATAATAAAGATATATTTCTTAGGTTTCGCGTATAGCTTCTACTCTTTTAAACACTTTAACACTTCCTCTAAATACTTATAGTACTCTTCCTCTATATCTAAGAAGATTAAGATATTGTTAAGATAGATAATAACTATTTTCTCTAAATATAGGTAGAGAGTCTTGTTTATTAGCGTTTAGAAAGTGGCTAGTATATTATATAGCCTAAAGGGTATAGTAAGCTATTCGTACTTTCCTTAGATAGTATTAAAAGCTATTTTTAGGACGGACTTATTAGCTATATATATTTACTAGTACCTAGTAGCTAAATCGATTTTCGATAAATATTTAGCTTATCTAACGATTTCTAATAAGTCCTAGATTCTTAGTAAAGGGTATCCGTTCTTTACTATAAACTCGTTTAGTATATAGTAATCGATATATATTTATTAGGCTCCCCCTAGTTTCTTTATAAAAGCTATCGGAAAGCCCTATAGGCTAGCCGATATTTAGATAAGTCCTTTATCGAGAAAGTCTTTTACTTACCGCTTTAGTTCCTCGAGTTTCTTATATAATAAGGGATAGGCGTTAATATTAATCGGAACTATACTCCCTATATCGATATAATATAAGAAAGCTTATTTAAAGAGAAGCTACTTTAGTAATTTATCTAAGAAAACGTCTATATATTTAGTAAATAGCTTCGCTAAACGGCCTTAGGCTAGCCTCCCTTCCTCTTTAAATTCCTATATATAGAATAGTAGGTATTTAGTCTATTTATCCTATAGTAATCTCCGCGCCTCCTTTTTAGAAAGTAAGTTTAATAAGCTTTTAATCTTCGTACCTACCGCTCTACTATTTACTACTTATATATAGTACTTCCTTTTATCGTTTATTAACTATATCCTCTTTATAAAGAAGCTAACTAGGAGGTTATATCGATTAAAAAAGTCGTTACCTAATACTATATTATACCCTTTTAGATCTATAGCTTAAACTATCTAACTTCCTATCTAGTTAGTAAATAATATAGCTATTTCTATCTTTCTTTATATATATATCCTTTCTCTATTCGGTAACTATATTAGTAAAGGCCGGTACTTATCCTATTTTCTCCTTACTCGCCGGGCTATCTCTAATAATATAAAGGTATAGCTCGCTCTATAGTCTAATAGTATATAGGCTATAATTAGGCTTCTTTTAGTAGTAGACTAAAAAAGGTAGCTATTAAAAAATATAAGATTATCCCCTAGTATATTAAGCTATAGGCTAGCGAGCGAAGGCTCTTCCTCTTTAATTTCCTTATCCTTCTCCGGATAGATAGGCTTAAAAAATAGGTTAGTAAGCTCGCTAAGGCTTACTAACCCTCTACTTTTCCCTCTTCCGCTTTCTCTTCTTTCTTTATTTTATAATCCCTTTTAAAATAGCCCTATTTACTATATTTTTAATAGATACCCCTAATTAGTATCGCTATTAGCTTTATAGTATTAGGGTCCTTTTTTCGGGAAGCGATAGAAGTAGGTATTAGTAGCTTCCTAACTACTCCTCTCGAGTTCTAGAAGAAGGTTAACTACTTTAGTTACTATTATAAGATAGTTTTTCTATTTATACTACTCGGCCCGGAGTGTCGAGTTTAGTCCGGAGACTAGCTAGAGGATAAAGTTATACTCTATAGCTAGCTTCTATAAGTTATTCGATAACTTTAGGAGTGCCGAGTAGTATTTAGTAACGCTATTACCTTTCTACCGCTTATCTATAAAGCTATAATACCGGTCTATCTTTATAGTCTTCGGCTTAAAGCGCTTTTTAATCTATATTTTAAACTCGTTTTATATATTAATAGCGGTTTCTTAATTTATTCCGACCTTTATTCGATAAATCCGCTACTTATTTCCTATATCTCTAGTAAAGAGATTAAAAGCGAAGATAGTTTTATATATATCTCCCTTTAGGCGGCCGGAGAGTAAGCGGCGTTTTTTAAAATATTTCTAGTAGTTATAAAGCTAGTTATTAGCCGTATTCTTTTATTAGCTTCTTTAGTACTTCTCCGGCTAGGCTAGGTCCTTTTAGCTTACTAGCTAACTCCGAATAGTATAGTCTAGCTCCTAGCTTATTCTAAAGGAGTATATCCTATAGGCCTAAGGAGATATTTATTACTTACTCTAACTAGATAAGCCGCTTTTTATTATTTAGCGGTACCCGGCTAAAGATAGAGCTCCTCTTTAGAAAGTCTAAGAAGTAGTCGAATACCCGCTTTATCCTTTTAAAGAGATATCTATAGAATTTATCTAGTATTAGAAAAGGGCTAGTTTAGAGGCCTTCTCTCTATATCTCTAATAGGAGGTTTTACTCTATTATCTTATTAAAGAGGTTAGGATCTATAGTTATTACACTTTTCCTTATCCGGGTATTTCTTAGGGAAGGAAGTCTTACTTCTTTATCCTAGTAAACACTCTCCTTTTCTACTTTTTAGAAGGCTCTACTTCCCCTCCTAAGGATACTAATCCTTAGCCTTATAAAGAGTTTTCTTATATAGCTAGTAAGCGAGGTCGCTACTAGCTTTTCTCTCGCTTTTTAGTTACTATACGCTCTCCTTTAGGCCCTTTAGATCGAGTTCCTATAATAAAAGGCTCTCGCTTAAGAGGCCTTTACTATCTAGCTCCTTAGGGATATTATAGCGTATCCTTAGGGTCTAGCGGCGCTTCCTATTTAATAGGTATACTCTCCGCTAGCTCGCTATAGTAGGCGAGGCCGTTAATATAATATACTACTAGATAAGATACTATAAGGATTGTATAGTTTTTATTAGATAGCTCCTAGCTAGTAGATATATATAGTCTAATTATATAATAAAAAGCCCTCGCTTCCTAGCTAATGAAAACCCCTTTTTACTTTCTATACGCCTAGGCTACTTCCTAGGCTGTAGTGGCCTCAGGCAGTTCACTTCCTATAGGCTACCTGAGGCAGCCAGGGTAATGCAAACCCTACAAACCCTTCGGGACGACATGACCTCCCTCGGTAGGTCACGTGTTGTCTACCGGGATAGAAATACCATGATCCGCACCATCAAAGTAGAATATCATATGATACTATTAGGGACAAGGACTCACTATTCCGTGATTTAGGTAAACATCAGCATCTAATCTTCGAATCATGAGGGCGGTCACATCTCTGCATACTTGGCCTAGGTCAAGACCGCACGTAACAGCGGAAATAAAAATTAGATGCAAGGGGAAGTAAGATTTTACGGTGAACATCATCTTGAAGTTTATTAGTTGATGTGGCTTAACGGATAATTATCCATGGAAGCAGTGACTTGAGGGCGGCAACTATCGATGGATCTTTTCTAGCCAGTCGCCTTGCGAGAAGATAATCGGTCACGTGCATTATGCAATATTGAGCACATTCCAACCAAAAACCAGGCCTTTCAATGTTGAGCTCATTTGAATTGGTAATTTCACTGTAAATTACAACTCGATACATTCAGGAGAGAATTTTTTATTGATACCCGTTGAATAAATTTTGGCGCTAGTACCTTGGCAGTGGGTCCCAAGAAAAGAAATGCAAGTGTTAGGGAGGAAGCTGACTTCGCTAGTGACTATACACACCCGAATGCAACCGGTACCACCGGGTAAGCCCCCATGAACAGTTGGAAAAAGAGACAAGGGACTTGTTGATATCATCTTCGACGTAAAACTGTTGTGGTTGTGGACCGAGCCCGGACCGATGGCGGACCCACCCGCGGGAGGGCCCGAGCCCCATCCCACAAACACCCAAGAAACCCACGCCAGCTTCTCAGTTGAAGACTTCCAGCCTCGAGTATCGATCGACGCAGGCCAAATCATAGGGAAAAGAACGAGAAACGGCGAAGCTTATACACCCACCGAGGGCACAGGCCGGATTACTACCAGAGAGGTGTGGAAGCTCATCGACAACCTCAAGGATATCATCCATCGCCAAACCACGCTCATCGAATCCACCAAAGCCGACCTAGAGGAGGTCAAGCACGACCAGAACGTTCTCCGAGAACAGTACATATACCTTCGACCGCAATGGGCTCAGAAACGTGGAGGTGAAAAGAAAACTGCATCACCTGTATAACCGCCCTCATTTTACAAGCTACTGTTTATGGGAAAGGCCCTTTACACGGTCATAGATGGCGGCCGAATCGAATCTAATTGAGGGCCTATCTGTCCCTGACTGGTCTTCTCAATTTTCTCCCTAGGAAATAGTCGATCGTCCGCATAGAACATGAGGATCAGCTCGCCCAGGTCCGCTTCCTATATTTTATAGTAACCTCAAAAATCAAGCAACAATACAGCTAATGGGCAATCCTGCTTCAACAAGTCCCACTACACCGACACCGGCCGTTCAGTACGCCTTAAGAACCAGTCACGTGAGAAGGGCTTATCAAAAAGTACAGCGCAGTAAGGAGACACTGTTTAAGAAGGCCTCATTGTCTCTTGACACCGGTCGCACTATGAAGTAAAATATTAGTAGATCGGCACGGCTTTCGTCTTCATGACCAACGCATATGATGATCAGAGCATTTTAAATCGTGCAGTCAAGAGACTCGAAATTGAAGTAGAGCTTTCTCAGACGATCAAAGACAGAGGAGTACTGTCTCTAACATAGCAGAGATAATCACTGAGTCGCTGGGTTGAAGCTCATCTTGCTTCGTCAACTATTGGTTTTCGGCGTTTGGTCAAGATCGCGAATATTCCGATAGACTCGAACATTCCGTACTTTAAAGGAACAATGACCAAAATGTGATTTAATTCCGTCATTTTCAACTTGACTCAGCTTCATGTTGATCCTGCATGGATCATTAGAGGGGGACGGTAGCATAAGCGGTCCACCTGTGGTGACCTCGGACTATTCTGAAACTCCGCGGACTTTCACCCCCAATTTCCAACTCCATATCCCCATGGCGCCAGCAATGGAGAAAGAACGGGAAAAGCAACACAAAATGAATTCGATCATGGTTTATAAAATTGACTCAATTCCTCTTTCATCACCTCCTCAACCTCCCATCAATATCCCCTAGCAGATCATGTCGCCTACCGACGGATCCACCACTCCCACCTTAATGAGCAAACCTCGGAAAGAAGAAGCCATCTCGAGCCCAGGAGCCGCCGAAAAGGCCGAACCGGTAACTGAGCCGACCGCCTTCTCCTCGACTTTCCAAGAGGCTATCTTTATCTTCATCATTGGCTTGTCGCAACTTTTTTCCGTTGGCGGTATAGGCAATGCCGCCTACTCAATAGAACAGATCGGTGCATCTCTCGGCACAAGCAGCAATGGACAGATGTCATGGTTTCTAGCCTCCTATGCCCTCTGCGGTGGTGTCTTCGTCCTAGTCACCGGTCGCCTGGGTGATCACCTCGGCCACAAATACGTCTTCCTCTTTGGCTGGATCTGGATGGCCGTCTGGTCTTTGGTCTGCGGCTTCGCCCACAACGTCGTTCTATTCGACATCGCCCGCGGCATGATGGGAATCGGGAATGGCGCACTAGTACCCAACTCCTTCGCGCTGCTGGCGCGTGCATTCCCACCTCTGTCTGTGAAGAAGAACTTCGCCTTTGCCTTCCTGGGCTTCTGCGCTCCCTCCGGCTACATCTTTGGTGGTTTGATCGGCGCCGCCTTCAGTCAGAAAGTCACCTGGCGGTGGGGATTCTGGTTCTGGGCCATCGGCTGCCTCGTTCTCAGTTTAGCGACCTTCGTCATTGTTCCTCACCGAATCGGCTCCCCGATTCCGGGGCTCAGTCTCCGCCAGTTTGACTACATCGGTAGCTTCCTCGGCGTGTCGGCCCTGATTCTGTTCTCTTTTTCCTGGAACCAGGCTTCAGTAGTTGGCTGGCAAGAGCCCTACACCTACGCCTTGCTCATTGTTAGCGTCTTCCTGCTCGTCGGATTCGTCTTCTCCCAGTCCCGTGTCTCTGCCCCCGTCCTACCCAATTCCCTCTGGGGCCGCCCTGGTTTCGCACCCGTAGTCACTGCCATGGCATTTGGCTGGATGTCTTTTGGAATCTTCCTCTACTACACTACCGTCTACATCCTCACTATCCATAAGACCCAGCCGCTTGCCGCAGTGGCTCAAATGGTTCCCCTGGTCATTGGTGGACTGTTTGCTACAACAGCTGTTGGTCTCTTTATCGCCAAGACGCCTGCTCAGTACATCTTCGGCGTGTCCATGTTCTCCTTCTTCATCGGCAACCTGATCATGAGCTTTGTGAACTACTCGAACGTCTACTGGGCCTTCATCTTCCCTGGTTGTCTGCTTGTTGTTGGCGGGCCCGACTTGTCCTTTGCCTCGTCAGGAATTCTCATTTCCAATGCCGTCCTGCCTGAGGAGCAAGGTGTTGCCGGATCCTTTATCTCAACGGTTGTGCAGTACTCTATCTCCATTGGTCTCGGTATTGCCGCCACTGTAGAGTCTCATGTTAACGAGGGTGGACAAAACCCCATTCGCGGCTACCGCGGGGCGTTCTGGTTAGGAATTGGATTTGCGGCTGTGGGATTCTTTGTTGTGATGTTCTTTGTTCGCGACCACAGATTTGAGTCCAAGGAAAGGGACCAGTCCGGCCCTGAGGCCATTTCGGAGACAGCAGATCTTTGAAGGGATTTGTGATATGCTGATTGTGGTTTTGTTCCTTCATCCTTCTTGTCCCGTATTAACCAACTTGGCATAAATAATAGATATGTTGGCAGAATAAAGGGTCTCAGTAGATTGTTTTCAGATATGATATATCGGTAACTTAAAATAACTGGACTATGTTCACTCGAGTAGATGCTAGGCAATATACCTAGTTTGGGGACGGTAGTGGCATCCTGCAATGATAGAGACAATCTGTGAGATCTTGGTCTCGATGTCAGATAATGGGCTTCTGGCGTAAGGCATGTTGTGTTTTGAATGGATATTGATCAGATTACCAATAAGATGCTTTGAGTCCACCTTGTCGCGGGAGAATGGATCTAATATATCATCGTCTTGAAAGACTGGCATCCAGTATTGTCTAGATGTTGTATCTTCCGAAATGGTGTCCTCTGGTCATGATTTGGTGAGGCTGCGAGATGAAGGGAAGCAGCACGCGGATTCCGCGGATCTCTCCTCAGACGGGTACCAATCCAGGGCGTCCAGGTCCACGGACGGCATCCATGAGACTAGATCGCCATGCATAGGACTCTGAATACGAGAGCGATTCATCTATTTTGTAGCCACCAGCAGGTTGATCAAAAGGAACAAACAGGGCCAATTTATGGGGAGAGGCGTTCCCGTCTATGTGATCTGACACCTCCATTGCCTGGGCACTCGGTGATTTAGAGAGATGTGAGGATATTTGTTTGATAACAAATGTGAATGTAAATGTGAATGTAAATCAGACCAACACCACGGTGATCACGGGAGATTGGACCCGTTCCGTGAATCCCCACTTGACGTTGGCCGAGCCGAATGGGCTTAGTACATGGTCCTGTCCTCCAACATCCCACTTAACATGGATATTCCCATCTCCAAGAAGCTCACCCTCTCTTGTTCACGGTGTCGCGCCTCCAAATTAAAATGCGACCGTAAGGAACCTTGTGTGAGTATGCCTAGAATCTCATGAGAATGCCAATCTCATTGTTGCTAGTTGGAATGCGTGAAGCGCGACTGCGCCCACCTATGTACCAAAGATGAGCGGCAACCGAGAGCCAAGCGGACCAAAACCAAACCTACAGAACAGAACCATAGTCAGGTGACGCCGGAAGAAGAGGAAGAACCGGAGGTCGAAGAAACAGCGCAGATCTTGGAGCATTTCGTGGATGTCATTCCTCTTCCCACCGAATCAGCGGGCGTGGCCCCTGACATCCCCAATCGATACTGGGTGACCCAGGATCCGCAGAGGCATGAGCAAAAACTTGCGTTGATCGGAGATGTGGTTCACGCCCTGCCAGAATGGGATATCATCCAACTCCTCTACGAGGTCTTTGTTACACGTTGTCAGGGACCACTGGGAAATGTGGTGCACACCCCGAGCTTCATGAAGCAAGCTGACCAATTGCGCCACTGCTTGAGTATGGCTTCCCCCGACGCAGCCATCGCCAGTACGCTATCCATGGACTCTCTTGCTGGTTTGGTTCTCGCGGTGCCGCTCTCCTTTAAACCCGCTTGGTCTAGCATCGGCTTACTCTTTCTACGCAGCTTGTGCTCGGACTCGCCTTCCATCCAACCCCGTCCCTTCTGGGTGTCCAGCTCACCCTGTTGACCTTTCGCGTAGAGCAACTGCGCGCCTCCGATGAGCCTGCAGCGACGTGGCGGTCCCTTGGCGTACGTTGTCTCCACGGGGGTATTTCCCTCTTTTGTGGCTCTATCTCCAGCTTGCAGGCGGCTATCATGCTCCTGTTGGATACAAAAGAGACCTCGCTGGGGCTTGATGCCGTATTAGTAACGGCCATTGCGGGTGCGCGCAAACTTGGATTGCATCGCTTAGGCAATGCCACTTTGGATGCCACGCCTTCCTTACATTATGGCTCTGTGGCCGCTGAGCCACCTCAAATTCGCACCGAGATTGCGATTCGCATTTGGTAGGCACCCTGAATACCTTTTTCTTTTCCACTCGGGGCGAAGCGCTAATCGTTCCGGACCACTAGGTGGACTCTTGTCATGAGAGACTGGTCCCGTGGTCAAGCTCTTGGCTACTATACTATCCGCCCCTCACAATTTAATACCCGGATGCCATTGCACCTCAATGACGACGATCTGCTCAGGACACATGGCAAGATTCCCGAGCGCCCTCGGTCTGAGTTTACCATGCTCTCCTATACGGTACACGCTTTGGAACTGTCTATTATTGTGCAGGAATTAATTGATCTCGGGGACGCCGCAAACGAAGTTGCCCAGCGGCGTCAGCACCTAAATCAAAAGTACGAAAAATATGTGGCGAGTTTGCCGTCTTACTTTAGATTGGGAAGCTCTGTCGGACTCACAGCCATGGGTCCCATGGCCGCCATCCCAGTCCAGCGATTCATGTTACATCAACAGCTATGGAGTCTACTCCTTCGCCTCCATCGCGCTACTCTCTACTCTCCCATAGGACGGGCATCCTGCCAGCAGCTGGCTCATAATATTATCAACACGCAAGCCCAGATCCAAGCCCGCTGCACGGTTTGTGGCTCACTGTCCACCAACGAAACGCAACTCTTCAACGCTACCGTTGTGTTGGTCTTGGCGCTGCTGTTTGATTCCCCGTCAACCAAGGCTGAGCAGTCAAGTGCCCAACTCAGTCGGCTAATGACGCGAGACCACATTCGGGAAGCCATTGAATTGTTGCGTGCCAAAGTGTCACCTGACACATCCTCCGGGGACGCTATGCTCCAAGACCCGCTCCAAAGCACGATGTCGCGCAGTGTTGTGGCCCTTGAGGCACTGATGAAGTTGGAAGAGAATTCAGATGACGGTGCCAACCGCCATGCGGGATCGAATCAGAAGCGTTCCCTCTACCGCCAGGTGGTGGAGATTCTGAAGACCTTGAATGGTCCAACCACTTCCGCTGATTCACCCGTTTCAAGAATATCAACTCCTGGGGACACCACTTTGACTCTCTCCATGCCTGTCACGGACGGCTTCCGCGATCTAGATGTAATGCCCATTCTCTCCAATGGCCTGAGTCCTAGTATGTGGGACTTCTTGGACTTCCAGCTACCGGAAGATGTAGGAAAGGAGAAGTTCTTGCCTATGGCCGGAGACGTTTACGGGCCTACGGGGTCTACCGACGCATTGTATCCAAGCCAAAGCAGTAGCCTCTCGGGGACGCGCTTGACCCATGAATCCCCGTCGTCTCTAGGAATTGAACCCACGTTGGAACACTGTGACGATCCCTTATAGAGCTGATGCCTTTGTGGCTGCTAAACCTTTCGACGTCGTGGAAAATGGAGGCCTGTAGTATGGCAGTCTATTATTGCCATCAGGCCAAAACGAGTTCTGCCGGCAGTGGGTAGGAAATTGAGCATTGGCATCTGATACCTTAATAAATGGGTAGGAAATGGAGTATTGAATGTTGCCTACAGTGCTATTCATACAATACTAGGCAGTCTCCACAAGAATATACCGTTTTACTTATTTTTTTCACCCTACTTTAACCTCTCTTTTTTTCGCCTCTTTTTTGCCCATTTTCGAGTGCCTCGGGTTAATCATATAAATTATACTCAGTGGTGGTCTGCAAGAAATGTGCGAGTTGTACGATAAAGCGACTTATTTTTACTACTCCTCTGCCCTCGCTACACTCCAAGCCCACCACTTCACTGAAGATAGTCGAGTTCTTAAATTCATTTCTGAAGTCCGAGCGAAAATGACGCCGCGGATAGCTGCAAACTTTGCACGACCAACCAAAGAGGACCTCTTATTCAAAACAAAATATGACCATAGAGCATCTGATATATATATCGGTTATAACCGGTCCGAATTGAACCTACGGCTTCTACGGGGCCAGGAAGAACTAGTGGTCCACTATGGGCTGATTGTATCTATAAATCGGGTAGTAAAAGATAATAGACTGCGAGATTAGCTAGCTCGAGACCTAGGGGTCCTCTATATAGAAATAGAAGCTATAGGGCTTATAAATGACTTTCTATATCTAGTTATTCGAGGTATTTATAACTATACCGACTCCTATAAGAATAAGGAATGGTAAGGATATACGGTAGCGGTAGTAGCAGCCTATACTAAAGAACTTATATTAGTAGTTCCGATCGATTAGATTAGAACAACTCTAGTAGTAAGAGATAATCTAGCTAGTTCTAGTAAGAGATTCTAAGTTCTAATATTTATTACCTTTTATCTAATTTATAGAACTAAATAAAGTTTTCTATATATAGTTAACCGCTTTAATATCCCTCTAGATCTTACTATAGTGCCTATAATTGTAAATTTTATAGGATAGAAATATAAGCTAGATAACCTCTAATAGTATTTATAGCTAACTGATTCGCTATTATAGAAAGTTACAATCCTTTATAGGCTTAGCGGAATAGGAAAGATATAACTAGCGGTTCGCTTCGCGCGAGATTATAGAGATGATTTTATAGTAATCGTTTAGCTAAGTAGTAAGGACTAGGATACGCTATTATAATTATTAAGCTTTACCCTAAACCGATTACTAGGATAGGGTTAGGATAGCGTAGCGAATAATAATAGAGAAGTAGAGTAATAAGCTAGATATATATTATAGTAGCTAGTATTAGATAGTAACTTACGCTAGCTAATTATTTTTAATAATATCGATCGATACTACCCTTTTAATAGCTCTATTAGTGATAGATATAGTATTATAGGATTTTTTTTCCTAAAGTAGACTATAGCTCTATCCTTATTACTTCTCGACTTTAAGGGCTAACTAAGCTAGGGGAGCCTTTCCTAGTTTATAGACTTAACTCTTATAGCTTGATTTGATTACTCCTATAAAGTAGTAGTATAGCGTTAAGAAATACTACTAGTAAACTTAATAGTAATCTAAGTACTATAGCGTTTAATAAATAGACGTTACTAATATACTAATATATATAGATATCCTTACTCTTACTAATCGTTTATATAGACTACCTTTAGCTATTATTATCGCTAGAGCGTTTATATATAAAACT